TATGATTACGGGTGTTAACGTATAGTGTAAAATGAAGCCTACGCGAGACGAATAATTGAATAGGTTGAGTTGTAGCAATCGTAGTAAGATTTCGCTAACACTGAATTATGCCACCAATTACTTTGTCAGGTCTCACTGATAAGTCAGGCTTTCATCTCGTCATGATGTCAAATTTAGTTTCACTCAGATAGAATAAGAAAAGTATGGTAAGCAGGGTGTTAAATATATTTAATGAAAAATAATTACAAGTAAATGTCTTTACACAATTGTTTTTCGTAATTATTTCGCCGATGTCGAATTGCTGTGACCAGGTTGACTGACGTTACCGGACATCTGCAAGTAAGCGAATAAAGTGTATTTTTTAAATCGCTGAAGCTAGGAAAAAGTAATGTAAAAGTTAAACGCCTTATATTTACCTACTTTTGCTGAAAAAAGGTTCATTCTCCTTTCTCATTCTTTGGTCATGACAGCATTCTTCTGTGGTTTTCACTGTCAGACATATTGTTAATCTAAAGTATAGCACCAAACAAATAATAATTTAATATGTCGTATCAACGGGTGTTAACAAGGAATGCATGCCATTTCCACAGGCGCAATAAGTTATCTTATAAATTGAAATCGTGAAGTATCATAAATGTAAAAGGTAATAATCATCGAAACTGCAATAATATTTTCTAGCTGTTCGGAATTTTTTCCTTTGCTGCAGTTTCTTATCAACAGTTTACAGTATTCGTAGTGAGTTTATAGGAAACTTTATTCTGCCTTCATTTTTACTAACTGTCCCTTCACGCACAGTGGCATGCAGTAACTACACCCCTCGAGCATTGTAACCTGAACATCACAAAATCCTTACAGATATCTTGTTTGATAATGAATGCTTTAAAGATATGAGCCATAAGTGCACTTTCCATATCCTTCATAGCCAAAGTAATTCATCAAGGATCTCAGAATATCTTATTGATCTGAAAATGAATAATTATTAAGACTGGTATAACTTAAGTAACAGGTGTAGTATTTGTAGGATACAACCGCTAGCTACTGTTCGGCAGAAAGCTGATACTAATTTAAGCAGTCTTACATTTTGGAAGGACCATCTATACTATTCTTCTTGCCACAATGCACACTGTTATCAATAAAATCCGATGCCATTTTATGCACTCAGCAATTACAGTCTTCCGAAATTCCATGTGACAATGTGAATTAAACTAGTATCACATCTCCGCCTGAGTAATTTCAACTAGGAACTTCATCGAAATGGATATAATTACCAGGAAACTCAGTAGCTTGTCTCATTCATCGCATGATCTCTTCGATGTGTTATGGAATATTTCAATCATCATGGATGATAACAAAAGTGTTTAACATCCTCAAATCGTACTTCTAACTTATGTCTGTGAGCTGCTTCTCTTTCAAATGCCTGATTCTCAAAAAATAACTGCCATGAGAACAACCATTGCCTGTAGTCAATTCACAACGTTAAGATCTGAAATAACTCGCAAATAACAAAGCTTTAAGGCTCTCAAACGCAAATAATGGTCTTTCAATGAGAAATTTCTTAAACAGGATGACTTTTTTAGCTATAAATCTTCTAGGATATCAAAAGAATTTTACCCATTAATACGAACACAATACAGCAAACTATTTCTCTTTTCGGTTACAGAATCCATATTACGATAACGTTTATCCCCACCCATATCTGAAACGAAAACCAATTTAGATTTCGTGCCATTAAGTAGCCCAAGGCTTTTTTAAATAACAGTTTGATTCTAGGGATATTGGAATATTTCAGATAGACAACTTAGAGGGTAAGACACGTATTCACATATTCAGGGAAGTTCGAGCGAAGTACATTAGTTTAAGTCCTGTAAATTATTATTTCATTATTACCACCATTTTACACACTGCAAAACTGTCGTAACTTCATACCTACCAAAGAGCTTACATGCCGCCACAGTTGACCGATACCAAGGATATGACCAAATGGTGAGATTCATTTCGTTTTATTAATTATAAAACGCACATGCATTTGTATATATACACATCTTGTAAGACTTCCCTTCTTCCTATGTCCATATTTTTGTATCTGATAGTTGTATATTATTTGCAGATGACTGAGCAGTCCATGGTTATTAAGGTCCCTGCCCTGGATAAGATTTTGATAGTTACTGAGGTTTGGGTGATTGTTAGATCAGTGATCACCTCACTGGCGTATTCATGTGATGAAGTTATGGAAAATGCAGAGACTGCACCGGGTTCCATCACTTACGAGTTCCTTCCATTGGGACGCTACAGTAACGTCACATTTCGTAGTAATGTTCCTTTTCAGATAATTGTGAGGGAGCCGTTACAGTGCAATGTGCATCTGAACTGTTTCAGCCATCATTAAAGGTGTCGTCATCTAAGGATACAGAGCCTGCAAGCTTGTGCAGGGTCAATTGGTAAGTTTTAACTCTTCGCTAATCTTCCCAGTGTTACAAAGCCGGCAAGAAAGGTTTCACTTGATGCTGCACCTTTAAACCATCCATCTCAGTTGTTAGCCGACAAAGAATTTCAGTTCGACACACCCAATTTCCAAAAGCCATCTTAAATAAACACGAATGAAAAGTTTATTACAGTTAGCTAAAGAAATTCCATTTCGGATTGCCTTCTGTCACTTCAGCGTCGAAAACCTACACTCCTTCGCCCGTTGACATGTAAGTTCAGTTTCACTTCAGACATTACTTGAAGGTGTCCGAGGACTGAGCAGATAGGCGCCTGCACATCTGGTTGTTCGGAAGTGTTAACTGCTGGACAAGAAGCCAGTCACAATTGGAAACACGTGTTGCTGACATTAAGTCTAATCTGTCGCGGCTCAAAGTGGCTGAGAGCCTTGTAATCCGTAAGTGAATTTTGTTTTCATTGTAGTTTTCACGAACTATTAACAGTTTCTACCACCAATGCTGATAGACGTAGCACAGTGGAAGCCATCATGCCTTCCATCCAACGGCGGTTTCACAACAGTCGTGAAGGCAAGAATAGGAAAACGATGACGTTCCTCTTTGGTATTTCCCACTTTTTATGTCACTTTTTTCAAATCATTGTCGACCAGAACAAGGAGAACAGACCAGATGCAGAAAGTACACTACTGAATGCCTCTGGTGATTTATGTGGTGTTTGAATAGTATGATATGTACAAACGCTGTGAAAATATTTTGCATGAACTGTAAATATATGTTTCATAAAGTTCAACTGCCTTCTAATATCATAAGTCTTTGAGCTGACGTGAGTACGTTGTTTGTTGTGAGAAGCTGTGTATATAACGGGTATGTATTTGTGGTGGCTGTCGACTTATGGTTCAGTGCCTAACTGTGGGAGTTTAGTCGAAGCTTAGAGTCAGTTACAGAAACTTGAGGGCAGGCTTCGTATGCACTGCGGAATCTTTGAGGCACACTCGAACCCACAGTCCCACCTTCTACAATGAGCTCGAGGATGCTGACTTGGCAGGGAGGAGTCCAAATGAAATTTATCACCGATGACATGTATTTCAGTGGGAATAGAAAGAGTGATCGGCAGTGTTCAGAACTTCGTCACATGTATGCAGTCGTGGTCGCGGTGGTCTCAAGTGCTTTGCGTCAGTGGCGCTGAGGTATAATGCTCTCCAGCCACTCACGTGGTCCGGCGTTCGATCCACGGCCATCGTCGCACTCGCTCAGGGCGAAGGTTGGCGTGAAATTATCAGCCCAAAAATATAAAAATCTACTGGTATCGAAACTTCAAAGATCTAGCATGTTCCACTGGGAACTCTTAAGCGGCTGAAATTATCCCGCATGCTCAAGGTCATTGATGGAGTGAAACGCTCAAAGGGCATTTTCGTCCATGTTAGTCGGTAATGTTGGATTGCAATTCCGTAGCCGTTCGTTTACACATTGGTTTTACGTTCTGTTGGCATTTATAGGTGATTCCCATGTACTGATAGCATTCTTTTGTAAAATAGTACTGTTCTTCACACGAAAATAGCCACATTTTGACGTAGTCTTCATTGAATGACATTATGTCGAAAGCTGCAGCTTCTACAAGAAATAAACTATTTGTGTGGATGATATTACCCCCCAACTACCCCATCTTCTTCATTGTAGAGATGTTTTGACGCATTCAGCATGAAATACTAATCATTACAACCAATATGCTAAGTGTGTCTCAGTCAGATTACATGACGCGGACACCAACATAACTAGCCAGGAAATGAGAATTCCTATCAATCCAGAAAACATATAACAAAATTTTATTAAAAATTATTGGCAAAAAAATTTGCCGAGCGAAATTTCAACCAACATGCCGGATAAGTCCAGCCAAGTAAACGGCACAATATCCAATGTGCTTTTTACGAGCTAATATAAGCCGAATTGTTTTCTGTGCGATTCCTTCTTTGTTTTAAGGCCTGGATCCCTATTTTTGATAATCTTCTGCTTATATTATTTTTTATTTGGTGCTTAAGAGGGCTGGACTTATCCGGCATGTTGGTTGAAATTTCGCTCGGCAAATTTTTCGCCAAATATTTTTTAATAAAATTTTGTTATATGTTTTCTGGATTGATAGGAATTCTCATTTCCTGGCTAGTTATGTTGGTGTCCGCGTCATGTAATCTGACTGAGACACACTTAGCATATTGGTTGTAATGATTAGTATTTCATGCTGAATGCGTCAAAACATCTCTACAATGAAGAAGATGGGGTAGTTGGGGGGTAATATCATCCACACAAATAGTTTATTTCTTGTAGAAGCTGCAGCTTTCGACATAATGTCATTCAATGAAGACTACGTCAAAATGTGGCTATTTTCGTGTGAAGAACAGTACTATTTTACAAAAGAATGCTATCAGTACATGGGAATCACCTATAAATGCCAACAGAACGTAAAACCAATGTGTAAACGAACGGCTACGGAATTGCAATCCAACATTACCGACTAACATGGACGAAAATGACCTTTGAGCGTTTCACTCCATCAATGACCTTGAGCATGCGGGATAATTTCAGCCGATAATTTCAGCCGTTTACTTTGCAATATTGCTCAAGGCAGAAAGGGCGCGCTATGGTTAAAATTTTCGCATGTAACGTTAGTTAGTTGGCATTTGCATTAATTGAGATCGTTTACTTGTTATTTTTCACATACATATATGAAGTATGCTTCTATTAATCTTGCTGTACACAAGGTGTGGCACGGAGGAACCGTATAACAGTCGGTTGTTTATTGATATACCTGACATATGCCAGGTATTTACAGATCGAGTAATGCTGTCACGCTGTATTAGGTGTTCACTTAAGTCGTCACTGAATGTAAATGTGACTTTCAGAGGAAAGCTGGATATATGTGGGCTTCTCTGGGGCTTACATTTACATCAAATGAAGTCAGATGTAACATAGAACCACTATTATGCGGAGAAAATTAGTTGTTACCGGTTTGATTGCATTTTAAATTCATGGGAGGTTTGCGCGGAACTTTCCTTATAAGTTAGACTTCTTTGCTGATGCAACGTGTCCTGTTATTTTCAAGTTAGTGGTCTTATTGGCTGCACAATCCACTATTGAATGACCTGTATTTATGGTATTCTTTCTTTCTTTTCTTTACTTCGGCTATCTCCTACGGGAGGATGAGCCGGCTTCATGAACATCTCGAATCATCGCTGCCCAGGAGCGGCGATCTGACGCAAGGTTTTGCAACAGGGTTATCCAATTAAGAGAGTTCATGGAGTTTCATGGGAATTTGGTACGAGTGATGTCCCCAGAATCGCTCGGCCTTTTGTTTGAGAGTGCAGCTCTAGCCTTTACACAACCAAGTGTGACCTACAAGGCAGTAGGAGTGGAGTAGGGAGTCCACTATCCATTGGCAGCCGGTGACCGGAGTTCGGTTCATACGCCTTTTTGAATGAGGCCAGACATCCAGGACATCCAACAAGCCCTTTGTCCATACGTCTGTCGGTGAGCTTCAGTGAGCTTCATACGCCAGTCGTTGGAGGTTTGGAATCAGGGTTTAGCCATCTCCCCTAGACTGTCATCCAATGGACAGTCAACCCGGTGAAGAGCGCCGGGCATCCGCTTTCGCCCTCTCACTTTGGTGAAAAACACCTCCGCCACGTGAAGGCAGTAAGTAGGACTTCCTCAGGAGAGGCTATGTAAGACGCCTGGTCATATGGGAGCATTTCGAGAGGTATGCGGAAGGGTGGCCAACCCGCAGCGCAAGGCACCCACCCCCGACCATCCTGAGGCTTTGGAGGCAATTTATGGTATACAGTTGGATGTTGTTTCTTCCTAGTTTACATACTCATTCGATTCATGCTTTTATGCTGAAAAATCGGAAAATTTTAGTTTTCTAGATCTTGACAACTTCCTTCTGCTGTTTCTAGACTGTCATACTGTTTTCAAAATCTTTTACTCCCTCCCCTCAAAATAAGCAATAATTTTTGGTCATTAGGCGTAAACAGATCGTAAAATAAGTTTACCCCACACGCTACTTCACAACTTTAATGAAAATTAATCAAATTATTTGCGTGTATTTACTGCAAGTAAAATGTAGATGGTATAGAGTTACAAAGTACAAATCTTAACACACATCAGGCTAGAGGTACTGATTTTTATACTTCTTTGAGGACGATTGTTCTTATTTCCAAGTAAAATACCAACTTAACCTTTTACTTCTGAGTGATGAGTTCATGTTTCTCACCGAATATTTATGAGGAAATTTAGGGGGCATTAGAGTGGACAGGTTTTCTTTTCCTTAACTGAATCTGATTAAAAGCAAAATGCCTCAGCGTCCTTGCATTCGGCCTTATTCTTGATCTTCGTAGAGGTTTCCAATAGAATTTTGGATAACAATCTTATTCCATCAGTGATCTAATAAATTCAGTGGGTATATTTGCTTCGTATTTCTAGGTTATACGTCACTTGACTATAGAGTTAAAAGTTCGATACAGTTGAGTCTTATATCCCATAATCATAAGACTTTAAACTTGTTTTTATAATAGCTAATACAATGAATTAATTTCATTAAATTTTCGAAGAAATGGTGAAGTGTTCTGAATGCGTCAAAAACCCCATAAAATCTAACACTTCAACCGTATTGGGATAGACAAAAGCGTCATAAGTAAGCAGTAAGTATTGAAACCCTTAAGCTGTAGGAAGAAACTCTTGTTATTGTGAGTATATTTCATGTATGTTACCTAATATCCTTCAAACAGTGACTTAACACATTTGACTAGTTGACAAATGGATGGAAAATTCCGCAGTTCCTTTTGACACAGTGGAAGGGCACAAGAAAAGGAAAGTGGATATCTAATGATACCGTGATGAACAAGAACAGATGGTGGAAAATAATTTAATGGAAAGTAGTAGAAACAAGTAGAAATACTTGGTATTTCAAAGATGATGATAAATACAATTGAATGACTTTGCTATTGCTTTTTAAATTACTTAACATCCCGAACAAGCAACCTAAGTGTTTCTAACTAACTAAGGTCAATAGTCAGAGATTTTGTCATTTACTGTCGCGTTTTGGTCTGATTACAATTGCCCTTCTCTCCCGCCTCTCTCTCTGACAGCATTACTTCAAGTAGCTTGAAATGCTGCCTTAGTAGACTGCAATAGTCACCGATACCTGCACAATTAGGATTTAAGACTGAAGTAAAATGACCCATGTTTATTGGTAAACATATGATTGATCCTTATTCGAGTACCTGAAACAGAAAGAGGGTTAGTGTTGCCTGACCGCAGAGCCCACAGGACAACTTCTTGAGGCCGGTCACACACGGCCTGTATGAACTCGTTTCTTGGAATGGTTCCGTGTTAGTGAATTTACTGCCGGTTGCGGACCACCGTAGGGTAAGTCGGGATGTACAATTGTTGGGGTTGACCTTTTCTAACCCCCTCTCTCCAGAGTGGAGAGACAGCATAGCTGGCTGGCATGTTGGTCATTTGAGGGAAACACCTCACTGCTGTTACGTCCCTGTTCCCCAGCAGAACAACTTCACCCACAGATCCCGCAGCATAGTGTGAGGACAAAATTCTTACACTTCCAGTAACTGCTTTTAGTCTAATCGCTATCCTAACAACCTTCTTGGCATGGTAGTGCCTGCAGGAACAATAGTTCCAGCCAGTGTAGTTTGTTGGGTCATTGCGATATGCAAGCCCGGCGACCACCACGTCAAGGTAGCAGCTACCGGTCGGCATTGATAAACATGAGCGAAAAGGGGGATGTTTGCTGAAGGTAAATATTCCATCTGACAAACCTCTAATCAAGTTACTCTTCTAGCTTATGCATTGATCACAAAAATTTCAGCGGATTCATCTGTATGCTTGGATGCAAGACAATCAAGTAGGTCGCAAATGTCTCAGTTTATTGTTTTGCTCATCGTATACATTGTGATGGCCAATTATACGTCGTCTTGCTTAAACTTTGTCAATAAAGTGGAGTTCTAACCTTTTGCACTACTGACTACAAGTAGAATACGTAATCCTCTGACTCACAAACTTTCAGAATATTTGAATTAGGTACACATTATTATCTGCTATGATATTTAAAAATAGTTTTATTTACTTTGATAACCGTAGGTAATGTAAACCACCTTTCTTCTTCTCTTTTTTATCCCACTCACAGACTAATTATAGTTGATTAATTCTGTTAAGAAAATCAAAATGTCACCAATTCTTTTACTTACCCATCCTAGTCATGTTATCCTTCCATCAGATGAAGCAGCAACTCGATCAGTTATTTGTTATCTAGCCAGAAGTGGATTATCCTATCGTGTTGATCATATAATGAATGCAGATTCCTGTTCACCTGATCATCTCCTACCTGTTACAATAGTCAATGGTTTTATTGAAACTGGTTATACCTCATTATGTTTACGATTGAATACTTTAAAAGCTAATAAAAGTATGGATTTTGATATGATTAAATTATCATCAAGAAATTTAAAACATACTTATATATTTTGGATATCTGATTTACTACGTAATATTATGCTTTATTTCACATGGTTGCATGAAACAACCTATAACAATTTCACTTATAAACGTTTAGAAGCAAGTACACGGTGTATCATTATTACTCGATTTATTGCTAGACGTAAACGAAAACAGCACACGGACTTTCTGAAATCTATCAATTGGGATAAACGAAGTATAAGCGATATTCTAAAAGATATGGAAGCACTTTGTGTCGGTGTAGTGGAACTACTCGGTAACGGTCCATTCTTGTTTGAAAAGAATTCACCTGGAAAAGTTGATGCTCTCCTCTATGGCTACTGGACTGTTTTCTATGAATTTTCAGAATACTTCAGTGCTTTAAAACCTATTCTGGAGAAATATTCTGCTATTAGTGATCTTGTTCAACGGATTGCTGAACAGTGTAATCAACCTGTAATTGTATTTAAATAGTGGCATTTTTAAATTTAGACGTGTGTTAGATTTATGGAACTTTTTTAGTTAGATATCATATCAATTCATTCAACGAATATGCATTCATATATACAAATATGTACACAGAAAAAAGGCTTCGAAATATACTTTACATTCCGAGTATTACTTCTTTTGCTTTAATTTTTATTTTTTTTCAATTTGTAATGAGAACTACTTTTATCATTATTTATATTAAACACAAACATGGCAATATTATAGCTGTCAAGAGATGTGCGACGGCTGGGAGTCTGTTTGATCACCTTGACCGCAGCAGGTGGTTGTTTCAAGGGGGGGCATCTCCGATGCCTCTGACTTAAAGTTTGACCCGCAAGGCAATCGAGCAGCGTCAAGTCTCTATCTGTCTGTCTGTTTTCAACATAAAACTTTGCACTGATGTGCAGCAGTTCAAGTCGTTACACTCCATGTAGCACACAAAGTAAGAGAAGAAATGCAAAATAGACAGTAAACAGGGATATGAGACAAAAGGAATAGTAGTATCGAAGAAAAATGTAGTTTCATTGGAAAATATAAGTCACAAGGAGTGGATGCATCTGCGCCGTTGACAATGATTTTGAGTCATATCACCAGTTGTCTCCAGCATTCATAGGTTTTTACCGTCCCGAAGACCCCAACCAGTCAGTAAGTCTACACATCCCTACGTCACTGGCTTAAACTAACTGTTGTGGATTTCATTGACTGATGAAGCCATGTTTTGGTTTGACCACCATTGGCTAACTCTTTTCCAACCTGATCAATCTTATGTCAGCTAACATTGCCTGTTGTCGAGAAAGACGATGGCTAGGCATGCATGCATAACACATGTCCTAACCATCTCAGTCTATGTAGCTTCACAACATCGTCGATTGATTTCCCCTCCTTACCTACCACTCGACGCCTAACCTCAGTATTGCTCACCTTATTATACCACTTCACACGGGAGATAGAATGCACGCACCTATAATCAAAGACAGATAGCCAGGCTTTTCACGTCTTTTGCTCTCCATCGCCATCTCTCAATCACCGCCATAAAGGACGACGGAGCGGACTGATGAGCAGTACACACGCCCTTTGGCCGGATATCACGTCTACTAAGCCAGAGACAGCGTCAACTGGCATATGCGGAACTAGCCTTCTGTATCCGTGCTGAGATTTCGTCAGCTATCAACCTGTTGGCGTTGCCTGATGCAACTTCCCAAATAAGTGAAGTGGTCGACACGCTCCACCAACCACTTCACTCCTTATTTCTAAGCTAGGAGTCAGTGTAGTTCAATCCTGTAAAATCATCTTACATTTGGCGGGGGCGAATCGCATGTGTCAAGAGCTACGTTTGCGTGGTTTACAGTGACCAAAATAGGATTCATATGTCATTCGATCCATGCAAATTCTGGAGTTCATGTATAGCATAGGTTTGGGATCAGGGTTTCCTAACTCCCCTAAGTAGATCAGATCACCATGTTCATCAGTCCGTTCCGTTGGTAAGTGCTTAACATTCACATTCACTTGTTTATTTTTGTGCAGAATACGCCCCCACTGAATGACCGTAGTGAATTGGATTGTTGTTACTGTTTTAAGTTTTGATTTTCATCTACAAGAGGAGATGTGACCCAATTTCAGTCATTTAATTTCGGGGATCGAACCCATGCCTTACTTATTTTGCTCTAGGCTACTGAATAGTGTCATCAAATCTCATATATTACATGTACTATATAATCTGGTATAATTGAAATTTAGATTTTCCCGTCGATTGATTGCACCAAAGTGCTCGGTCTCAGGTTGACATGTCTGTCGACTTCTTGTGCAGATGCTTTGGACGATGTCTGGGCATGCAATTAGAGTTTTAATTGGTGGATGGTGACTGCCTAGCAGTGGAATCCAGGACAACGCGCATTTCGTCCTATTTGGGACTCGTTAGCTAACGGAGTGTACCTGCATTCCCCAGTGAGTCAGTGATGATGTTCCCAATTAAGTAATTAATATGACCCGTTGCACAAGAGGTGGCCAGCTCTCGTGGCCCAAGTGGTCTAGTAGATAGCGTTTTGGCGTTTGAAACTATGGGCACTGGGTTCGAGCCTCGGTGGGGAAATCATCACTCATTAGGGAATGCAAGTACATCCAGCTGGCGGACGAGTTCCAAATAGGACAAAATGCGCATCCTGGATTCTACTGCTAGTCACCATTCACCAATTAAAATGTATAATCTGGTGTTTGAAAAATATGTTCCATCTGCGTAGTGGATTTCTAACTAGACTAAAGACGCTCTATTTGAACTCACACTGCCGTATAAAAGCTTTTGGTGAGTTGTCATCTGAAATGACCGCAGTCATTGATATCCTTCGGAGATGCACACTGTCACCACTTTTGTTTGATTTCATCGTAGATGCACTAATAATCCTAATTGACTTTAATAGTTGAGAGATTGACCTGTTACCAAGGTAATACAATATGCAGATGACATCGTTCTCCTAGGTTAAGTCACTGAAAAAATAGTCTTTTAAACAACTTGAGCGGAAATCTTTGCATGTTTGGCGCTCGATTCACTCCTGTCGAATGTAACATGATACCGTAGGGCTGGACTGCACTGACTCCCAGCGTAGCTTAAGTCTAGGCAGTGAAGTGGCAGAGTCCGTTTTTACAACTTCACTTATTTGAGAAGTTGCCGACGAAATCGCGGCATGGATACAAAAGGCTCATGTGGCTCATGTTACACCAACTCAAGTCACTTTTGGCGTAGATTTTATATCCGGCCATTGATCAGACAATGTGTGTACTGCGCCCCAGCTCACTCTGTCTTCCTTTTATGAATGTAAGAAATGGCTATTGGAAGTGGAAAGTATGAAGAGGTTAGTTGGTTCTGATCACAGATGTTTGCGCTATCCCCCCTCATGTTAAGTGGTATAATATGGTGAGTTAAATGGAGGTAGGTGTATAATGTTAGATGAAGAGGTTAAATAGATCGACGAGGTTGTGATGGTGAATCTATTGAGATTATTTGGAGATATGTCGAGGCATTGCTTTCCTTCGTGGGCAGTGTGTTAACCGATATTGAATTAAGAAGGTTGGAAGAAAGTTAGGAGTGGTCGAACAAAAAAAACCTGGCATCAATCCATGAAATGGCCTTAAACTAAATCCTTCCAAATGTGAGACTGTCCATTTCACTTTCCGGTGTAATAAAAAGTTAAATGAAGCTTTTGGTTCCTATGACCGTTGCAAAATTGATGATACTGATGTAGAAACCATGTCTGAATTGTTGGATTATTTCTTTCTTCTGATCTATCCTCGTCTTCACATGTCTTAGCGATTTCTAAAAGAATATTTCGTCTGACTTTTCACATTAAGAAGTTAAGGCACTCAGGCATAACTCAACGACTCCTCTGCTAACGGTTTGTCCACTCGTGCATCTTACCCATACTTTTTTACCGTTCACCCTTATACTTTCCTGGATTGCTTAAAAAAGACTATGTCATACTTCGTAGAACTCTGAAGACTGTCAGTAGGACGAGTGGTATCCAATTGGATCATATCTTTGAAATTGTCATTGATAGGCACTTGAAGCACTTCATGCAACAAATATGCTAAAGGAATTTTGTTAGACTGTGAGCATCCCCTTTAACCGCAGCTCCAACCTTGTGTCTCCTCAGGTAAAAAAAGAAGGCTTTATGCACGTACGTCTAGGTATAAAAATTCCACTATACCATATTTGGCACGGGTTCGTTTTATGTGATGAAAATAGTGTTAGGCATGTAATAACTAATCTTCTTTGCACTACTAAATAAACCATTTCCTCCACCCTTACAACATCAACCTTTATTGTTATTGTTCTTTTTACATTTACAATCTTGTCCATTTTTTGTTTTTATTTGTTTATTTTTTCATAAGTGTGAAAGTCATTTAAGCTGCGTAATAACTTAATTTTGTCTTTCCTCTCACCATACTATATCAACAGAACATTAGACTCAATAATCTATAACATGCTTAAATTTCCAAACTGAATCGACAATACTGTTTGAAACAAAACCACTGTTATTATTATTACGTGTAATATTTTAAATTCGTGCTTCGAATACTTTGACTTTATACCGTAAATGTGGACAAATTCTTGTGGTTAATTTAATTTTAATTTAATTTATGTTTTGAGTAAATCAGATGCAAGCTTTTGTGACAAATGCTGAGGATTCCATTCTGTATTATAAGTACTGTTTTTTGAATAAAGTGGATTATTATTATTATTATATTTGACAGTTGTTTTGAGTCATGTAGAGGTGGGAATATATTACCTGGTTAAAGATCTCAGGATGTGAAGGACCAATGTCTAGAGGCAAGTGGGGCGGCATGGCTCAAAATCGTACTCAATGGTGCAGATGCATTCGCTCTTTGTAATTTCTCAGATCCACTGAAGACTCATGCTTCTGAATGTCGATATTTCTGCTTATTATAGCTCTTTCGAGTCTCGTTTATCTACTTTTGTGTAGTACATGGGATGTGGTAACTTAAACTGTTGCACTTTCGTGCATAGTTCTATGTTGTAATGCAGTCAGTCAGTCAGTCAGTTTTACAGTATTCATGTGTCGGTAGTTGTAGAGGCTTCATAAAATAAAAATAATTTGTTATTCCTTATTTTTTTCAAATCATCCAATTATATTTGCTGATTTCTTTTTATAGCAATATGGGCGTTGATTTCACCTATTCTCTTGTTGAAACTCGTCAACTGGCGAAAACTAAAGTTGTCGCTTGTGTATGGTCACCAAGGACTGATTTAATTGCTTTAGGCTCATCCAATGGATGCATTTCAGTGCATAGGTAAGCAATAGTTTCCTGTTCGTTTTTCACTTTATAAACTTAACGAATATTTTTGATAGAAGTGACTATCAAATATAGTCAATATTCAATTTCATCATAGATACTGTACTAATGGAATTAACACGAACTGGTGACTTCAGCGACTCAGGGATTGACTTGTTACCCACCAGGGAATAACGTCGTTGACTTAGAATATGCAGATGATATAGTCCTTCTGGATGGTGAAGACGCTGACAAAATGCGGAGTCTTCTGAACGCCTTGAGTTGCAGTCTACGGATGTTTGGCATGTGATTCGCTCCCGCCAAATGTAAGATGATGCTATAGGACTGGACTGGACTACAGTGACCCCAACTTGGAAATAGTGAGGGAATTGGCTGGTAGAGCACGTTGACCACTTCACTTATTTGGGAATTTGCATCAGCCAACGCCAATGGGTTGATAGCTGACGTAAATTCAGCACGGATACAGAGGGCTCGTTTCACATATGCCAGTTCACGCCTTCTCTGGCTTAGTAGACGTGATATCCGGCTGGTTGGCTATCGACCAAAGTGCGTATGTACTGCTCAGCAGTCCTCTTCGTCCTCCTTCTTTATGGCTGTGAGACCTGGCCACTGAGAGTGGAAGACATGAAAAGGTTAGCTGTCTTTGATCATAGTAGCCTGTGCTCTATCTCCCCTGTGAAATGGTATAATAGGGTGAGCAATATTAAGGTTAGGCATAGGTGGAGTGGTAGGTAAGGAGGGGAAATCAATTGACAAGGTTGTGAAGCTACACTGACTGATATGGTCAGGACATTTGTTACGCATGCATACCTAGCCATCGCCTTCGTCGACAATGGGCAGTGTTAGCTGACATACGACGGATCAGGTTGGAAAAGAGTCGTCTATTGGCGATGAAACGAAAAAATGGCTTTATCACACTCAGTTAAATTCGTAAGAGTCAGTTTGAGCCAACCAGTGACGTAGGGAGGTGTAGACTGGTTGACTGGTTGGTGTCCTCAAGATGCTAAGAACCAGCCAATGAAGGTTGAGGCGAATTGGTGATATAGCGCTGAAAGTCGTTGTCAGTGGATAGCGCAAATGCGTCCGTTCACTCTTTGTGATTTGTACTATCCAATCTAACTCTATTGTTCTTCCATGTTAGCCTTCCTATTTTTCTCACTCACACTTTTGTTCATTATCTTTTTATCTTTTTAAATGCTCTTTACTCTCTTCTCTTGCTTTATGTGCTACATAAAGGGGAATGTAGCAACTGGAACTGCTGCACTTCTGTGCAAAGCTCTCTGTTGAAACTAGTCAGTTAGTGGTTCCCAGCGGTTCTCTGTCGAAGCCAAACCCGTTGACCATTCAGCTATTTAGGCTGGAATCCAATGGCCCATCAATTCTAATTTCTGTTAACCCCCAGTCGGTGCCATTAGTGAGTATCTGTTCTCACAATCGACCTGGTGAGATTCACTTGTCAGGACTTCTCATTAGAACTCTAAGCTCCTGCGTCATATAGACAGTCACTAGTGAACATCAGGATTAATTTTCAAGGTTTAGTTTGCATTGGGGTTTAATTCATACATTCTGCCATGGTAATGTAAACTAAACTATCATTCTCCCTATGTTCCGTTATTTCCATTTATTGGTCACGTCTCTTTTTTTGTTCCTTTACTTTCCCAGTGGAACATAGGGCTTCAAACTAGATTCTTAAAGTTTCTGTAGCAGTGGTGATTATTTTTTACAGGATGGGGTTGATAGCCCCATGCCCAACCAACTTTCCCTCTTTACCAGTCTTATTACTGGCTTAGCGAGCGAGATAAAGGAGTGAGTCGGTGGCCGGGGATCGAACCCAGGACCACAACCATGGTCGGCGAGCATTCTCCCACCGTGCCACCGACGCATCGAGCCCGTATAGCTCAGTGGTAACGTCTCTGACTGTGCAGCACTGGGTGACGCAGGTTCGAATCTCAGAAGGGATATGAGTTCCTCCAAGTCAGTTGCAGGTACGCCTTGCTGACGAGTGTCAACTAACATGAAACCTAGGTCAAGCAAGGCTTCCTGTGGCCGATTACCTCCAACCATTTAATATCGTCAAAACTATCTTCTGCTCACCTTGTTTGTACTTCTCCGTCTAATTTATTAATTACTTTTATTTTTTTTTGTTGTAACTCAAGGTATAAAATGACGTGTATTTGGGAATGTGATAAATCAGATTTAGGCTCTGTCAGCTGTTTAGCCTGGCGACCAGATGGGAAAATATTGACAGCAGCATTCCAATCGGGTACTGTATGCTTTTTTGTTGTTGGAGATGGCTTCCTATTTCATGAATTACACTTCACCAATCCAATAGACCATTTGTCATGGACAAATTATCAATGTTCAGGCAATAATACTGCCGGCGATGAAAATGGATGTTTGAAAAATAAGGTGGCCGCTTATTTCCCTGAAGTGAAACATTTAAGCATGTTTAAATCGTGTGAGTTAGTCAACTTTATTTTTAACGGATGAATTAATTCTTCTTAATCCCGTGTTTAGAGATGTCAATTTCTCGTCATCCGATGTCTACAAGTATGAACAATTGCTCGGAGAACTGCCAAATAACAAGTAGCTTTAAATTGTTATTGTGAAATCTTACCTCTCTCTTTCTCCCTCCCTCCCTCCCTTTCTCTACCCTCTTCTTCTCCTCCTCTCTGTGTGTGTGCGCCCGCTTAATTAGTTTCCCAATATTGACAGTGTATTCAAATCGTGTCGTTTCATTCTACGGCTATGGTGTATTTGAAATTGCCGCGTATACTTTACACTCGACAAATGCTGATACGTCTTCCAAGGTATGTGTGTGTGCGTGTGTATTTGTCTATGACTAACTGTTCACCCGTCTCTTTCAGCTTATTAGTTGTCATTTATCAGCTGAACAGAATATACTTTTGCTTACTGAAGCACTGCTAGATGCTAATGGACAATATGGTGTACTTTGTCATAAGGTAAGTTAAATGTTATTTTTAGTGTTTATTATTATACTACTCATAGTAGTATGATTATTATTGTCATCGTTTTTCATCAGATCGGTATTTTTCTTATTTCAATTTTATAATCTGTGGGAGGTAACTTGCATTTACCGTTGATTCTTTCCTGTTGGACTGGAAATCGTCAGCTCCTGTTGGCATGTTGGCTTCTAGTACAGATGCTCCAAATTTAGTAAGTATATACACACCCACAGTGAGTGATGATGTTTTCATGTGGACTGGCGTCGAAGACCCAGGGTTCCAAATGACAAAATCTTATCCACTGGGTCGCGAAAGTCACCTCTTGTGGAAGAAGGGGGGCAAAAATTGTTATCTGGGGGTGGTGAATTTGTATTTCTTGTCCATCGACTTTTGTTGGCCTAGTGGTGGTTAACGCTTGGACGTTTGAAATCATAGGTTTTCGCTTCGATTCTCAATGGGAACGCCGTCGCTTACTGACAATTCCTAAATACATCCTGATCTTTGCTGCCGGTGACCACTGATGAAGTAACATTGTGGTACTTTGGTGTCGTTACTGCATGGATTTGAGATGGATATTTTTTTCGATCTACGTCAGGGTTAAAATGCCCACCAGCCATGCATGTGGTTCGGGGCTCGATTCTCGGCTTACGTAATCCTAAATCCCTAGCAACCCCCCCCCCCCGTAAAAGAATTTAAATGCTACTGAAACAGCCTCAAAGCTTAAAGTTTACAGTCCTGTGTTCTACTTGGAACGCGATGCGAAGAAAAAAATCATGGTCCATAAGAAATGAAGAAACGGTAAGCCAGGCTTTCGATCGGGATCCTATTTGGAAGTGGCAAGTGGGTCGTCCAAAGGTGACATGAAGAGGATCGTGTGGGGAAGAGATGAGAGATTATGGGCAATCATGAGTCTAGCTGAAGAGGGCAGCACAAAATAGAACAAAGTGGAGATGTGTTGTTGAAGCCCTATGTTCCATTAAGAACCCAAGGGAATAATAATAATAAGCTAATGACAGTTCCACGTAAAAATCCGCCTTCTCAGTGCATACACCTATCTGTCAGTATCATCTGTAACGGGAGATGCTTGTAACGCACCTTTATTAATGTAAGGCACATCATACCTATATATTTTTAGCCATACTAAAGTTTGGGTATGTTAGAGGAGAATAAATTGTTCTGAGTGGTTGGCTAAACAAGTTGTCCAATGAGATTATTTCATGTCCACAACGTAAACTAAATCTGGATTTGAGGAATAGACACTTCTCCCTAAGCAGCTATTAACTTAAAATGTTGATTTCAATTATAGCCGCTTCCTATCAATCTGCTTATAAGAATAGACCTTGGGCACTGTAGTAAATTATAATTCCACTGCGAACGGAATTTAATTTTATAAAGTCTCATAGTGTTTGTTATACAGTAATATTTACTAATGACCACCTTTCGAGCGCAATTTTATTGCTGCTCATAGTCAAATTAAGGTACTTACACAACTTTCAGATTTCGTTTACATAATTCCATTATTTTTTATCTCCTAATTTGATTGGTAGTAATATTTTCTATATCTCTGGTATTAGTGATGAGTCATTCCTGCTGTATGTTTGGGTGTAGATTCTATGAACGAAAATTCAGTAATTAACCTCTGTCTCTCTCCACCTACCTATATTACTTTTTAGAATTTTAACCCTCTCCCACCCTATTGTGTGGTTGTGTGTGAATGCATGCAGTGCAACTGCTGAGCTTTTTTCTAAATTACTTATCTTCACTGGGTCGATCATCCCCACCGTAGCTAAATTCTTATGTTGTGACAATCTGAACATCCCCTGTCTACTGTTCTGACCTATGTAATTGACTTAACTCACAGTCATTGCAAAGCATTTTGTAAATTATATTGTTTTTTTAATTAGGTCAACAGGGCTCTTAAACATACGGACCTAGTCCTACCTGAGTGAGTTCATAGGTTTAAATACCACCCTAATTTCTGATTTGTGATGAATCTTACGTAGGGTTAAAGATACCCTACTCCTATCAACCCGAATTATTATTATTATTCCCTTCGGTTCTGAATGGAACATGTGGCTTCAACAACACATCTCCACTTTGATCTGTTTTCTGCCGTCCTCTTCAGCTAGGTTCACGATTGACCAAACTCTTTCATCTCTTCCTCACACAATCTCTTCCATGTCACCCTCGCACTGATGACCCACTTGTCGCTTCCCATTTGGATTTCACTCGAGCACTGGTCTGGCGTGCGATTTCATTCGACGGCCTCAATGTATGCCCGATCTGTTTCCACTTTCTCCTACCTATTTGTTGAGCGATCGGTTCTTGGTTGGTTTGTTCCCATAGTTTCTTGTTGCTAATTCTTCCACACTGGCCATTTGATCTTCAGTATGGACCGAATGCAGCTGTTGACAAAAGTCTGCAACCTGTCGGAAATCCTTTTCGTGACACACAGTGCAAGTTTCTGACCTGTATAGAAAGATCAACTTGATAGTGGTGTTGAAAATCCGAATTTTTTGTTTATGTAGTGGAGGACAGAAGATTTCTAAACTGGTTTCAGGTTGATGAAAGCGGATCTTGCCTTTCCAATTCTGCCTGGTTGGCTTTGACGTCTTCTTCCGTTCCGCCTGTTGTTGAAACTATGCTTGCTGTCTAGACAAGTGAAGGAAGTAACCTGTGTCGAATCTGTCCCGTTGATGGTGATGGGTGCTGCTTGTTGTTGTTGCTGTTGGTTGGTTGTCTTCGTCACCTCTGTCTTCTCTATGTTCATTTGGAGTCCTCTCTTCTCTGCTTCTTCAGCCAATTTGTTGGTTTTCGTTTGCAAGTTTTCGAGTTTGTGTGACATTAGACATATATCATCTGCGAAATTCAGATCTTCTAGAGTCTTATCGGTGATCCAGTGTACTCTTGTCTCCTCGCTCCCCAGAGTCTGACGCATAATCCATTCCACCACAGTTGAGAGTATCATCGGTGATAATATGCAGCCAGCCTTGCCTTACTCCTGTATTCACTTCAACAGAAGGCTTCTCTGAGTTTTCCGTTGTGGATCACTTGATACGTGGAATTGTCATATAGAGCCAAATGCTGAATGAGGTTGATAAAGATTTGGGCACTGCGTGCCGTAGTGTTCAAGTAGTTTCCAAATTACTTCTCGGTCAACACTGGCTGTCGAAGGCCTTTTCGAAGTCGATGTAGTTAAGGTAGGAAGAGGTTTGACTGCCATTCTATGCTTTGTTCTGTGATGATAATGCTCACAGTGGCAATTCGATCCGTACATAAGGCACCTTTCCTGAAACGATCTCGTTACAGGTTCGCAGAGGTTTGCATCCAGTGCTTCCTTTATTCTCTCCAGGATGCCTATCAATCTGTATTACTCTAAAATCTCTTGTTCTTAAAGTATTTTTAATATTTTTTTTCTATCGCAATTTATTGTGTAGATTCCATGCGATGGATTTCAACGATTCAATCATCAGTTAATGAAGCTATCATTACAGGCTTTTTCAATTAAAATTACAAAATCTGTAAGTTGTATCAATAATATTATGTAAATTTTTTAAAATGAAAAACAGTTTTACTTCACGTCAGTTATATTTTTATTTCAGTGGATATTGAGCACAATATTACTCACTTCGAAATGGCTTGGCTAGCTAGCTAGCTAGCTAGCCAACTCAAGTTATCTTGAGTTTAAGTAGAAAATAGAAGGAATTGTGTTTCCTTTACTGCTTCTACTTGCATACAAAGCAAACTGAAATATTTTATTAAAAAACAAAATAATTGAGCGAAGAATATCCTTTTCGATGATTTCCTCTTCTGGTTCCTGTGGAGCCAGTTACATAGGCCGTACAGTTTGGCGTGTTTCTCGTCGGATTTCAGAACACCACCTTGTTTGGTTAAGTAAAGGTCAAACAAAATCTATTCGTAGCGCTATTCTATCTCATCTTGTGGATGCAACAGAACACAAGACTGAGGCCAACGAGGCGGCTTTCACAGTCATTTACCGCATATCAATAAATCTTAACTTTGCCTTAAGAGTTCGTCTACTACATATTGCCGAGGCTGGTTGTTGGTATCCACATTAAGAAGCCTAATTTAGGTGTCCGACAGTAGCTAGTTCAGACATTGTCTTTACCTAGATTCGAATGATCCTCAATCAACAGCTTTCAGATGTTGAAGAGAAGCAATCAAGGCGTGCGTCCATGGTTCAACGGTAGAATGCTCATCAAACATTAGCCGACCAGATCCGATTTCCAGCCGATGGATACACTCTTAAGCCTTCTCACTTAGCCTGTATGTAGGAAGTCTGGAAGACAGAGCAGTTTGAAATAATCCCAGCATGTTTGTGAAAAAAAGTCAAAAGATTTTTCTGAACGTTTTTCTGTGTAAGCCACCACAGCTTCTTCAGTAGAATAATATTATTGATAAAAAGCACCAGAAGGGACAACAAAAAATTGAAAAATCTAGGGGTATCGACGATAGCCATTCCATATTAAAAGGATATGGGTGAACAACTTCACAGAGTACTTGCTTCTTACAATATTAAAGTTTATTTGAAGTCCTCTACTTTTTTAGAGAATATTTTGGTGAATGTCAAAGATATGTTTCCTAAAATGACACAAAACAACCGTGTCTATAACATAAAGTGTTCAGATTGTGAAGCTTGCTATATGTAGGGTAGGGGAGAGCAGTAGACAGGTGAAGGTTAAAGTGAATGAACACAAGCTATGCACGAAATGTCCGCCTAAGAATAAAGTAGAATTAAAGAGTCTAGAAAAAAAGATCAGCTATAGTAATGCATGCGACATTTTTCTATTGGTACAAATGTCTACCGACAAGGGACCTTAAAAGGAGCTCAGTTCAATTTCTGTAATTTTTTAACTATACATTTATTGATCGTAAATAAAATCTGAATAATTCTGCTATTGAAGAAGCTGTGCTAGCTTACACAGTGAAACGTCCGGAAAAATCTTGTTTTGATTATTTTTTTCTTAAACACGCTGGGGAATATTTAAAACAATTTACAATGATTCAATCGGACTTGGCGCCCAAATTATCCCAGGAAATTCGTAACATCTGCTGTCTGGATAATCTTAAATAAGAATACAAGTAAAATTTTAAATCAGTCCATCTCTTATGAACTGGCAACCTTTTAAATATATATATTTTGTTGATAAAAAGCTAAGGACCCCAATTAATACACTTGGTTAGACACTCATACTTATTCTTTTCTATTTTTTGTCTGTTAGCTGTTAGATTGGAGTTTTAATCAAGTCTGTATTTGTTGGGAAGATATGATCTTGGAAATGAATACTAAATTTACTAATTATGCACGTGAACGATTAAAGCATAACAAAGTAAGTGGTGATTATAATGCTATATATATATGTTTCAAGTATCGGTTTTTGTAGGGATTTAGTTTTGTTGGTTGAAGGATTTCATCATGAGCTGACATCCGATTAGAGAACCATTGGAAAACCTGCAGGGAGTACTGGACACCCGTTTCGTCCGCTTAGTTTGTGACTCTTCATCAGTACGCACCCACCCACCGGGGTTCGAACCCAGGACCTTCTGGTTACAAGGTGAGCTAGCTCGTAGACCATTAAGCCACTTGGACTCAATCCAATGGTCAGCGCATAAATTCTAACTTTTCCAATGGTTCTCTAACTGATATCAGCTCATGATGAAATCCTCCAACCAATCAAACAAATTTCCCCACAAAACCAATACTTGAAAATTAATCTGATGCTTACTAGCGACTGGCCTTATTCAAGCAGTTAACCTGGGGTTTTAACGGGAAGCTGTAGCCAGTAGGGTACAGCAGGTCGATAGTGAGGCAGTAACTCATCGATAAAGAAGACATTGCGAAATGGTCGCACTTTGTCGTGAATTGGCGGAAGTTGGATTTAATGGGCCATTGGATCGGATCCCAGTGGCTGAATGGTCTACAAGCTCGCCTTGTAACCAGAAGGTCAGGGTTCGAACCCTGTCGGTGGATGCACACTTCTGAAAAGACCCAAACTATGCTGACGAAACGGCTGTCCAGTACTCCCAGGTTTTCCAATGGTTTTCTAGCTGATGTCAGTTACAAAACCAATACTTGAGAATGTATATTCATTTACTGGACTGGTTTAAATTGGGCTACATAGATCAATTTCTGTGTTTTCTTGATGCATGCGAAGTTAAAGTGTTAACAAGGGATGTATAGATCTCTGACCTGCTAATAAAATACCCAACACTCAGTGGGTAGGAGATACACTCAGACGACGATTCCCAAATAGGATGAAACACGCATCCTTAATCCTACCTGTCCGTTATCACTAACAAAAAAGTAATTTTAAAAGGACGGTTGCAGCGAAGAGGAAATTTTCTTTTTCGACTCAGTCATCAACTAGATAGCGCTGTACATTTTTGTATTTATAGTAAATTGGTGAGAAAGTTCCGTAACTATTTCCGGTCAAAGGTCAAATTAATCAAATTACAAAGTGGAATAAACAGGAAGATAGGATAAAAACGCAGTAAGTAGTGCAGATAGGAATTTTAAAAAAAGCAAAAATAACAGAAATAAACAGGAAGATTGAATAAAAAAGGTAATAGGATAATCATTATTGAGAACACTGACCTTTAATGATGGCCATGGTAGAGACAACGTTTGGACGTGTTTCTTTTGAATACATAACGTGGACCTGAACTTTTGAATCGTTAGTGCTTTAGCTGTGCCCAGCCAGATGTCTTGATTTCACTCGCTTTGCAAGAGAGGTTCGATCGGATCTTGTATATGACTTTGAAGGACTTTTGAAATGGAGCTGAATATCCTGAGTTCACCGGATGTTCTGTTACTGAACTATATACACACGCTTGCGTCCTCTCTTTGCTAGCCAGACAGACTGTATAGTGTTCGCCAGCACTTTTTACAAGCGGATGCATGTTACGATGAATGTACTGAGCTCCACGCGAACAAGTGAACTGGTAGACTGGTAGTTTCTAGTTATTATTCCTGTTAATATGTAGACATCCGTCAAAATAGTCCAAATAACACCGGTCAGTTTAGTCACACACCCCCTCCCCACACACACACATGTATATGTATCAATGAGAAATCGCGAACACGAATACATTTATAGTATCGTCAAACTCACACTACATTTTTGTGTTTTCTGTGTTTTGCCTTTTTGTAGGATTGGTCATTATGCGTAGAACTTCTGGAGTTTATTCTCTTTGGCTATTGTTGGTATGTGCTTAAAATATTATTTTGATTATTAATATGTTTGATTTCACCAAAAAAGAGTCAATTTCATTTGTATTGTGTCAGCAATATCATGAAATACAGAAGCTAATGTTATGGTTAGGTACTTGGTATATCTGAGTCAGTATAAAACGTACTTTGATGAAACTGTAATTCATGACATAAGAAAGAAAGAACTTTCTAGATATGATAGAGAAGATTTGTAGCTCAGGTGGATGATTTTGATGTGGTTGTGTTCTCTGAGCTGGATAGTTAATTTGCTAAGCTTTCATCGCCTCACTAGGCGACATCTTCAGTGCATACTTCAAATTGAAGTATGCGCTGAAGATGTCACCTAGTAGGGTAATGAAAGCTTAGCAAATTAACTATCCAGCTCAGAGAACACAACCACATCGAAAGAACTTTCTGTCAGTACGAGTTATGAGTTTGAATTTTCGTCATGTCTAAAGCTTAAGAATTCAGGTGGATTTATTAGTCTGACCCCCTCTCCTTGTAAACAGATGTCGTTGCTGAACTGTATCGTTATTGTTTCTGATAGTGATATCTCAGTGATTCCTATAGAGGCCTTATTCTTACAAATTCAGTTCCTTGGAGATGACATCAGTGAGATACTAACACAACGCCTTAGGAATGTGGTAAAAAGAGCATTCTCTGCTGCCGAATTACGCTGCTTCTTCAAAGCCACTCCTATTTTGCTTTCGGGAGTAAAAGACAAACTGCCTAATTTCGCCTCTTCCATCTATATCTACCAATTTAACTGCTCCTGTGAAGTGAGCCAGTTACATAGGCCGCACAATTAGGCGTGTTTCTCGTCGGATTTCCGAACATCATCTTGTATAGTAGTTAAGTAAAGGAGAAACAAAATCCATTCGAAGAGCTATTCTATCTCATCTTGTGGATGCAACAGAACACAAGATTGATGTCAACGAGGCAGCTTTCAGAGTCATTTACTGCATACAAACAAATCTCAATTTTGCCTTAAGAGTTCGACTACTAAATATTGCTGAGGCTGACAGCTGGGATCCATATTAAGTAGCCTAATTTGTGCTTCCAAAAGAAGTAGCTAGTTCAGACACTGTCCTTACCGTGGCCATCTAGGTTTGAATCATCCTCAATTTTTTGTAGAGATTTCCTTAATTTTAGTTGGTATTCTATTTGCTACTATATCTTTATTATTATTATTATAATTTTCGCACCTTTAATGAACTGTAATTCCATCGTGATCGTACTTAAAAACACTAATATTGTATTGACTACTATTCTAGAATATTCTGTGTATATAGACATATACGTATATAATGGTAGAGCCAAAAGTGGAAATTATCGAAAAGGATGTTCTTTACTCAATTATTTTGTTTATTATAGATGTCTGAATGAATATTTCCGCTATACTTTGGATACCTCAATCATTTTTAGATATTCTTCAGATATTTAGTTAATAGACAGTACTCCTAAGGCACATACCTTTGAATCTTAGTGTTTTATATTACTGATTGATTCATATAAGTTATATCATGAACTATTCCTGCTCACTGTTGGATTACCTTTTGTGCCTGGCCATCATTCAACAGGTGAGCAAGCTCGGGAAAGAGGGAAGATTAAGTGTAAGGATGTAACCCCATCGTGTAATAGAGTCAATACCACCGCTACTAAAATTTCAAGTTTACAAGTCTTAAGTCCCATGTTTCACTAGGAATGCAAGGTTTCAATGTAAATTTGTTTATCATACTCTTCCACCTTACAAAACTTCTCGATTTTCTCTTATTTCTACTTTATTTTCTCTACTTTATTAGTCCTGATTTGAAGAAGTTCCTTGTGGAGGATTGGACTGCAGCGAGTTTAAAGCGTACTGGTACAACTACACTGAAGGCATATGAATCGATTAAGACAATATGCTTTCAACAGATTCAATTGTAAGTATTTTCTCCTGATTTTTACTCTCTCTCCGAAGATGACTAACTATATCACATTGTAGAATGATTGAAAGCCACTGGACAGCTGTTTCGTCTGTGTTTGGGATTCTTCAACATTGTGCGCGCCTATAACTCTTCACAAGAGATCGGACCTTCCCCTCCCCCAGGACATTTGATTGACAAATTCAATGACGTTTGAATTCTAACTTGTGTGTTAATTCGTGCACTTTCTAGCACTACCTGTGAAGGGTTCCGTTCTAGGACAAAACAGTTGTCAAGTAGTACGCTCTGTGGTTTTTAAGTGATTTTGGTTCCTGATGAGACCGATTGGTTGGATTACTGATTACATACATAGAGGTCGGTGGCACAGCGGTTAGGACTCTCGCCGACCATGCACATGGTCCGAGGTTCGATCCCTCGCCGACGCACACCTGATATCTATGGTCGGCCTGCTAAATTTGGGCTACCGTTATCACATGCTGAAAATTCCATACTTGTACCAAAATACTGTGTGGAATCAAGCTATAATCAATAAAAATCAATCAATAAAAAAATAGACTATGAAGTGTGTTTGTATGCCACCAACCAGTCATGATCATGTACTCAAAGTAGAATATACGGTCGGTTATATCGACAGATTTTGTCGAACGGCATGCAGAAGAATGATTGAAGTGAGGACAAGACAAACTGATGAACTTATCGGCGGTTATTTATCAAGAACATGAATGGTTTAAATGCTATACAAGTTGTCATTGCAACTGAAACTGTGATCTAAACGCAAGAAACCGATCTCTACGTTCTACACTTTAGCCGAAAAAAAAATCGTTGAGACACGCGCTATCACGCTAAACGTTCTACAGGCAGGGAAATGACGATTGCTCTTTGATATTTTAGTGATTCTACTGAACAGCAATAATGACATAAAACCCAACATTACCTCAGCAGGCCAAGTTAAACTTTAGACACCAATAATTACCAATCAGCAAACGACGTCGAATTATCCAATGAGATTCACGAACGTTAGTTCAATATTGTATAGCGCTTGATTCATTTACAATGCGTTCCCTTACAAGGTTACGTTTGCAATTCGAGGAGGATAGTGTCTTTCAGTATTGCCTGGACTTATGCTTGCTTCGAAAGCAGAGAAGTTGTTCCTGTGGTGGTGTAATGACTCTTAAAAGCTATACGAGGTCAACTGATGGATTTGTCCATCGTTGTGGAATATGTTGGAAGCGAGTTAGTGTTAGAGAGGGTAAGCTGCCAATTTTAATATTTCGTCGGAACATTTTTTGCTAGGTCGCATCTCTCTCTAACCCAGATTTTGTATATCTGCAACTATTGGGTATTGAAGCAGCCATTGAGAGCGGCAGCTGTGGAGACGGAGAATAGCCTCGTCTCAACAGTCCAATGGTATCAACACTGTAGAGACATCGCCTCATGGAAAATGGAGAGAATTACTTCGCTGTTAGGCGGGGAGGACGTAGTAGTGCATGTGGTGAATAAGAAATATAACCGTGGTCGTCAGAGAGCAAACAACATTTGGGTAGTAGGTTTATACGACACGTCCCTCCGAAAAGGATTTGTTGAAAGAATAGCAGACAGGAAGGCGACTACTCTGATACCTATTATAACGCGACTTATCAAAAGGGGATCAATTGTATATACCGACGAGTGGAAAGGTTATGATTCATTGTCATCCCTGGGATACATTCATTACAGAGTGAACCACTCAAATGATTTCGTGGATCCAGTTACAGGGACTCTTACAAATTCCATTGAAGAATTTTGGGGTCAATTGAAAAATTGGATCCGCCCTATAAATGGATCACAAAAGGATCTGATTTATAGTCATTTAGACGAATATATGTATAGAATGTGGTGCGACCTGTCTATTGGCAGTCCCATGCTGAATTGGGAGATGTTCCTGTCCCATGTTCGGGCAGGATATCCATTGTAATCGTTTTATCCTTTTTTTATGCATTTTTTTTTTATAAATATACGCTTCCACTTATCATAAACGCCTCCTTCATGTGATTGGTCGATTCAAGGTCGCTTGCTGATTGGTTGTTATTGGTGTCGAAAGTTTAACTTTGCCCCTCAGCAGTGCCCTGAGGCAGCTGGCTAGCTTTACAGGTACTGTATTTTTCTAAGCACAAAACAACTACTGTAAAACAAAATTAATTGACCAAGGTCCAACTGTTTAAGTCCTTTTGCATCAAGGAAAATATTCCCGACGAGGTGGGATCACAAGTAGGATGTCCCCGCAAGAGTCGCACATCAACTCTTCGCACAGAGAGTCCCGGGTCGGAATCATCTCCATTCACTCAAACAAACTCTTTATCGTTATACAACACATTGTCAGTGCACACATAACCAAAAATAGTAGTATTAAAACCAAAGATTAAACAAGGTTAAAGACAAATAATGAAGGTCGTAACCAACATGTGGTGTTTTTTTATTCCTTCACGTTCTCAGGGGAACATAGGGCACCTTCAAGCTAGAGCTGTACAGTTTCATTAGCAGTGGTGTTTATTTTTACGCGATGAGGTTGCTAGCCTCATGCCCAACCAACCTTCCCTCTTTACCAGTCTTATTACTGGGTTATTGAGCGAGGTAAAGGATGTGCGAATGTCAAATTAATGATACACAGTCTAAAGGAAAACGTAGAATAATTACAAAGTTAGTTGAAACGTCTAAATAAGTTTAAATATTATAAATAGACCGTCCGGAATAGATTTCCTAAACCATTTGTTTACTACAACAATATGTGGCTGCATAGCATCAATGGTTTAAGGGTGGAGTGCACTCCAACCATCAGCACACTTCGAGGTTCGATTCCTGGCTGACACACTGCGAAACCTTGCTTAGCTGGTAGTAGATTTTTAGGCACATTTAAGGTAAGTTATGTTAGCAGATAAAAACACTGTCCTGATTGGTTGTTTGTTGATTTTCTGAAGGCTAAACCTCAAGACCAAAGGTTGTCTAATCAGATTATTTACCGACCACAACGTAAACTAAATCCAGGTATGAAGAGTAAACATATATTCTTGCTTGACCACTGGCTTAAAATGCTGTTTCCAATTATGGCTGCTTCTCATTAATCTGTGTCCATATACCACTGATGTATCTTATTAGATGGTTGGAGGCAATCGGCAGGAAGCCCAGCCAGCTGACCTAGGTTTCGTGCTAGTTGGCACTCACCATTCAGCAAGGCGTATCTGCAGTCTAGAAGGAACTCGTGTCCTTTCTGAGAGTAGAGTCCAGGTCGCCCAGTGCTGCACTGAGTCAGAGACGTTACCACCACTGAGTTATTCGGTCTCGCGATTGACCTCTTGTAGGACTGCGGATACGCCTTGCTGGCTGATGAGTGCCAGCTAGGACGAAACCTTGGTCAAGCCGGGCTTCCTGTGACCGATTGCCTCCAACCATCATCTAATATCATCAAATCAATGTGCACCGTGCTACCTAGAATGCTGGCCACATTGCAAACTATTGGACGGATAGATTTCAGTCTGCACCGAAGAAAGGACTAGACCCATCACACTAGTTACTGACTAGTGTCCAATCAAAGTAACTGATACATATATCTTGTTAGTAGCCCACGCCATAAATGTATTTTTTGTTATCAATTCAGTAATTTCATTTGTCATCTATTGATCTTTTTTTTCTTGTGTCTTCATACTTTCAGCTTTTTACAACGTCTGCTATTTCATGTCTCTGAAGTAATTGGAAGTTTACGTGACACCCAACTGTGTCATGAATTAGAAATATCTCCCAATATAGCATTACAGCTTTTTCGAACTATTGCTATGACACTACAGAAAACACAAGAATTACAGCTGTAAGTTGTTGGTGTTTTCTCTTCCTGAAATGTATGTGGTTTGAAGTATAAATAAATAAATGACTGAAATCACAGAAAATACCCATTGAGTCATGAAGAAAATAAAAGACAGATTCGGCGAAGAAAATTTTTTCTTTATCGACGAAATCATCTTCAGGGGCTGTACAGTCGTATTAATACTCACAAAAATATATTATTATTATTCCCTTGGGTTCCTAGTGGAACATAGGGCTTCAACTACACGTCTCCACTTGCTTCTGTCTTCTCCTGTACTTTTCACCTGCATCCATGTTAGTCCATACTGTTTCAACTCCTCTTCACACGATCTCCTCCATGTCACCCTTGGACGTCTCACTCGCCGCTTCCCTTTCGGGTTCCACTCGAGCACTGGCCTGACGCGCGATGTCACCCAGCGGCCTCCTCAGCGAGTGTCCAATCCATCTCCACTTTCTCCTGCATATTGTTTGTTGAGCGATTGGTTCTTGTTTCGTTTGTTTGTTCCCATAGTTTCTTGTTGGTGATTGTTTCCGGCCATCTGATCTTGAGTATAGAGCGAAGACAGTTGTTGTTAATAAAGCTCTGCGACAGGCTGTTGGAAATATTCTTTGTGACCCGCCAAGTTTCTGATCCGTATAGAAGAACTGACTGACTTGACGTTTGTATTGAAAATCCGAATTTTGTTGTTGATGCTGAGTGGCCTATTATTGAGTAGTAATTGGGGGTGACATAATTGATATAATTATTCAGAAGGAGCCTTAGAAGTGAAAATTAAAAGTTGTAAATTACGTGGAACTCAACGTCACAAAGATAGAAATTTGATAAAATTAAAATTGCTATTGAGTAGTGAGAAGAAATGTGGTGGTTGAGTATCAATTTAACAAGTGCGAAGAGGCTGTAAAAATGTACAAAAGGAACATATGAGAGTGATAATAGTGAATTAATTATTGAAGCAAAAGTAAACTAAAAGTAAAATTAAAAAAGAAGAAAAAATCAAAGTTTTTTTTACAAGGAGCGACTAGTGAAGAGGTTAGGACCAAGGTAGAATAAGAGACTGGACAAAATCTTTCTGTATACAGAGTTCAGGGTTGTATTGACGAATTGTCAGTACCTCCACCATACAAAAAAGCCGAAACCTGATGCCCTTTGTACCATTTGGCTTCACTTTGTTGATGATCTTGAAAGACGACTCTGGTGGAGCTTTGTGGCCTGAGCTCACCAAAATGCTCGAGAATTGAGCTAGTAATTGTCTTACATTGTCCCTTTGCTAACCATGCCGGATAATGATAAATGACTCAATAATGTAGGTAGTTGAGGAGATTTTTGCAGTTCAAGATAAAAAGAATGAAAATTGATTGGTGCTATATGGAGGCAAGTAGGGAGAGGGAAAAGGGAAGATTTATAGTTTAGGTGAGATGATATGAGTGTTGTCGTGAAGTTTTCTTAAATGGATGATTCATCTGAGAAGCCATTACTGTCTTTGTAGACTATATTCAAAAGTTAATTTCAATATTGAAATGCGTCTGTGCCATTTCGAAATATTTCAAGTGATGTCACCACTATTCCCCAGCGATTGGTTCTCAGTATCTTGGGGATCCTAACCAGGCAGTATATACCTCCCTACGTGAATAAATCCAACTGTCAATGACTTTTGAAATTAATGCCATGTTTTCACGACATCACTCTCTTTACTCTTTTCCAAGCTGATCTTGGGTCAGGTTAGACGGCTCGTCGAGGAAGGCGATGATTTGGCCTACACGGCACGTGCTCTAACCATCTCACTTCATGCTACTTCACACTTACATCGATCGACTTTTCCTTCTCACCTAACACTTGTTGCCTAACTTGAATACTAAACACCCTATTATGCTACCTAACACGGGAGACAGAACTCAGATACCTATGATGAAAGACAGCTAACCGGCTGTACAATCGTATATATATATATAGCCTTTTTAAGAAATTATATCTTCTGAGGGAATTCAATCCTAGGTGTGAATACATAAAATAATAATAGTATGAAATGCAATAAAATGTTTGTGATTATAATCATAGTTAAATGTCAAGTGGCAAAACAATTAATATCATATATAGAATAATTCATAGGATGTATAGGACTTGGATTAATAAGCAAATAGAATAAAATGAAATTGCCGAAAAGATATCTTTGCTGAACTTCGTGTTCTCTTCTTCCAAATAGAATAAAGTTGAAACGTTACGTAACATTGGATGAAATCTAATAACATAGAATTTAATGTTGCAAAACAGAATTGATATAGAATGACAAGTGGAATAAGTGAAATAATACCGGGGATGCCTCAAAGTGAGAATAGTAATAGTAGCAATTGACTTAATAAAGGAAGAGTATACAAATTGAATTTTTTTTCGTTTACGTTCCCAGTGGAACATAGTGCTTCAAGCTAGAGGCTTAAAATTTCGGTAGGAGTGATGTTTATTTCTACAGCCTTCCCTAGTGTTCTTTCACCCCCTTGGACAAAACTCAAGTCTAACGACCGATGTACGTAGCTCCAGACGAGCAGTTGAATTCATAAACGCGCATAGAATTGGTCAACTAGGGGATCTTGTCCTTCAGGTTATTCAACAGTAATGGTTGGCTGTAAAACGCTACTGTCAACGATGCAGCAGTGAATGTCCCTTTCAGGGACTGTGAGTTCCTTCTTTTTATGATGATATCGGAAGCTAAGTCAGCTCTAAATTCCAAGCCCATGTACAGCATTTTCTTGGTTACGTTACGTACCTTTTCATTGGCTTCGACTGTATATTGTTATCTATAAAACGTGACGGAAATCCATTTCTCTATTAGGATTATTCTCAGAAAATTTAACCCTTCACTGAATCACTTGTTTTGATTTTAAAAATTTTTGTGTGGAAATAATTGATTTCTGTTAATCTATTCTTTGCAATATGTACTTTTTGTTTGAATTAATTATAGGGTTATTGAGAAGAGTATTATAAAACTGCGCGCCTTCTTTAAATGGTTATTTGGTGGTAAGTTGTGTATATTAATTAATTCATTGTTTATCTTTCATTTAGATTCTGTGAAAATTATTTATATTTAACTTTTCTATGCAAAAATATGTAATTAGAACTTAAGTGGTGGATGGTGACTAGCAGTGGAATCCAAGACAACGCGCATTTCGTCCTATTTGGGACTCGTCATCTGGATGTACCTGCAATCCACAGTGAATCAGTGATAGTGTTCCCACCGAGCTTCGAACTCAGTGCCCATAGTTTCAAACACCAAAGCATCATCCACTTGACCACTTTGGCCATTCACTGCTGAATGCAGGTACATCCAGCCGGCGGACGAGTCTCGAATAGATCGAAATGCGCATCCTGGATTCCACTGCTAGTATTTGTCCAATCTCACACTATTGAATATAACTCAAATATCTCTGATGAAATTTATATTGCGCTGGCTGTAAATAGGGTTCGTTATCCGAATCTCTAAGGCATTGGCATTGACTTTGTAAATAACTTTGAATGAATTCTCCTTACATATTGAGTGATCAGTGTTGAATATATGTCCAGTTACATAGCGCTCCTTATTCACCCACTGTCACCTTTTCGTAGCCAAGCGACACATTGTTCTTTGACTCTTTTAGATAAAAACATGCATCGAACGACTTATATATCTCATTCCAAACGAGCTAGTAAATATGGTAGATACACATAGAAGTGCTGAAATGAGATAGTTTATCTTCAGAGTTGTTGAAGAATAGTGGGCGGTTTGAGAATACCAGTCGCAATTTAGCATCAGAGAATGTTCTATCCAATTTTTTATTCTTGTCTGACAAGCCTAATGATTGCGGTTGTAAGGCTGAGTGAATGAAGTTGCCGCGGAAAAGTGACGATTCTTCGTTGAACTGTTTTGGTTCTCATACTTAGTTTAATTTTGTCAATTGGAAATCTTTTATTTAAATCGCTGTTTTCCTGTTGAAATGTTTTGCCTTTTTTTGTCGTTGTACTTACTAATCAGTCTACACATCTGTTTTGTCCATTTTGCACTTAGCTATACTTGAACAGTCTGGACGTGTTCTACCGATTGAATATCCTAGAGTAAGCGATAATTGTTGCATTCAATCTACAGTTTTTATATGTATCCCCATTTAGACATTTGAAAAAAACAGAAAGATTGAGCGAAGAAATATTTACTTTTCAATTAGATCCTCTTCTCTGGCTCTACTCTAATATATATAGCATTTTTATTACAATACACAACAATTTACCAAACACGTGGCGATACGTTTGTTAACAATAATTAACCAGTGTCAAAATGTCAATGGGCAGATAATTAAGGAAGAAAATTAACACACACAATTAAAAGGTAGAAATGGATAGAATAAATTAATTTTACCAGAATAACACGTAATTAAAGATGAAGTGGTCAAAATAAAATTAAAATAATTTGGACAATTATAATTTAATAGGGGGAGGGGGGCGACGTAGTCCTGTCTTGTAACGATGGCCACGGTAAGCAAAGTGGCTGTACAAATTTCTTCTGTACACATAGGCTTGCTTTCTTCTGGTGGATTCCAATTGCTTCAGCTGTCTGTAAAAGACGAAATCTTAGAGCAAAGTTAAGATTAGTTGGAATACGATAAATAATTTTAAATGCAGTATTCACATCGTCGTATTTCTGAACATCATCCAGCGTGGTTAAGCAAGGGACAAATAAAATCTATTCGTAGTTCTATTTTAGCACACCTTGTTGATACTGAGCACAAGATCGATGTGAACGTCATCGAAATGTCTCTAAAATGTGATGAGTAATCAGATCTGTAACTAGGGGGGTGGATTGGAAAGTAGCGACAAGGATTGCTTGATGTTAACTAGGGTGTCAATGGAGACACGTGTCCATACTCCGTCATTATATTATGTTATTATTGTTTCCTATAATTCCTAGAGGAACATAGGGCTTCAGCCGTGCGTCTCCATTGCGTTCGGTTCTCTGGCAACATTTTCACCTGGCCCAAAGTCTGCCCACACACTTTCATCTCCTCTTCACATGACCTCCTCCAAGTCGCCCTTGGACGATCAACTCGCCGCTTCCCTTTCGGGTTCCACTCGAGCAATCGCTTGTCTAGTGATGTCACTTGATGGTTTCCTCAGAGTATGGTCAATCCACCTCCATTTCTTCCTGCATGGTTGTTGCACTATGGGTTCCTGGTTGGTTCGCTCCCAGAGATCCTACCGTGTTACTGATCTTTTCTGGCCATCTGGTATTGAGTATTGAGCGAAGACAACTGTTGATGAGATGTTCTTTATGACGTGCCAAGTCTCTGAACTTACTTTACTTCGGCTATCTCCTACGGGAGGATGAGCCGGCTTCATGAACATCACGAAAAGAGAGTTCATGAAGTTTCATGGGAATTCGGTACGAGTGATGTCCCCAGAATCGCTCGGCCTTTTGTTTGAGAGTGCAGCTCTAGCCTCTACACAACCAAGTGACCTACAAGGAGTGAAGTAGGGAGTCCACTATCCATTGGCAGCCGGTGACCGGATTTCGGTTCATACGCCTTTTTGAATGGGGCCAGACATCCAGGACATCCAACAAGCCCTTTGTCCATACGTCTGCCGGTGAGCTCCAGTGAGCTTCATATGCAAGTCGTTGGAGGTTTGGAATCAGGGTTTAGCCATCTCCCCTAGACTGTCATCCAATGGACAGTCAAGCCGGTGAAGAGCGCCGGGCATCCGCTTTCGCCCTCTCACTTTGGTGAAAAACACCTCCGCCACGTGAAGGCAGTGAGTAGGACTTCCTCAGGAGAGGCTATGTAAGACGCCCGGTCATATGGGAGCATTTCGAGAGGTGTTCGGAGGGGTGGTCAACCCGCAGCGCAAGGCACCCACCCCCAACCATCCTGAGGCTTTGGAGGCACACATGGGAGATAGAACTCAGGCATCTATGATGAAAGACAGCTAGGCGGTCTTTTCATATCTTCCACTTTCAGTGGTCTCCATCTCTCACTCACAGCCGTAAAAGAGAAAGATGGAACAAAGTGCTGAGTAGTACACATGCCCATTCATCGATAGCCAACCGATTATCACGTCCACTAAACCAGAGATGGCGTAAGTTGTCTGACAATTGCCAAACAAGCCTTGTATATCGGAGCTGAGATTTCGTTAGCTATCACCCAGTTGAGACTGTCCTATACAGCTTCCCAAATAAGTGAAGTGGTCAACACTCTCTACAGTTTTACTATTAACATCTAGAAGGTATATTTTAATGAACATAGAACTCCACAAAATGGTAGCTTGTCGTAACTTCTAATGAAATCTGTCCAATTATGTGTTAGGCGTTCATGAATATGTATACTGTTACTTGGCGACAAAGGCCAGTGGTGGTTATTATCCGTTAGTAACAAAAATGATTATCACTATGGGTGGAAAATATTGACTAAGCTTACGTGATCGGGAAAGTGTACAACTGATTAACAAGGAAGAAAGACCATAAAAAAGTATATGGGATTTACCATACCATAAATCAAGATAAATTTAAAATAGCTTTAAAACCCCCATTGAGTCATATGAAAAAGAGAAGGCGTTCAACGAAGAGACTCTTTTCGATGGTGAATTCATTCGCATAGCTGTACAGTCGCACTTATATATAATTATTTGTATGTGTGTGTGTACATGAGGTTTGTCAAGTTTAGATAATTAATCAGGTAATACAAGAATGATCTAATTCAGAAACAAGGTTAATTGGGCAGCAAATAAAGTAGGATTGAGTTAGTAAGTTAGATGACGTAATATAATTGACTGAAATGTTTCAACTTAGTTCAGGTTTGCAACAGAGGTAATTACAGGTAGAGACTGAGTAGAGGTGGGGTAGAGGATAATGCCATTTAAATTAGGACTAAAGTTGAGCAGATAAATTGGATGACGTAACATAAATGACTAGAAATTGAGCGTTGGTCAAGCTGGTAACAGTGGTAATGAGGTGCAGAAATTAAATCGGGTGGGGGTAGAGAACAGGAAAGTTAAAAATGTAAAATATTACAGTTGAAAAGACAAAATAATATGAATGAAGAGACAGAGAGAAATAGAATTTACCTGTCAGTTACTAAGATAGATTACGTCCATTGCAAGTGTAGTGATTGAACGGATTTCTTCTGTATGCAGCATTCAGGACTTAGCAAGTGGATTGCCATTGCTTCTACAGTTTGAAGAAGTTTGATTCGTACACTTTTAGGAAAGCTACTTCGTATTCTGTAGACGACTTTGAAGTTTGTTTGGGGTGTAGCTCGGTGACGGGAATCTATCAGATGTTCTAAGATAGAGCTGCATGGGGGCATCGTTTTCCTCTTTTGTAAAACCATGCTGGTAAGTGTTTGGTGATACGTTTGGAAAGCGAACGCTGCGTGCGGTCGACTATCCGGGCTTCACACGAGCAGGTGAACTGGTAAATTTCAAATCCAGACTTATACCATAGGAGTGAAATAGGCTGGATAAAACGTTTCTAGTTCATGACACTAGCTAGCGTTGTCACTGCTTCACATCGCGAATCAGTAAAAACCAGAGTTTATAGATCATTAAATGTAGTAGTCCCGCTGGGGGGATAATTGACCAGTGGGTTCATAACCTCAAAACCTGAAAATCCTGATTTCGAACGTCCCCCTAGAGAAGTCATGGTTACTGATGAACAGTCACAAACTAGGATAAAACAGCTGTCAAGTTCACTCTAGTTTTCAGTGGTTCTCCACTGAAGTCAATCACATTCTTGCCAACCAACACTTAAAAATTACAAAAAACATTTTCTGGCTTTTCATTGTCTCTTTGTTTTGATTTTTCCGACCCTTGAATTTGCTGTATAGCTGAATCTTACTGAACGTGAACTTGTTATTAATTTTATCACGGATTCTTTGCAACCAAAAGTTGTTGATGGTGAGCTACAAGATTACCAAGTTGACTTAGTTGAACAGGTGAGAAGCTTTTTTGTTGTTGCATGTTTTCATTTTTGTTGTATTTTGTATAATACCTTATATAAGCAGTCGAAAGCGGTTAATGCCAGGTTTGATGCTTTTAGGCACTCGTCAACATGTTTTTCCTAAGTAACTGATGTTTTCTTTCGAAAATTTGGACTGAAATATGTACAGTGCTTCAGTTATAGACGCTAAAACCGAGTTAATGTATTCAATGTGCATTGTAGTGGCGAGTTTCCTAGATCGGAAATCGGTTACACAATTGACCAATAGGATTACGCCAGTCTTAAGGATAAGGCAGTATATCATTGGTCATTTGCCAATTGACCAATCAGTATGTAGTTTTTATATAACGCTTCAAGCTGAATTGATTTTAGGCTTGAATTTTGGCGGTTATATAGCGCTTTTGTATCGTAACTACTGGAAGTTACTCTGGAAGACTCTCGGGATAATCCATGCTGGACAGTGCTTGAGAAAACGGTGGTGGATTTGCTGTTTCGTTTTGAAACGACCAAACGTCAGAGACTATACTTTACGGGTAAAGATTAGTAAATATCACCCACACCATATTACACCATATTACTACTATTAATACTACTATTATTAAAACACAAACTTCATACATAACGGAAATCAAGAGATACGCAACAATGAATCTCATAGTTCTTGCGAGGACTAGTGTTCTGTTTAGGCGCTTAGACCGAAACAAGTGGTTGTTTTAAGGGGTTGACCCCGGAGCCTTTGACTTAGAGATTGATCCACAAGTCAGTTGGGCAGTGTTAGGAGTTACGTTCCCATGGTTCACAGTGACCGAAACAAGTTTATATTCAATTCGATATGTTAGGATTTTTTACATCACCGATTTCTAATCGGGGCTTTCTAGCTCCTCTATTTCGTCCTGAATGTCCATCAGCGGAGTTGTAAGCGCCCTTTCACGTTTGTTGGGAATAGCCCTGTTGTGTATAGACAGTGAATAGCTCTCACACGGCAGCGGCTATGAACGTGTAGCCGCATGAGAGCATTTCGAGGAGAAGACGGAGATCTATCTACCCTTATCCGTACCAGGTCATCAATGGGGGCTATTCACACCATTAGGGTGAAGAGCATTGTAGCTATTGATTTTCTAAGTTTCAATGCTATTGATTCAGCAGTTACGTGTTTGTAAACCATAGAGCTCGATATAGCCGCATGTCATACTACGGAGTAGTATTGTAACAACAGAAGACAAGGGTCAGGCAACAGATCGTTTATTAAGGAAATCAACACATATTTATTGCTTGTTTTACATATTTGTAGATTTTCATGTACATTATCATACATTATTGTCATCAGAAAAACAGTCTTCTGATTGATGGTTTCTCACTTGAAGTCAATCTATCACCTCTTTGTGGCTGTTTCTTGAATATCAGATCATCTATCTGCTAATTGTATCCGCCTATGCAAAGTCTGTTGTGATTAGTTGTTGAGTCAGTCTTTGTTCTTGTTTTCACATGATCAATATTTGGGACGTAAATTACTGTCTACCAATTTGGCTAGCAGCCAGTTCTCACCACAGTATCAGTAGTTAGAAAACTACTCGCATCAAACATTAGTGCTCAGTACTTTGCTGGATGTCATCCAAACGTCGGATAACGATTTCACTTGTTTCGAGTGAAGCAGGTTAGACAAATTGACATTGTTTTGTTAATTAGGTGTTACATCCTTTTCGTCATTACTGTGAGTAATGTCCAGATTTAATATCTTCTATTAGTATGGAGAGATGTCAGTAGTAGTCTTTAGCACTTGGCTTCCACTCGGCTCGTCTCAGTGAATAGGTGAGTTCCATTCATTACTGCTGAAGTGTTTCTCACACAAATGAAAGCGCATATATGAACGTTTAGCACTTATAACCGGTCTGACTGGTGGTGGACACGATGGTCTACCTGTGGGAAAAACTGCAATACCCCAATTCCATGTCCATGGTATTATTATGGCTTCAAAATCCGAAAGGATCAAATGACTTTTGAAATCGTGTTGGTCACCAGAAACCATCGGTAATGCTGCTCTACTGCGTTGTAGATAAGACTTAAAGTAAAAGAATCGGGGGTGAGGTGAGGGTGGCAACCACTAGTTTCAGTGTGGACGTCTGAGTAGGATTTCAGCTGTCGTACAAACTATGAAATTTTGCGTAACATATATCTTAGTGCCCATAATGCACTAAGTTTGTGCTGAAGAGTTCAACATTAAGACGAAACAGCTGTCCAGGATTCCCTATCGGTTTTTCCAATAATTCTCTAACTGATATCAGCTCATGATGAAATCCTCTAAATAATTGTAATAGTTCATGCTAGATAGGGTACATGGTCTGCTGCATGAAAAACCTGTTCCCAAGTAAAGGATTTTTATTTCTGCAGTCAAAATATATAATTTTTCCTCTGCACACTTAGAATTGTTTATTCCAACACCTGCTGTTTTGTATTCATTTCATTAAATCATGTATAGTATATTCGATCTGGTGAAGTTCATAAACCACTAGAGGCTGTTGCACAATCATCTTTACATAAGGATACAGAACGTGCAAATTTACGTAAATCCCTTGAAGAAATTATTGAACAAACAGATAAAGGATATTTACCAGGTAAGTAATTTGCATCTTGTTTGGTTGTACATTTCGAGTTGTTTATGTCAGTGTGTGTTCATTCTACATACACTTTTTAAATCCACTTTAAACAACCGAATTTCTAATGACTTCGCATATGCCAGTTTACGTCGTCTCTGGCGTAGACGCGATATCCGTATATCGACCAAAGGGCGTGTGTACTGCTCAACAGTCCACTCCGTCCTCTTTTATGGCTGTGAGACCTAGCCACTGAGAGTGAGAGACATGAAAATATTAGCTGTCTTTGATCATAGGTGCCTGCGTTCTATTTCCCGAGTGAAGTGGTATAGTAGGGTAAGCAATACTGAGGTTAGGCGTCGAGTGCTAGGTAAGGCGGGGAAATCAGTCGACGAGACTGAAATTACATCGACTGAGATGGTTAGGACATGTGTTACGTATGCCTAGCCATCGCCTTCCTCGACCGACGGGCAATGTTAGCTGATATAGGACCAGGCTGGAAAAGAGCTAGCGGCGGTCAAACGAAAACATGGCACCAGTCAATGAAATCCACAACAGTTAGTCTAAGCCACGTAGGAAGGTGTAGACTGGCTTCCTGGTTGGGGTCCTCGGGACGGTAAAAACCAATGGTTGGAACCAATTGGTGACATGGCTCAAAATCGTTCTATATGGCTGGCGCAGATGCATCCACTCCTTGTGACTTATGATTTCCAATTAAACTGTATTGTTCTCCGTTATTACTATTCCTTTGTGTCACACCTCTGTTTACTGTCTATATTATGGATTTCTCCTACTTTCTTCTCTTGGTTTGTGTGGTACATGGAGTGTGGCGAATTGAACTGCCGCACATATGTGCAAAGTTCTATGTCGTAAGCCGACCAACCGACCGAATGACTTCATACTAAGGAGAAAACATGTGCGTTCCAAAGATAACTGTATTGATGGAAATTTATTGCTAACTGTGTAAATTGAAAATCACGAATTAATTTCTACAAATTGGTAATTTCATTTAGTATAGTTTGGTTTGTAAAGGTTAGTTATGTTTTTACGAGTTGATCACGGATTGATATCAGTTAGAGAACCATTTGGCAAGCCAGGGAGTACTGAACAGCTGTTTCATCCTAGTTTTTGAGAATCATCAATAGTAAGCACCCACCGAGATTCGAACCCAGGACCTTCCGGTTGCACGACAAGCTCGTATACCATTCAGCCACTGAGACCCGATTCAATGGCCAATCCATGAATTCTAACTTCTACCAATTCATGATTTAGCGCAACCCCAACCAATGTCGTTGGTGAGACATTCATCCTCACACGTGACATCTGGATGGACCTCACTCTGGTCACGACTTCTCACTAGAACTGACTCCAGGAAACTCCATCCTGTAGCAAGTCACTAGCGAGCATCAGATTAATTTTCAATAGTTTGGTTTTGATTAAGCAGCTAGCTGACTGAAACCTTTTAACCTAATAGTTAATTTGAAAAAAGAAAATCAATCCCTGTGTACGAAATGCTAACTGAAAACTGAGGATACTTTAAAATTATTTCTAAACACTTCTAACATTGTTAGTGAACATTGAGTATTTAGCAAACTGTAGTTTGTTTATTCGAACTGATCTCTATTTGGCGGGAAAAAAACACAATGAAATCTGTTGGTTGACGGAAGACTGGAGAAAAAATTATCAGAAGTGTTATTGGAATTCTTTTCTTTGGCGTTTATTCATAGACTTTGTGCTTTGTTTATTCTGCTTCATTGTCGGTGAAGAAATAAAGTATTGTCACTCCGTTTTCTGATATTCTCACGTTGGTCAACGCATATAGTATTATGAGGCAGCGATTAGTCTTATGGAATCAACACTAGGTTCAGGATCTTTCTCGATCTGGGCATTTGACGAATGGAACGTCTTAGTCAAGCAAACTAACACGGAAAAATTAGAAACTGAAGTATACAGAAATGCAACAACGCGACAACACACACAAAAAGAGTTGCATACGAACATTATTCAAGAGAGCCAGTCAGGACTCATTGCAGCACTCCTGCCTTCAGGAAAGTTGAAAAAAAATTTCTCATGGGCTTCTTCCAAAAAATGGATATCCATGGAATTTCTTGAGCGGACATCTACCCCTAGGTCAACCAACCAAATCAGACGTGCCCCCCCCCACAAGGGAAACACAAAGAAAATCATCTTGCCATATATAAAAGACGTCTCATAAATCATTGCAAGACTCTTCAAACCTTTAGGAACTGATGTCGCACACAAACCAACAAAGTCACTTCACTCAGCTTTGTGTCAAGCAAAAGATTAGGCCAACATCATCTACAAAATAAATTACAACCACTGCGAAAAAATACTACATTGGCCAAGGTTGATACCCGCATCATCTTCGCATGCATGAACGTAAACTAACCGGCAAAAGACATGATATCCAATATCTCATATCGCTGCCTTCAGACAAGCATGGACATCAATTCGACTGGGACAACGTTGGAATATTAAACAGAGCAGAAGCCAAGAATTCCAGAGAATTTCTAAAAGCCTGATATTCCAGTGTGAATATGCAATTTACTAGGCACGTTGACATAGATAAAATCTTTGGCACAAAAGGTTAAACTTCAGGTCGGTATACCATAAAATAACGTGTGTCTGCGTATGCAGTAAAAAAATGTTTATCGCATTGATTTTTACTATGTAAGTTGTTTGAAGGAAGGTGCCATAACCCATTCTTCTATTGTGAGACATTCTTCATGCATTCACCTTTATGTGATGATTAACTGTATTTAATTCATACATTAATACAAATTAAAAGAATACAGTTCATCTTCCATTTTGGTGTGTGATTGATTTATTCTCTTTAGATGGTTTCTTTTCCTACTGTTCTCGAGCTACACTAGCTGATCTAATTCAAAAGAATATCGAGAGTGATATAATAAATCTCATTCGATTACCCGTAGTAAGTTTATGTAACATTATCTCTATTTGTTGGTTCCCCTTGTTCGATTGGTTTTTAGGTATAATTTATACATCCCATTGATTGTCACTCAATGCTTAAATGCGTATAATAAGGTAAGTAGTGTTGACGTTAGGCACAGAGTGTTGGGCAAAGAGGGAAAATCAATCGAAGAGGCTATAAAGTTACATAGATTGAGATGGCTAGGTCACGTGCTATGCATGCCTAACCATCGCCTCCCCCGACGGGCATTACTAGCTGAAATAGGTGCAGGTTGGAAAAGAGTAAGTGGTGGCTAAACAAAAACATCGCATCAATCCATGAAATCCCTGACAGTTAAACTGATTCAGGTAGGGAGATGCAGACTTCCGGGTTGGGGCCCTCGGGACTCTAAGAATCAATGGCTGGAGACAATAGGTGACATGGCTCAAAATCGTTGTCAATGGCTAACGCAGATGTATTCAGTCTCTGTAATCTTTCATATTCCTTTCTACCATTACTCATTCTGTTTCACTCTTATACTTGTCAAAACTCTATTGATTCTCTTCCATCATTTTCTTGTCTACCTTTGTGAGCTATTTGGAACGTGGCAACTCGAACTGCTGCACTTCAATGCCAAATTCTATGTTGAATCCAGATAGACAGACAGTGCTTAAACACACAGTAGCACAGATTTCTATTTAGTGGCAGTTTACAGTTCATTGTAAGGTGTTGTAAAACAGGAATTATTGTTTTATCGATTGAGAATGGTGTGTACATTGTGCTGTGGTTCTCTTAGAGAAAACAACTGGTCAGCATAATTATTCATTGGAGGCCATATGATCCCTCTTATTTACCTTAAAATGCTTGAGTAGTTCAGTTGTAGAATGTTCATCAAATACGTACTTTGTCCGAGGTTCGACTCCCGTCTCACTCCTTAACGTCACCTAACCTAGCCGCTAGCAAGTCTTATCAAGAAGGAAGGCTGTGCTTGTGTGGTTAACAGCTCCATCCTGTGAAAATAAATGACACCATTGGTACTGAGTTTATTTGTACACACTGGTTAGTTCGGTTTTGCTAATGTCTTATGTTTGATTACCCGTCTATTTCCCCTTAACAATAGTTTAACTGTTACAAATAAGGCATATGTTAAGGCATCTGAGTAACCGTTGACCTTTATATATCACAGTTCTGTAAGAACTAGTTTCATTTGCCGATCATCACAGATCGGAATCCGTGGCTACTTGTGGTAGTGGCATATGTTAAGCTTGAAAGTGGAGGGATGATTTTAGGAAAGCATTATTCATCGTCGGTGGCATAGCGGTTAGGACGCTCACCGACCATGCACATGGTCCGGCGTTCGATCCCCGGTCGACGCACTCCTTTACCTCGCTAAGCCAGAAATAATGCTGGTGAAGAGGATAGGTTGGGCATGAGGCTAGTAACCCCATCCTGTAAAATAAACACTGCTACAGAAACTTCAAGCCACTAGCTTGAAGCCCTATGTTCCACTGGGGAACGTGAATGAGAAAAAAAATTATTCATCCATACTTTGTTACCCATTATCGTTAAATCTTAAATTATCGACAACTTAGTTAAGTTTTGAGATGATGATATTTCGGTTATTTAAAGAGATCGTTCCTCTGTATCCTTCCTACATTACCTATACCATCTCCAGGACTAATGCACCATCTCTACAATTGCTTTAGAGGCTATTCCGCAGGTGAAGTGGAATGCAAAAAAGCATGTTGTGTTCGTTAACATTTGATTTCATTTCTGTCACTGAGTACTTATAAGTAAAAACACAGTTTGTTTTTGTTCAGCGAAGAAACTTCTTTTCAAAGACTTCATTTTCAAGCTGTACAGGCGTATTTATATTACAGAAAAAAGGTTATTAAGTGGCACTAAATAATTGCTCAGTCAATATACATATATGTGATAAGAAGAACGATAATTAAAATGTTATAAGGGGTAGAGTTGAAGTGGATAAATTCCAAAATTATTAAAGATTGTTTTATAAGTGAATGTGTCAAGAGTTGTCTAAAAATTAAGAGTACGATTACGATAAGAATGAAAATGTGAAGTGAAGTGGAAAGAATTCAAGTGGTAAAATAAAATAAAATAAAAACTAGAAAGGACATTACTATGACCAAGGTAAAGAAAGGATTTTGACAAAACGTTTTCGAACACATAATTTAGGATTCTGTTCATGTAAAGCTAAAGCTTCGGCTATGCCTAAGTGAAGAAAACGTAAACTTTTGGAGCGATTCGATTTTGCCATGTAGATAACCTTAAAGGATGAGTACTTAGACGAAACCAGGTTTTGGTGCTACCAAAACTTATTTTGGAAGATCTGCCTTACAATTAACCTAGGTTGTCTCACCAGCTGATTAGTGCTTTTCGTCTCTCTCTATTTGGAGTCAGAATACGGAAATGTCCTCAAAAATGTTTTATTACTTGTGGAGTGTGTATAGACTTACATGAGGCTGTTGAGCTAAAAAAAATTAGTCATTAAAATAACGTCAGTTATTAATAAACGCTATTATTCATTGCATACTTGAAATATCTGGTTAGTGTAAAGTGACTTAATCGGAAATATTAGAGTTCACTTCAAGAATTTTCCTATCGGTGTCATGGTTTCGCTAGTTAACACTGCATGATATTCCTCGGGCATACAGTGAGACTGCTCCTCTCTTGTTGATATACATGGTCAAGAAACGCTTTCGTTATTGACGCGTAACTTCTACATCTGAGATGAGAGATATTTATCTGTTGCATGGAATGTTGCGATTGCAGTTTAGACCCTCAAGTATGGAAGTAGTGTGGTTATGTTATTTCAAGCACAATATGGATTAAATTAATCTCCTTGTGCACTGGTTTACCAATAGTGGTCTTAAACAGTCGAAAGCTGTAAGCATCAAGTTTATCGGTGATTCAGTGATGGAATATCGGCCTACCATATAAGTGGTCCAGGAATCGACCCTTCACCGGCGCACTTCTTTACCTTGTTTGGATGGTAGTAAGCCTGATAAAGAGGGCAGGTTGGACATGTGACTGGCAACTCTGTCCTATGAAAACACTGCTACTGATACTTTAGAACTCTAGCTTGAAGCGAAGGATTAAAAAAGTCGCTACTGGAATTTTTACACCTGAAGTTTGAAACCTTTTGTTCAACTAAGGGACACAATGAACGAAGTGTAACCTGAGACAAATGGCATCTGATGCCCACTTTCATTTCTCTGACGTTGTAGGTATGCTGATGACTTTTGATAAACACAAGATTTATGTCAACTATGGGATCTCTCTCCATTGTCTTCGACCAACTAGGGCGGTGAGTAGAACTTACTTAGGAGTTCCTTTGGTAGTGGTTGTCAGGTGCTTGTTGCTGACAAATTTCGACTGGTCAACACAGTAGGACACACTTCATTAGGGTGACCTTCGAATTTGTGTTGGATAATTAGAGGCAGTCCTACACTAAACACTACACACCGTGACTGACACTTACTTTACTTTACTTCGGCTATCTCCTACGGGAGGATGAGCCGGCTTCATGAACATCTCGAATCGTTTGTAAGAGAGTTCATGAAGTTTCATGGGAATTTGGTACGAGTGATGTCCCCAGAATCGCTCGGCCTTTTGTTTGAGAGTAAAGCTCTAGCCTTTACACAACCAAGTGTGACCTACAAGGCAGTAAGAGTGGAGTAGGGAGTCCACTATCCATTAGCAGCCGGTGACCGGAGTTCGGTTCATACGCCTTTTTGAATGGGGCCAGACATCCAGGACATCCAACAAGCCCTTTGTCCATACGTCTGTCGGTGAGCTCCAGTGAGCTTCATACGCCAGTCGTTGGAGGTTTGGAATCAGGGTTTAGCCATCTCCCCTAGACTGTCATCCAATGGACAGTCAACCCGGTGAAGAGCGCCGGGCATCCGCTTTCGCCCTCTCACTTTGGTGAAAAACACCTCCGCCACGTGAAGGCAGTGAGTAGGACTTCCTCAGGAGAGGCTATGTAAGACGCCCGGTCATATGGGAGCATTTCAAGAGGTGTGTGGAGGGGTGGCCAACCCGCAGCGCAAGGCACCCACCCCCGACCATCCTGAGGCTTTGGAGACACTGGTTACAACACGTTGACCAAACCTTGTATTTGACACTGTCCTACAGAAGACCAGTAACTTCTTCAGTAGTGTCGGTTGATACATTCCACTGGGGAAATCATAGTGCATTATCGGAATTATCCTTCATCCTATGAAATCACATCATGCAATAACTGCGTTGCCCCATCCAATTCGTTGTTAGAGGTATTGAAATAAAATTCGTCTCACGTCTCTATGCCATGAATTCTAATGTTCTTAGTTGACAAAAACTGTCGCAAGATCAGTCATGATGTGTCTGAGCGTGGTTTTTTAAAGTGCTTGTTGTTGTCACTAAACGGAAACAGTTCTACGTGGACAGTAGTGGTAAAGTACACAGAATTGACGGATATCGTCATCTCGACGTTGTCAATTTTCACTAACTCAGGTCAGAATTGCCTACACTAAAGTGTTTTTGAACTCGATAGCTAACACGAACAGTAATGTTATAGAATTTGGCGTGTCACTTTTACTATCCTTTATTTGTCTCTACTCGTAATTATACAGCTATTCGTAGGTACGTGAACTGTTTAACTATTTCTGCTTGACTGCAGGTATTGTGGCGAATGCTACTGATAAGATTTATCAGTAGTATATAAAGAGGCGTTCATCGGTTGGCATAAAAACATCAAATATCAAGGAGATACATTTGACGTCAGAGATGGCGAATGGTACAGCGTTGTGGAAATACATGGGAGACTTGAAAGGAACACAAAGAAACACAATACGAAGGAAGGGCAGAAGTACCGAAACACGAAGATTTGTGCAAATTTTGCGTTGAAGATATGAGGTGTACATAATTTGGCTATATAGAGACACCAATTTCCAGATAAACATTCCTTCAGCAAGCCTTCATCTCCTACCGTTACAGTACAATATTCCTTTGGTTCTTACAGAAGTATTTTTGACTTCATTGATACTCTACAGCTGCACAGCATATTTGTGGATCATTACAACAGCTTTATACCAACCAATTCTTTTTCCTTCACGTTCGCAGTGGGACATAGGGCTTCCAGTTAGAGGCTCGAAGTTTCGGTAGCAGTGTTAATTTTTACAGGATGGGGTTGCTAGCCTCATATCCAACCTTTCCTCTTTACCAGCTTTATTACTGGTTTATTGAGGTGAAGGAGTGCGTCTGTGGCCGGGGGTCGGACCCCGGACCATGTGCATGGTCGGCGAGCATCCTAACCTCTGTGCCACTGACGCACATGCCAGCCAATTAGTACAACCGAAAAATTTCCTAAGTTCTAATTTTAGTTGACGATATTGTTTTATAATTCTTGTCAAGTATAATGTATTTCTGCCTGTTTTGACTTCAGAATTCAAATACTACCCGTGGCTGTCTAGATGTGAGCCGTCGGTCTACAAAGATTTTATTCAATGGGGAGTAAGTAATTTCTTAAGTTATTTTCAATATTCAATTGCAATTGCATTTTAAATTGCTCTTGAGTATAACGGCAGAAGATAAGAGAAATGATAACGGGTCTTTTTTATTTCATAAAAATGCACATCATATTTATACATTTTTAAACACATTAGAAGCGGTCTAGGTCATCGGAAAATAAATCGTTCTGATTGGTTGGTGATTGGCCCAAGGTTAGAGAATGCGATGAAAAGCTGTCCAATGAGATTATTTCCAGACCACAACGTAAATCAAATCCAAATTTGAGGGATAAACACTTCTACCTCTGTAATCATTGACTAGAAATGTTTATTTCAGTTTTTAATTCATGAATAATCAATCCGCATCCAGACATTAATGAAAGGAAAACACGTAGTTCAGCGAAGAGTCTTTTTTCGACGGCGATTTCATTCATTGAGGTGTACAGTCGAATTGTTTTGTATGTGTGTGTGTGTACACACTACCTTTGTCAGATAAGAATAAAAATTAGTTAGGGTTATTGTTTGCGTCATCAAAATATTTCAAAAAATGTGGTGTATAGTCAAATTGTAACTAGCGAGGTGGGAGTAGAGATTATTAAGTGGGTAGTTGCAATGAGTTGTCAAGAAAAAAACAGATGGTAATGTTAGTTAATAATGCAAAAAAGAGGTTGATTAAGTGTACTGCAGTTACGTAATAAGATGAATAATTTAATGATTGAGTGTTGATTAAGATGCACATAGAAACGAAGGAAATTATGGAATTGTGTGAGAGGCCTAAAGGAATACAAAAGTTATCAGGGGTTAGAAAAACAAACTGACTAACTAACTAACTAAAATCAAGTCAGTCGAAGGTGTAACAAACACTGTGAGACTTTATCAAAATAAATTTTTCCCATAATGGAATTCACTGAGTCCATTATGGATAATTTTTTTATTTTGATAAATCATACGGTGTTATACAGTAATATTAACTCATCACCGCATTTCGAGCACAAACTATTGCCACTCATAATCACATCAAGCTGCTCACTTGCACAACTTCCTTACTTCATTTATATACATGTGTGGAATCGATTAGATATTGGAATAAAATTCAATATGAGATAATGTACCTTCAGAAATAATAATATGAGTGTTATTGATCAATTACAATCAGATGGGAAATAAAACGGGTGTTTTCTGTTTTAGTAATAATAAGTAACTTGTTCGAATGTTTTGATGTGTTTGAATTGAAATAGAATTTTGAGATTATTTATTATCCTCCTCTGATTCAACTGGCTGGTGGTAATAATATCTTCCATATTTCTGGTATTTGCATTGAGTCACTTCTGTTGCATGTGTTGTGTTGGGTGTAGACTCGATGAACAAGGATTCAGTAATCAACCTCTCTCTCCACCGACCTATATTACTTTTTAGAATTTTAACCCTCTCCCACCCTATTGTGTGGTTGTGTGTTAGTGCATGCAGTGCAATGTAGTACTGAGCTTTTCTCTAAATTATCTTCGTGGAACCAATTATTCTAACCTTAGCTAAATTCTTATGTTCTGACATGCGATCTTACTATTCTTGATCTACTAGTTTGACCCATGTAGTTAACTTAACTCACAGTCATTGCAAGGTATTTTGTAAATTATATTATTTTGTTTAATTGGGACCACAGAGTCTTTTAGGCTACAGAGCTTGTCCCTGAGTGATTTTGTAGGTTTGAATGCCACCCTAATTCCTACTTTATTGATAATCCTACGTAGGGTCTCCAGTTAACTTTACCTTCAAGCATCGACGTGACATACATGAACTAGTTAGTTCCCATGATGCCTGTAGCATAGATGGCACAGAAATTGAAACCAAGTCAAGCATTAAATACCTTGGATTAGTTCTTTCCTCTGAGCTTTCATGGTCATCCCACATTTTATTGATCTCTAAGAAAATGTTTCGTCTTACCTTCTACATTAAAAAGTTAAGACAACAAGGTATCAACCAACCTTTAGTTCTGCAATTTTTAAACTCCTGTATTTTACCTATTGTACTCTATTATTCTCCATTAATCTTTCCTGGGCTTCTTAAAAAAGACTATGTCATCTTACGAAGGGTATTAAATGCTGTGAGTAGGGCTTGTGGTTTGCCACTGCGTGAGCTCGCCAATACTATAGTCGAGAGACACGTAAATTCCTGTACAAATTGGGCAAAGGCCGTACTGTCAGACCCTCTGCACCCTCTTTATTCACAACTCTCCCCTTGTATCTCATCAGGTAGAACGAGAAGTCAATATAAGAAATTATATGCTCGTACCACTAAGTACAAAAATTCTACAATACCGTATTTAGCCCGTATTTTATGTGATGAAGACTCTGTTAGACGTGAAACATATGAGTTACTATGTAATTAGCAAAGTGAATCGACCCTTTCATTGTTCATCTTTCTGTAATTCTATGGTGTCACCCTTTCTGTCGTTTAATTATAACTTTGCTATTTTTATTTTAGTTGTTATTACTATTATTACTATAATTTTATACTTTATGCGTGTTTTTCTCCTTATCGTATACTGTAATTGCTACATAGCTGCTATAAAAACGTTTTGTTATCATTATTATGTATTAATTATTTCGTTTATTTATTTTTTGTTGTTGTCGTTTTTGAGTAAATTAGATGCAATATTGTACTGAATGCTGAAAATTCCTTGCTGTATCATTAATACTGTTTTTGGAATAAAGCGAAAATTATTATTATTATGTCCCCCCCACCTGAGATTTATACAAATATTTAATTTAATCTAATGTTTAATCATTGTGTATGGTGTTCATTTGGCGAATCATGAGATGTATAAACTACACAGTAGGATTGCATTCAAAATGTGTTTACTTCCCTTTCTTCTTCTTATTTTAGTTCCCCCGACCTGCTGGACTTTGGTGTACATTGTACATCAATCAATTGTTTAGAAGACTCGAATGAAACAAAGTCATCTTGTCATACATCGAAAGGAACAGTATTGATGGCGTATACAATGGGAGATGAAAATTTCGGCTTCAGTTCATTGTTGACAATTGAAGTAGACGGAAGCAGTGTTAATTCTGCATTTCAGTAGGTTTTCTCCGCCTTTTAGTGTTGATTGGTTGTTTTTATTTTTTGTTCTCTGATAAAGGAAATATTCCCTCATATTGATTTGATCATTTAGTTCTTGTTGTTTAACCTATTTCTTTCTTAGTATGACGTCGTCACAGACCACGCTCACATGCTCCAGGGTCCGATTCCTGACCGATGTACTCCTAAACCTCACCTTGCCTATTGGACAACAATAAACCGGGTTAAGATGGAAGGTTGGGTATAAGCCCTAGTGCTTCTGAAACTTTAAAACTCAAGCTTGAAACCCGCTGTTCAATAGTGCCACCATGTTAGGTGGCTGATAGTATTCTGGCTGGCTGGGTTCAACATAGAACTTGGCACCGAAGTGCAGCAGTTCGAGTTGCCACGTTCCAAAGAGCACACAAAGGTAGACAAGACAAGAAGATGAGTGAAGAGAATCAATAGAGTTTTGACACGTATAAGAGTGAAACAGAATGAGTAATGGTAGAAAGGAATATGGAAGATTACAGAGACTGAATACATCTGCGTAAGCCATTGACAACGATTTTGAGCCATGTCGCCTATTGTCTCCAGCCATTGATTCTTAGAGTCCCGAGGGCGGGCCCCAACCCGGAAGTCTGCATCTCCCTACCTGACTCAGTTTAACTGTCCAGAATTTCATGGATTGATGAGGCCATGTTTTTGTTTGGCCACCACTTACTCTTTTCCAACCTGCACCTATATCAGCTAGTAATGCCCGTCGGGGGAGGCGATGGCTAGGCATGCGCAGCACGTGACCTAGCCATCTCAATCTTTATAGTATCTTCGACTGATTTTCCCTCTTTGCCCAACACTCTACGCCTAACGTCAACATTACTTACTTTATTATGCCACCTAACGTGAGAAAGAGATCGTAAACATCTGTGGTCAAAAAGAGTCAACCTTTTCATGTCTTCCGCTCTCAATGGCCACGTCTCACCACCATAGAGAAGGACGGAGCGAACTGCTGAGCAGTACACACGTCCCTTGGCTGATAGTATTCAGTCTACACCAGTGGCTTACTACCTGGTGTTCAATCAAGCTATCTGATACACTCCTACAGGTGGTCAATCGCAAACCCGAATAACTCAGTGGTGGTAACGTGTCTGACTGCGCAGCACTGGGTGACACGCCTTTGAATCTCGGAGGGGCTATTAGTAGCATGATGTAATCATCCTTGTTTTCTCGTTTATCATCTATGGTATCAGGCAGGTCACATATTGCGATCTGAATCATTTCGAGTTTCAAAACAAACTGCAGAGAAATTTCATCTCCTCAAATTGTGTAAGTCACATATCACGAACCTAATCCAGAAAATAAATCGAATAAGCTGAAACTCCTGGATAATAATGATCCGTTGATTGTGAATCAGACATTTTGAAAGCATCTGCACAAGACGCCGATATATTGTCAACCTGAAGCTGAGCACTCTGGTCCAATCAGCCAACGAGAAGGTCCAAACTGATTTAAAAGATTGTTGATAGTTAGGATAGACAAAGAGCATAATTTCCGGTAGAAGAATCCACCGATACAGTCGATACTTTATAATTGTATTAGTACTTTTGTACTAAAGTTTTTTAGCCTTTGTTTTGAATTCTTGATTTTCAATGAACTTTCAATTATCTTACTTTATTTTTCTGTAGCGTATTGAATGGTGTTGAACTTCTTCTGGATTCTATACCTGGTGATTCAAACCCTGCAAATTTGTAAGTGCACTCTTTATACACTTTATAATACATTGAACACGTATATATATGGCTAGTGACACACAACCCCTGACTCTTCTCAAATATCCAGTAGGTGGGATGGAGTGGAGTTTGAACTTATGGTTAGTCATTGGTCTGGAAATCGATACCTTGAGGCTAAGGAACCATATCTCCACTGTAGATCCAGTTAAACAGTGTCAAAGACAACCGACATCGACACACAAACATATCTTTTATGCTGTGTCTGGTTTCATTATGATTGACATTGGTCAGTTTGAGTCTGTTTTGTAATGGCTATGTTTCTTAATAAATATGTAAGAACTTTATACGTCTATCATATCAAAAGTTATTGTTATGAAGACATAACTAACTGAATGACTATGTGAAATAATGTGCTTTCTGAAGGCTGTATACTAAGAACTGGTCATATTGGTTCCAGTGTATTCTGTATATCTATTGTATGTTTTAATAGGATGTATTAGTTAATTGTAGAGTATTATTATTACTGTTCCCTTGGGTTCCGCGTGGGCTTCACCAACATATGTCCACTGTATTCTTATTCCCTGCCGTCCTATCTAGCTGGCCTCTTCATTACCAGTAGTCTCTGACGTCCTCCTCCCATGATCTCGTCTGTGTCACCCTCGGGTCCACTCCCAACTTGTTGTTTTCCATTCAGGTTCCACTCAAGCAATGACCTGGCTGGCGTGCAATGTCATTCTACAGTCTCATCAGTCTGTGTCCAATCCATCTCTATTTTCTTGAGCATATCTGTTTAGAAATGGGTTCTTGGTTTGTCTATTCCCATATGTTCTTATTACTAAATCTCCTGGCCGTTCGATCCTCGATATAGAGCGAGGGCAGCTGTTGATAAAAGTCTATAGCTGGCTGTTGGAAATGCTTTTCGTGATGCGCACTGCAAGTTTCTGACCCATATAGAAGAAGTGACTTCACATTAGTTTTGAAAATCCGAATGTTGTTCTTTACGGTGACTGAGTGCAAAAGATTCCAAAACTCATTTTCGTGTGATTAAGGTGTACCTTGTCCTTGCGATTCTGGCTTTGACATCTTCATCCGTCCGAAGTGCCTGTTGTTGAAACGTTACTTCCTAGATAAGTTTCTCCTGGTGATGGCGATCGGTACTGTTTGTCGTTTCTGTTGGTGGTTGATCTTCACCACTTCCGTCTTCTTTACGTTTACCCAAAACTCCCGTATTCGCTACCTGCCTCTTCTGTCAGTTTCTTGGTTTTAGCCTGTAGGTCTTCGAATTTCTGTGACATTAGACATAAATCGTCCGTGGAATCCAGATCTTCCTGAGTCAACTTATTCACCGATAAGAAGGCTTCACTGAGTTTTCCGTTGTGGATCACCTAACACGTGTCATTGCCATATACCTGTTGAATGTCATCGGTAAACATTTGGTGTACTGCACTCCATAATGTTGAAGTAGTTTCAAAATTATTCCTCAGTCAACGATGTGGAAAGTCTTTTCAAAGTCGATGAAATTGAGATAGAGATCTGACTGGCCTTCTATGCTCTGTTCGATGATGAGGCATAGTGTCACCATTTGATCCGCACATGATTTGCTTTTCCTGGCAGAGTTTTGTATCCAGTACATCTTTCAGTTTCTCAAGGATGACGCAACGTAATATTTCGCTTGGTGTGGCCAAGAGCACGATTCCTTGACAGTTCTTTCAAAGGCTTAATTCTCTCTTCTTTAGTAATTCAACAAAGTAACCTTTCTTCCAATCCGTAGGTGCCTTTTGCTTCCTTCCTTTCAAATTTTTTTCAGTACTGGCATGAGCACATTCGCTGCAGTCTTTGCTCCTGTTTTCAATGCTGCCGGTGGAATACTGTTCGGTTCTGCTGCCTTCTCAGACTTTAGTAGCTTGATTACATATTTTTATACATTTAGCTGTTCTCATTAGCCATCCCATCCTACACGGGATTATAACGTTTGTTTGTTTACCAGGGAATGCAGTCAAATTGTCCTAAGTTTGTTGATCATAATTTATCCAGTTGTAAAAGAGATATAATTAAGTCATGGTATAAAATGCTTGAAGGTTATTCACAATTGCCTTATAAATCATTGGTTGAGTATAATATATCTTTGTCAAGATGGCAAACTGTAGAACCTAATGATGAAATTATCGAAAGAATGTTCTTTGTTCACTTATGAGTCTTTTAAAATTCTGTAAGAATAATTACAAACCAATTAGCCGAAACAAGAATAGTAACAATAGTGCGAATTGTACTCATGATAATCGATTATGAAATGGATAGATGAGACTATCGGCTCATTTTGTGATAAGTTTTACATAGGGAGGTTCGATGAACTTTTGAATATGTAAGTTTGTGACTTGTGATTCTTTGTAATGTATGAAAACTTTTTTTAATACATGAAAAATTCCCATTGTATAACATATAGAAAATCAAAACAAGTGATTCAGAGAAGAGAATCTTTTCAACAACGAATTTATTATCAAGCTGTACAGTCGTTTATATATGGTTCTTTTTAAGAAATTATATGCTATGAGGGAATTCAGTCATAGGTGTGGATGCATAAAATAATAATAGTAGTATCAAATGCAATTTAAATGTTTGTGATTATAATCATATAGTTGAATGTCAAGTGGCAAAAGAATTAGTGTCACATATAGAATAATTCATAGGATGGATAGAACTTGAAAAAGGGTGTGCCATTATAGGGCTGTAGGCGAATAGAATAAAAATGTTGCGTGAATGTTGTGTTAAATTTGATAACATAGAATTTAATGTTGCAAGAGAGAATTGATTTAGAATGACAAGTGGAACAAGTGAAATAATATCGGGGACAGTTCAAAGTGAGAGTAGTAATAGTAACATTTGACGTAATGGAGGAAGAGTATACAAATTGAATAAACAAAACGAAAATCAGGTAGAGCCAAAACATGATTAGGGATTATCATGCTTTAGCAAAAAGGGAATAAGACCATGAAAATTGGAGGGGTTGAACGAACTTTTTCTGTATACAGAGATCTGGCTACTCTGTTTCTATGGCCTAAGCTGCTTCAGCAGTACAGATGAGTCGGGTACGTAGGGATTTGGGTAAATTACTTTTCACCTTGTAGATGACTTTAAAGGCTGAGGCTGTAGAGATAGGCTGATCATTATCGACCAGATGTTGAATGATCGCACCTTTTATTGCTCCACTTCCACCTCTTCGTAACTAGGCAGTATAGTGTTCTTGCACCCCCTTGGACTAAACTCGAGTCGAACGATCGATATACCTAGCTCCAGACGAGCAGGTGAATTGACAAACGCGCATAGAGTTGGTCAACTACGGGATCTTGTATTTTAGGTTATTGAACAGTAATGGTCGACTGGTAAAGGCTATTCTCAAAGTAGCATCCTATGAATTATTCTGTATATGACATTAATTGTTTTGCCACTTGACATTCAACTATATGATTATAATCACAAACATTTAAATTGCATTTGATACTACTATTATTATTTTATGCATCCACACCTATGACTGAATTCCCTCATAGCATATAATTTCTTAAAAAGAACCATATATAAACGACTGTACAGCTTGATAATAAATTCGTTGTTGAAAAGATTCTCTTCTCTGAATCACTTGTTTTGATTTTCTATATGTGTATGAAAACAGCGAATCGGTAAGTTATAGATGTCAAGTCTGATAGAAAAAAAGAGATAATGGCCTTGTCAATCCCACGTGACCCACGTGACAGTTTTCTCATGTGCCAATCTACCAGATGTACGTATTATTTAAGGCCTGGTGATACCATTAAGTTGCTTTAAAAACTTAAGTAGGTAAAGTGGGAGCCGAATCGGAAATTCGCGGACTAAAACTCCAACGTTTAAGGCAATAGTATCTACTTATGTACAATGTAAGAGCCTGCATTATTCATTATCCCTCTGAAATGTAAATACTCTTTTACAAATTGTTCACGTTCTCTCTCTGTTTTTTTTCGTGTGTGTGGTTTCCTTCTCTAGACCTTATGAATTACAAGATATGCAGTTTTATTCTCCACAAATACTTCTCCTATTAGTATCACGTCGTTCAAAACATTCGAAATCTCAATACCTTCGATCAACAAAGTCGAATAGCAAAGCTGATGAATTAGACACAGAAGTGGCTATATCACGTAAAACAGCTAACGATTTAATGCATAGTTGGCTTGTAATGGTACCTATTCGTGATATACTGAATACTGGTAAAGAAGAAGAAGTTCTAAAACAGACGGATACAGTAGCTTCGATCGTGAATGAATCGATTCAAACTAATTTGTAAGTATTGCTTGTTGGTGTTGTTGTTTAAATGTTCTATGTTATCAAGTATTGATTTTTGTACGGATTTAGTTTGATTGATTGGAGGATTTCATCATCATGAGCTGACATCAGTTAGAGAACCATTGGAAAACCTGCAGGGAGTACTGGACAGCTGTTTCATCAGCTTAGTTTGAGACTCTTCATCAGTATGCACTCACCACAAAGGGTTCGAACCTAGGTCCTTCTGGTTACAAGGGTAGCGAGCTCGTAGACTATTATCGCATACAAGGTCAATGCGCTATTATTATTATAGATTCCCTGACTTCTGACTGAAATATAAGACTTCAGCAAAATATCTTCATTTCACTCTTTTCCCTGTCAACACTTTCAGTTGACTCTACAACTGGCCATTTCCTCTCTACATAATATATCCTCCATGTCACTCACCCTTGAACTTTTAATTTGTGTGGCTTTATGTTTGAGTATCACTCAAGAGTTTGCCTGTTGTGTAGCATCACTTATACAAGTCTTCTTGGTGTATGTCCAATTCATCTCCATTTCCTACGGTGTCTATGTGTTAGACTATTGCCTATGGAGGTGGTTGATTGGTTCGTTGTCAGACTTCCTTATCGCTTAGCCTTTTTAGCTGGTCATCTGATGTTCAGTATGGATTGAAGGCAGCTGTTCCTGTTCCTGCATTGGAAATTGATTAGTATTGCTCTTCTATAATTCTATATTCATGAAGACCAGAATCGCTGAATTGATATGATGAACATACAGTGTTATCCCATCTCTTGGTTAAACTTAACTAGTCTATATTTTCACAAATTGGTTTTTGTAAGGATTTTGTGTGATTGGTTGGAGGATTTCATCATTAGCTGATATCATTTCGAGGACCATTGGAAAACCTGAGAGTACTGGATGGCCAGCTGTTTCGTCAGCCTAGGTTGGGACTCTTCAGCAGTACGCACTCCACCGGGGTCCGAACCCCAGACCTTCTGGTTACAAGGCGAGCTAGCCCGTAGACCGTTTAGCCACTGGGACCCGATCCAATGGCCAGTCGATGAATTCTAACTGCTGCCTATATTTATCGGTGTCTGTTGCTTCCCTGTATACTACAACCATGCTCTGTAGGTTTCTTCATCCTCACTGATGATTTTCATGAGTATGTTCCATTTCTTTCCAATCCCAGTGGAGCATAGGTCTTCAAGCTTGATCTCTGCTCTGAAGTATCAGTAGCAGTGGTGTAGTGTTGTCTGTTTAGCGGGCGGGTGGGTGGTAGGTTTGCAAGTCACATACCCAACCAACCTTACCTCATTACCGGACTTACTACTACCGGTTAAACGAAGTGTTAGGAGTTTGTCGACCGGGAATTGTGAACCCGAGCCACTAGCGCATGGTTGTCGAACATTTTGCCAATCGACTACCATTGACACACCTACATAATTAAATCTGTCTATTTTATCCTACTCCCAATGTAGACCATTATAAATTATAGGCGTATTTTTCATGTTCTTGTTAAAATTCGCTTATCTTTCCTCTAGACCAAAAAGGAATATCTCTGAGTTTATTACACGGACAAATGTCGAGGCGCTACCATGGCATGCTATAAAATTAACAACTAATGGTGATCGTTCAATTATTTTTGTTGTAAGTTCATTGATTTTCTTCTATTGCATTATTATTATTATTATTATTATTATTATTATTATTATTATTATTATTATTATTATTATGTAGGGAGATTTCGACTACCCATCTGGGTTCATCAAAACTCTTAGAATCAGTGACTGGAAATTGTTGATGATAAGATGCACTTACTCTTTGTAATCCCCTAGATCTATTCAGTTCTCAGTTGTCCCCACGTGATCAAAAGTTTTCAAATGGTCTTCGTCTAATGGTCTCAAACTAAATCATTCCAATGTCAGACTGTTAATTTCAGTTTCCAATGTAAAAGGAAGTTAAATGAAGCTGTTGGTTCCTATGACCGTTGCAAAATTGATGATACTGATATATAGAAACCAAGTCTGAAGTTAAGTATCTTGGATTATTTCTTTCTTCTGACCTATCCTGGTCTTCCCATGTCTTGGCGATTTCCAAAAAAATTTTCGTCTGACCTTTTACAGTAAGAAGTTAAAGCTCTGAGGCATAACTCAATCCCTCCTCTTACAGTTTGTCAACTCTTACATCTTACCTATATTCTTCCTTCGTGGGTTGCTTATAAAGACTATGTCACACCTCGTATAGGGCTCTGAAAACAGTCAGTTGGGCGAGTGGTATCCCAATGGGCCATATCGTTGGCATCATCGTTGATAGGTACTTGATTTCATGCAAAACACTTTGCTGAAAGGGACTTTATCGACCTGTGAGCATCCATCGCAACACCCGCAGCTCCAACCTTGTGTCTCCTCAGGTGAAACAAGAAGTCATTTCAAAAGATTTTATGCATGCACGTCTCAGTGTAAAAATCCCACGATACCATAATTCGCACGTACCTTATTTAATGAAAATAGTACCAGGTACGAACTAACTAACTAACCTTCTTTGCAAAAAATTATATTTGTAATATCTCAGCGATATTGAAATGAGTAATTCCAACGTTTCGTTCGGCAATATGGTCCGAACTTCTTCAGGGAAATTAATCAAAATTAACATAACAGAGGTTTTATATATAAAAGGAACACCACTTGTTTTTAAAAACTTTGTCCAATCATGATTCATAAACACAAGTATTAACAAGTATAATAAACAAAATTGTTTGAGCTGTGGTCAAAATTTGACCTCGGACTTACAAATATTGGTCTACCTTTGTTAAACACTTTAAACAGAGTGTGCATGCGTGTGTGTGTAAACAGTTGTAAAACATTTCTTAACGTCTCCATAAGAAGATATAAACAGTCGGGAATTCTGACCAAGTATTATTAATTAGTGATACATATCCATTTTTATTTATTAATCAGGATTTCCAATGCATCAGCTAACATCAAACCTTCATGTCTGTTCAAACTGCTAGTATCTGAAATTTTATGATTAGACGTATTTTCAAAATTATGGTGTTTAGGATTAGAGTTTAGTTTAAGCACCCTGTCGAACTTATTGCATTGTCTTCTTTCTGAATATTGAGCTGCTTTATTCGACCTACTGGAGTTGTCAGGTGACTCGACAGCTACGGATTTAGGATGTGCATTTTGTTCCAGACAACGGAGACTGAAAACACGATGATTGTGCCAATTACATAGTTTCTTTGTTAATTTAATTCGATAGCAAAATAATTCAAATGAACTTTCGTCAAGATTTGACCGAATAGTGCCTAAAGTAAACTCTAATCCTAAATAAAGCATAATTATATTTTAATAGTTTACACACAATGATAAGTTTTGAAAATACGTCTAATCATAAAATTCTAGATACTAGCAGTTTGAACGGACATGAAGGTTTGATGTTAGCTGATGCATAGGAAATCCTGATTAATAAATAAAAATGGATATGTTTCACTAATTAATAATACTTGGTCAGAATTCCCGACTGTTTATATCTTCCTATGGAGACGTTAAGAAATGTTTTACGACTGTTTACACACACACGCATGCACACTCTGTTTAAAGTGTTTAACAAAGGTAGACCAATATTTGTAAGTCCGAGGTCAAATTTTGATCACAGCTCAAACAATTTTGTTTATTATACTTGTTAATACTTGTGTTTATGAATCATGATTGGACAAAGTTTTTAAAAACAAGTGGTGTTCCTTTTATATATAAAACCTCTGTTATGTTAATTTTGATTAATTTCCCTGAAGAAGTTCGGACCATATTGCCGAACGAAACGTTGGAATTACTCATTTCAATATCGCTGAGATATTACAAATATAATTTTTTACAAATGTCTACTTCTCACTCAGCGCCCAAATATTTTAGAACTATTCGGTCAAATCTTGACGAAAGTTCATTTGAACCTTCTTTGCACTAGTAAATAAACCATTTTCCCCATCCTTATTCCACTAAGCTTTACTGTTATTATTATTCTCATATTTATATTCCTCTCATTTTTTGTGTTTATTTTCTCACAAGTGTGAAAGACACTTAGTCCATAAGTTTGAAGTCTGGTTTCATCCAATGTACACTGATAATCAGCACGGCTAAAAAAACATTTTGACTTTAGTCTGTGCGTGGGTGGCACAGCGGTTAGGACTCTCACCAACCATGCAAATGGTCCGCAGTTCGATCCCCTACCGACGCACACCCGATATCAATTGGTCGGCCTGCAAAATTTGGGCTACCGATATCACATGCTGAAAATTCCACACTTGTACCAAAAATATGGTGTGGAATCAAGCTATAATCAAAAAATAAAGATATTAAGTTATTTTACAGTTTCGTTGAGTTTCATTCCCCCTTTGATGTATCCTCTTTTTCTCTCTATTTTGTTTGTTGTTTATTTGTTTTTCACATTCAGCTATTTGAAAACTATTCAACTTGTCGTGTTTATCTCATGGAACGACCAGAATCAGATGAAACTATGACCGTTGACTATCCTGCCGGTGATGAGAATCCTACGAATCCTGTGGGTGAGGACAATACTGGCACTACTATCACTACTACTGCTGGTGGTAGCGGTGGTCCTTCCATTCCTGCTGATGATGTTGATGTAGCGATGTAGTATAGTTCAATGCGTGTTAACGGACTAATTTTTTTGTGTATATAATTATTGTTATTGATTAATGTGTGTGTGTGTGAATTTGTTTGTTTTTTCAGAGTTCTCTTCTTCATGTAATCTATCTGTTACGCAATTATTCTTATTCCCTTTGTTTTGTGTGAAGAAATTTATGTTTTACTTTCATCCGAAATACAAAACTCCAAAGATTTAATGAATAAGTGTTCTGTTTTTTTCAGCTAATATTTGTATGATCCTGAACGGGATGTGATTGCTTGTTTGTATTTTTGTTTGAAATCAATCCGAAAATGAAGGGTCTTTGTGTTATATATATATATATCATTCCCTTGAGTTCCGAGTGGAACATAGGGCTTCAACAATACATCTCCACTTTGTCCTATCTTCTGGCGTCCTCTTCAGCTTGGACCACGATTGCCCACAATCTCTCATCTCCTCACCACACGATCTCCTCCATGTCACCCTCTCACCGACGACCCACTCGTTGCTTCCCACTGGGATTCCGCTAGAGCGATGACCTGCATTGTGCGCGATGCCATTCGACCTTCTCCTCAGTGGCGTATGCCCGATCCATCTCCGTTTTCTCCTACATATTTGTTGAGCGATTGGCTCTTGGTTGGTTTGTTTCCACAATTCCTTATTACTTATTCTTTCTGACAAGCCATTTGATCTTCAGTATGGAACCATCGAAGGCAGCTATAGATGAAAGTCTGCAACAGGCTGTTGGAAATTCTTTTCGTGACATGCAGTGCAAGTTTCTGACCCATGTAGAAGAAGTGACTGACTGACTTCACATTTGTGTTGAAAATCCGAATCTTGTTCCCTATGCTGGCTGAGTGCAGAAGATTTCCAAACTGGTTTCAGGTTGACGAAGGCTTTTCCGATTCTCATTGGCTTTGACATCTTCATCCGTTCCGCCTGTAGCTGAATTGTAGCTTCCTAGATAAGTGAAGGAAGATGCCTCTAATAAATATCTCCCTTTGATGGTGATTGGTGCTGGTTTTTGTTGTTGCTGGTTAACTGTAATCGGTTATCTGCATCACCTTCGTCTTCTCTCTGTGTTCACTTGGACTCCTGTCCTCACTGCCTGTCTTTTATGCCAGCTTGTTGGTTTTCGCCTGCAAGTCTTCGAGTTTGTATGACATTAGACACATGTCATCAGCGAAATCCAGGTTTTGTAGAGTCTTCTCGTCGGTGGTCCATATATATATGCCTTCGCTCGATACAGAACACTAGGTGGTCGAGCTGTGACGAATGGTCATTGAAATTGGAAGAAATGAAAAGGCCAGTTGTCTTTGATCATAGGTGTCTACTCTCTATCTATCTACCGTGTTAGGTGGTTGGTATAATAAAGTGACTAATATTGAGGTTGTGCGTCTCTGGCATGGCGGTTAGGACGCTCGCCGGCCATGCACATGGTCCGGGGTTCGATTCCCGACCACCGACGCACTCCTTTACCTCGCTAAGCCAGAAATAATGCTGGTGAAGAGGAAAGGTTGGGCATGAGGCTAGCAACCCCATCCTGTTAAATGAACACTGCTACAGAAACTTCAAGCCACTAGCTTAAAGGTGCCCTATGTTCCACTGGGAACGTGAAGGAAAAAAAATTTGAGGTTACGCATCGGTCGAATGCTTGGTAGGTGGGAGGGGAAATCAGTCTTCGAGGTTGTGAAGGTGAATCAACTTAGAGGTTTAGGAAAGGTGTTGCGCATGCCTGCCTAGCCATCGCCTTACTCGAAGGGCAGTGTTAGCTGACATTACTGATGGATCAAGTTGGAAAAGAGTTAGCTAGTGGTGGTCAAATGAAAGCATGGTTTCATCAGTCAGTAAAATCCATGACAGTTAGTTCAAGTCAGTGACTTAAGGAGGGGTAGACTTTGAACATGATTGGTTGTTTCCGGAGATTTTTTTTCACTCTCTTGTCAATTTCTTATTGGTGTTGATTATTTATGTTTACCTCAAAGTTCACCTTTATGTCTATGCAACTTCTATTCTATTTGTCTGATAATTCTGATTTGTGTCAATGTATCTATTGATTGCAGATTTGTCTCAGTACCCGGCTTCTAGTATTACTTCCCTACCTATTGTTGTCTTCTCTCTACCCTTAGATATCTACATTTTTTCATTGGTGATGGTGTTTCAACTAAAACTCAAACCTACCATCCGACATTACGAATTTCTGTACTTGAAGGTGATAATATCAAATAGAGACTGAACATATCGGTTCAATAAAATGAATCAATGGGTAACTGAAATAATCCTCCCAGTGTGTACATCTGACTTCTAACGTTTCTTTGTTCATCCATATTGATGTTCAGCGTTTAAGCGAATTAGTTTATATTTATGGTGGTTTCTATTAATGTAGTTTCTTTCTTCTACCTGATTTGTCGACTTTCTTTGCATTATCATTTATTGTCATAAATTTTGTGAGTTACAGTACTGTGGACTGGCTGAGTTTCTTTGACTTTGTTAATATTGTTGTTGTCGAATCTTTACATTGGTGACATTGATGGTTTCAACGCAGAACTTTGCAAAGATGTGCAACAGTTCCAGTTGCGACGCTCCCTTCACGTACCACACAAACCAAGGGAAGAGAGATTGGTTTTTGCCATCCCTAAGAAGCCAACCAGTCGGGCAATCAGTTTACACCTCCCTACGTGGCTGGCTGGCTAGGTGGCTTAAACTAACTGATTCCATGTTTTCGTTTGACCACCACTGACTCTTTTCCATCCTGCTCCCTTTTATTTAAGCTTACGTTGCTCGTTTAGTAAGGCGAGGGATAGCTAGGCATGTGTAACGTATGTCCTGACCATCTCAATCGATGTAACTTCACAAGCTCATTCATTGATTACATTGCCCTCCTTACCTAGCACTCTTCCGAAGCCTAACCTCAATATTAATCACCCTGTTATACCATCTAACATGGGAGATAGAAAGGAGACACCTATGATGAAAGACAGTTGGCCAGGCTTTCCGTGTCTTCCACTTTCAGTATCTAAATCTCACTCAGCGATAAAGGAGGAGGTGGGGGCGAACCGATGAGCAGTACAGACGTTTATTGGTCGATAGCCAGCTGGATATCGCGTCTACGCAAGAGACAAATGCAGGTTGGCGAATGCCAGACTAACCTTATGTATCCGTGCTGAGATTTCTTCATAGATTAACCCTCTGAGACTGACTTAACTTCTCTATCTTTAAGCTAGTAGTTGGTTCAAACCAGTCCTGTAGCATCATCTTACATTTGACTGGACTGAATCGTATGCCAAACATTTGTAGATTGCTGCACAGGTTAAGGTGTGTTCGGAAAATTCTGCATTTTGTCAGTCAGCGTCTTCACCACCTACGAGGACTACATCACCTGTATATTCTTAGTCAGCGAGATTATTCCCTGGTGGGTAATAAGTCAATCCCAGATTCGCTGAAGTTATTTAGGGTTAAGTCCATTAGTACATCTATAATGAAATTAAACAGAAATGGGGACAGTGGACATCTCTGACGTTGACCACTGGTTTTCATCATAGATGTCAGATGACAACTCTCCATAGGCTGTCATCAGGCTGGTTGCATGTTCTCGAGTAGAGTGAATGCCTTGATCAGTGTGATGTATTTTCTTGGCACTCCATTCACGACCAAACATACATTGCTGTATTACCTACACAAGTGTTAGTTGTATTCCAGTCATTTGTGAGCCCCAATGGCTCAATAGAATTACTTCTTCGTGCAACACTGGTCGACACCCATATGAACCTCTAAGAGGATATTAGTTATTTCATGCTTGCAGATATACACTTTACTAAATAGTGATAACGAACACGTAACTTACGTCCATAGATTTCTATGAATTTCCTCTAACTGTCATCACATAGGTCAAGTCAGTTTGAACTCATATTTAAGTCTTGAAATTGGTCAAAATCTGTTGAACGGAAAAGGTTTCTTATCTTTTAGTTTTACTTAGTTGTTTACAATTTCAGAATTCAATAATTACATTTGTTTTACTTTCATATTTTTCATTGGCGGTCAATTCAAGTTTGATAGATTTGAAACGCATAATTTTGTGTTCCATCTTAATATATTTAGCTCATTCAATGTTTCAATATTGTTAGATTTTCATTGGTGTGTATAATTTAATTTATAGATTGTTTGTTATTTTTGTCTTTCAGATTGTTTATCACTAAAAAGAAAGAAGCTTTTCGAAGTTTTACAAGTGTACAAGTCTATTATCATGTTCTGATTCTGTTTCGTTTATCACAGTGAGTATTTACTTCAAATTATATTATTGATTATGCAAAGATTATCGATATAGTTATATGATGAGACTATCTGTGGTAGCAGGCGTCGATGGCACAGCGGTAGAATCCTCGCCAACCACACATGTAGTTCGGGGTGTGATCCCTGACCGCCGACGCACTCTTTTTACCTCGCTCGCTAAGCCAGTAATAGGAGTGGTAAAGAGGGAAAGTTGGTTGGGCATCAGGCTAGCAACCTCATCCCGTAAAAATAAACACCACTGCTACCGAAACTTCAAGACTGTAGCTTGAAGCCATCTTATATTTCACTGGGAACATAAAGGCAAACAATTAAGGAATTAAATTAAATCTGGGATAGCAATGAATTTTCATTGAGCTGTGTTCTTTGAGGTGGTTGTAGATTTAATTGCTAAAATTTCGTCGTCCACCTCCTAGACGACATCTTCAGCTCAGGTTTTAGCATGAAATGAACTCATTTGAATTCTTCATGATTGATGATATAATCGTATCTCCTGACAACTTTGGTTGTCGTGATTGGATATTCATTTACATCTCTACTGGTCACTTTTATTTACTTGGAATTCGAACTCTCTTGTCATATGATTTATTTTTGTATTAGTTGGTAAATATGATCCATTGTGATGTATCTGTTAGCCGCCGATTCATTGGATTACTAGGCCTTCTATAAATTCCCTGACAGTAATTTTGCTGTTTCCTCTATTTGAAATCCCTACATCTTCCCAATGAAATTGGTATCCTTGATTGGCAAGACACGCATCGATGTGAAAGAATACATATTATATCTTTTCATCACAGCTAATTTGGGCTTTAGGTTCTCGGGACGGTAAACACCAGTGAAGGCTGGAGACAATTAGTGATATGGCTCAAAATCGTTCTCAGTGGCTGGCTGGCTGGCACAGATGCATCCACTCCTTGTGATTTATAATACCCAATGAAACTATATTGTTCTTCGACATTACTATTCCTTTTGTCTCATATTCCTGTCTACTGTCTCTATTATGCATTTCTTTTCACTTTCTGCTCTGGGTTTGTATGCTGAGTGAAGTGTGGCAACTCGAACTGTTGCACATCGGTGCAAAGTTCTATGTTGAAAACAGACAGACAGCTAATTTGTATTCTTGGATTCGGATTCGACGAGGACATCCACTTTGACCGATGTAATGTTTATTTCATGTGTGCAATTTATTTCGTGAATGATATTAATTTTACCTTCTTTTTCTGTTGGGTGGATGTTTTGGTCTGCACACTATCGAATGAAGTGATTGTACTGACTTGTGCGTTATATCTATTTCAAACGGTCTTAATATTCTTACAGTTATTTCAGTTTCTTTTGTGAGTCATCGGGTTATTACTATTATTGTTGAGTATTTGGTGTGTTTGCGTGTGTGTTGATTTTCTGTATACGTGTGTTTCCCAAAATTTCCTATCTTAGTGTTCTTGATTCAGACGTCTAAGAATGGAATTCTGTTATCTAATTCTTCTTCTCCTCTCGTGATGAATTTAATGTCTTAAAATAACAGTGGATTAGCAGACCTATTATTAATTTAATGGATAATGATGTGGAACCGTGATGATTCATTGGTCTAGACGCCCAGCTCCTAACCCGTGGGTCACGGAGTTGACACCTATCTCCACCTGCCGAGATTTGAGTATTTCCCGTAGACGTGGTTAATTGTCAGTTGCCTTAAATTTCAAGTGGTTGTTTTGAGTTATATTTCAACGGATGTTGATTGAAGAAGGCCAATTGAAAATCTAAGTTTCAGGGGAATTCCAATTTCGCAGTGTTTAAGTTGCTAGCCGGCTGCTTTATCTACAGGATTGGAAGGAGGTATTATGAATCAGGAGTCTGTTATCCAGAAATTCATCTTACAAAATCTAGCAATTCAAAAGTTGTGGGTCTGAACTCCATTAAGACTCAGGTTATGTAACAGCAATGAGGTATTTCAATCAGATGACCAGTATGCCAGCTATGTTGTCTCTCAAGAGTGAGGAATTAGAAGAGATCGACCCTAAAAATTGTACATTCTAAGGTGGTCCGTAACCGGCGGTGAATGATTAGTACAGAACCAAACCAAAAAGTACATTTGGGCTCGCGATTGACCTTCTGTAGGGCTGTATTGGTTTATGTAGCTCTGTGTAGTAACGTCAGAAGACAAAGGCCAGGCAACAGATCGTTTATTGTGAAAATCAACAGATATTTATAGATTTTTATGTACATTATTATTAGCATTATTGTTAGCGGAGAAGCAACCTCTTCTGATTAGTTGTTTTCTTGCTGAAGGTTATTCTGTACTGATTGTGACCGTTTCTTAGAAAGTTAAGCCATATATCTGCAAATCGTATTTGCACACGTTAATTCAGCTGTGATTGGTTGGTGAGTTCCTCAAGGTTAGGCTTTGTTATTGTTTTTCTTATGACCCTGATTCGTGACGTGAACATTGACGTAAATTGTTATCTACAATTTTGGCTTGTTCGCAGACAGCTCTCACCAGAGTAAAGCCAGCCGTTACACAACTTCATGAAATTGTTTGCAGTATTAACCTCGATTTTCTGACTTGAAGATATTCTGATAAAAATTTATTTTTCATATAATTTATTTAAAGAAGTGTGGTCGGTACACGTTCGATGTTCAATCGTCATCTTCCTTATTGTTATTATTACTATTATTATGGCTTGTGATATATCTCAAGTATTTAACACGATTGTTTCATCTATACAACATACAACCTGTAAAGAAGTCAGTTCAGAGAAAAATGATGACAAGACGGCGGCATCAAAGACTTCATCACCAACATCATCACCATCAACATCACCGGATTATGAATTCTCATTTCAATCACGTGCTAAAAGTCTTCATTCAAATTTACAAGCTCTATCGGAATATTTAAAACGAATTCATCAGTTAACATCTGGTACTTTAGTCAATGTAACAAAACAACGTTTACATTCAGAATTAACAGAACATGTTAATTTATTGATTGAACAGTGTACTGTCCTGCTGATTCAATTGAAAGATTTAATTCCTATTCATCATCATCATAACAGTAATGAAGATAATCGAAGTAAAACAATTAAAGAGGTGAATAGTAAGAGTCAACTTATATCACATCGATTAACTGTGCATAAATTGCTGAGCGAAGAGTTAGATCACTTGAAGAAAATTAGAACTGATGAAGTGAGTTGTCGTTTTCCTGCTGTTATCGTTGTTGTTTGAATTTTATTTTAAAGGTGCATCTGTTTAATCTAGTATACAGGGACGGAGAACAAATAAACCTTAAAAACTAGTGACTCTAAAGCAGTACTCACCCACTGATAGGGTTCGAACCTACAAACCTCCAGTTGTAGGTTTTAAGCCTGTCTAGCTGAAGACGCTGACAAAATTCAGAGTCTTGTGGACACTCTGAGTTGCAATCTGCGAATGTTTGGCATGGGATTCGCTACCACCAAGTGTGAGATGATGCTATAGCACTAGACTGGACTGGACTACATTGACTCCTAGCTTAGAAATAGGGTGTGAAGTGGTAGAGCCTTTTGATCACTTCACTTATTCGGGAAGTTGCATCAGCCAATGCCAGCGGGTTGATGGCTGACGAAATCTCAGAAAGAATATAGAAGACTCGTTTTGCATATGCCAGTTTACGCCGTCTCTGGCGTAGCAGTGATATCCGACTGACTGGCTATCGACTAAAGAGCATGTGTACTGCTCAAAAGTCCGCTCCTTGGAAGACAGGAAAAGTCTAGCTAGTTGTCTTTCATCACAGTTGCCTGCGTTCTATCTCCCGTGTGAAATGTTATAATAGGGTGAGCAATATTATGGTTAGGTACCGATCGAGTGCTAGGTAATTGGGAGGGGAAATCAATCGACGAGGCTGTGAAGCTACATCGACTGAGATGGTTAGGACATGTGTTACACATGCATGACTAGTCATCGGCTTTCTCGATGGGCAATGTTAGTTGACATAGGGTCAGGTTGGAAAAGAGTTAGCCAGTGGTGGTTAAACCAAAACATGGCTTAATCAGTCAATAAAATCCACAACATTTAGTTTAAGCCAGTGACGTAGGGAGGTGTAGACTTCCTGACTAGTTGGGGTCCTCGGGACGGTAAATATCAATGAAGGCTGGAGACAATTGGTGATATGGTTCAAAATCATTCTCAATGGATGGCGCAGATTCATCCACTGCTTGAGACTTATAATACCCAATGAAACTATATTGTTCTTCGATATTACTATTCTTTTTGTCTCATATCTCTGTTTACTGCCTCTATTTTGCGTTTCCTCTCACCTTCTTCTCTTGCTTTGTGTGCTAATTGGAGGGAGTGTAGTGATTTGAACTGCTCCATATCGGTGCAAACCTTCCGGTAACAAGGTGAGCGAGTTCTGTGGACCATACAGCCATATGGATCCGATCCAGTGACCAGTGCATGAATTCCGACTTCTGCTAATTCACACACTGATATAGTGCGACTGGCACTGGCCAATGTCATCGGTGGTGAGTATTTGTCCTCACACCCATCTGACCTGCTGTACCCCACTGGTCCTTGCAAATCAAAAACTGAATATGTCCGTTCAGTTAAAAACAAATAACAAGTGTGGTCAGTAAAACAGGATGTAATGAGTTTATCAAATTTCAATTGGACTTCAGCTGTGAATATCCCACATACAGTGATACACACACTATGAGAGAGAGGGGAGATGGCTAAACCCTGATTCTAAACCTCCAACGACTGACGTATGAAGCTCACGGGAGCTCACCGGCAGACGTATGGACAAAGGGCTTGTTGGATGTCCTGGATGTCTGGCCCCATTCAAAAAGGCGTATGAACCGAACTCCGGTCACCGGCTGCCAATGGACAGTGGATTCCCTACTCCACTCCTACTGCCTTGTAGGTCACACTTGGTTGTGTAAAGACTAGAGCTGCACTCTCAAACAAAAGGCCGAGCGATTCTGGGGACATCACTCGTACCAAATTCCCATGAAACTTCATGAACTCTCTTACAAACGACTCTCACCACAACCAAATTCCAGTACTGTTCCCACAACGTCGCCTTCTGTGGTTTGGCCATGTTCTGCGCCGACCAGATGACGATCTGGTCAAATCAGTTCTAAATCCCTCACCATTACCATCTTGGCGATGTCGCCGGGGTGGACAGCTGAAAACATGGCTTGGTACAGTCAAGGCTGATATGGAGTGCCTGGGGCTACAAACTGTCTACGGACTCCGTCTGTGGAACAAGAATGGGATAACCCTGTCGCAAAACCTTGCATCAGATCGCCGCGCCTGGGCAGCGATGATTCGAGATGTTCATGAAGCCGGCTCATCCTCCCGTAGGAGATAGCCGAAGTAAAGTAAAGTAAGTACACTATGAGAGACCAATATCAAATTACTTGGAAGAAATACAGAGATTGACAAAGTAGCTAGAAAACTGTTGCACCTAAATTTAGAGTTCAAGGATGGCACTGCGGTGAACACATATAAAAATACACATGGAATTAGACAATCGAGGTAACATTTCCTTGACATCATCAAGGTGCACTAGTGGATGGCTAGAGTAGGTTATTCGTAAAGTGACAGTAAAGAACGTTTTCGTCTCAATGATCTCATCAGACGATTTTGAAGTATCTCACCTGCAGTGTCACCGCTAAATTTTAAGTTTAGGTGTAACACTTTTTTAGCTACCTTATCAATCTTTGTAGTCCTTCCACGTAATTTGCTATTGGCCTCTACGAAGCTCAGTGGATACCAGTTCTCTTTGAAGATTTCTTTCAGTTGTTTGAGTTCATCATCAACACTATCTTCACTACAAATTCTCCGAACCCGTGTTGGAAGAGAACGGATTAGATTTGTTTTTTCTGTCTATGGGGACAAAACTGTAAAAATTGGTTAGTTGTCCTGTCCTGTTTGGGCTGAGCTAAAGAGAACGTAGGGGTAATAATTCTTCGATATTGCGACGTATTATAGAAGCAGTTTTAACTTAAGATTGCATCATGAGCTGACATCGGTTATAGAACTATTGTGAAGTCACACTAGGGAGTAGTGGATAGCTGTTTCACCAGCCTAGTTCGGGACTCTTAAGCAGTACGCACCCACCCACCGGGGTTCTAACCCAGGACCTTCCGGTTATGAGGTGATGTCAGCTCGTAATTAATCCTGTAAGCAATCAAATTCTTGCAAGCCAGTACTTGATAGTTAATCTGATGCTCACTAGTGACTCGCCTTATACACGAAGTTACCTGGTTTCTAGGGGGAAGCCGTGACCAGTGGGGTACTACAGCAGGTTGTGTGGGTATGAGGACCAATACTTTCCACCGATGATATTAGTTAGTGTCAGTTGCGCTATATCGTGCGTGAATCAGCAGAAGTTGGAATTCATGTACTGGCCATTGGATTGGATCCAAGTGACTGATTTGTTTACGAGCTAGCTGGCTTTGTAACCGGAAGGTCATAGGTTCGAAACCTGATAGTGGGTACCAAACTAGGCTGACAAAATGGTTGTGTAATACTCCCTAGTGTATTACACAGCCATTATGTCAGCCTAGTACAGCCTAATACTCCCTAGTGTATGACTGTGAGACCTGGCCATTGAGAGCCGAAGATATGAAAAGATTCGCTGTCTTCGATCATAGATGTCTGCGTTCTATCTCCCGTGTGAAGTGGTATAATAAGGTGAGCAATATTGAGGTTAGGCATCGGTCGAGTGCTAGGTAAGCAGGGGAAATCAATCGACGAGACTGTGAAATTACATCAACTGAGATGGTTAGGACATATGTTACGTATGCCTTGTCATCGCCTTCCTCGACAACAGGCAATATTAGCTGACATAGGGTCAGGTTGGAAAAGAGCTAGTGGCGGTCAAAACAAAACATGGCTTCATCAGCTAATGAAATCCACAACAGTTAGTTTAAGCAAGCCAGTCAGTCGCGTAGGGAGGCGTAGACTTCCCAACTGGTTGGGGTACTCGGGACGGTAAAAATCAATGGCTGGAAACATTTGGTGATATGGCTCAAAATCGTTCTCAGTGGCGCAGATGCATCCACTCCTTGTGACTTATGATTTCCAATGAAACTGTTTTGTTCTTCGTTATTACTATACCTTTGTCTCACACCTCTGTTTACTGTCTATATTATGCATTTCTCCTACTTTCTTCTCTTGCTTTGTTGTGGTACATGGAGTGTGTCGACTTGAACTGCCGCACATATGTGCAAAGTTCTGTGTCGAAAACAGACAGAGCAGACACCCTAGTGTGGTTTTCCAATAGTTCTCTAATATGATGTCAACTCATAATGAAATCTTGTAACCAATCAAATCCCTAAAAACCAACAGTCAGATTTTAGTATGCTTGCAAATATTACATGATGTCAGTTGACAGACAATTCATGTTTAATTTTCAAGTATTGGTTTTGTAGGGATTTTGTTTGATTGGATGGAGGATTTCATCATGAGCTGACATCAGTTAGAGAACCATTGGAAAGCAAGCCGGGAGTACTGGACATCTCTTTCGTCCTAGTCTTGGACTCTTCATCAGTATGCACCCACCGAGATTCGAACCCAGAACTTTCTGGTTGCAAGGCGAGCTCAATTTATTCACACATTGATAAAGGAGTAGCGCAATAATGACAAGAGGTTAAAGCCAAAGATTACGTAACCAAATGTTTGAGAGAGAGAGAGAGAACAAAGACACCCAGTTATCAGTGCAAGCAAAGACTAATCATAGGTGCTTCCTTCCGAACACATAAATTGGGATTCAAGCTTCTGGTAGCGATTGCGTCAGCAGCACTTGAGGATAATTGAGCAATTTTTTCTACTGATAATTTTAAAGGAGATTTCTGGCAATGGCACCAAGCTTTTGTCCCCTTAAGACGTAGGATTTTTTGCTACATATTCGTGCAGCAAAAATTGAAGGTGTGCCTCTTCTTTCTGTTCTCACAGTGTAATCGCTCCCACAGATACATGCAAGCTTTTAAGTGTTGGTTTACAGGGATTTGATTGTTTTTTGAGGATTTCATCATGAGCTGACATCGGTTAGAGAGCCATTGGAAAACCTGGGAGTACTAGACGGCTGTTTCGTCCTTGTTTGGTACTCTTCATAGGTACGCACCCGCTGGCGCTCAAACCCCAGGATCTCCTGGTGTCTTAATCGTCTACAAGGTCGCTTTGTAGCCAGAGGTCTTAGTTCGACCCCGGTGGGTGCTTAGTGCTGAGCAGTCCCAAGCTAGACGGACAAAACAGCTGTCTAGTATTCACTGGTTTTCCAATAAGATTTTCTAACCGATGTCAGTTCATGATGAAATCCTGAAACACGCATATCTTATTGTTGCACTTTTGAAGTGAATAAAAAATCTATTATGTTGTTTAACTGTCTTTTTGTTTGTCTGTTTTTCAGTTGAATCGTCAAAAACGTCTTGTAGAATTCTCGGGAAATCTCGCCACAGGTGTAAGATCAGTTACTGCTGCTGCCGCTGCTCGTGGTGGTTCGACTGGTACAAATATTTCTGCCTACTTAAAATCTACAAGTGATCTTGATGATACAACAGTCGTTAGAAGACGTGGTCATCAACAAAAAAGTGTTGAGATTTCACAACAACAACAGGGACAACAACACCATGAGCAACAAGAACAAAAAGAATCTCCACAACATCGACATGATGATGATGACGAGGGTGATACAAGTTTAACTGATACTGAATTACACACACTGAAAATAGAAAATGATGAATTATTTGAACAATTAACCCGAGAAAAAGATGAAATACATCAAGTGGCAAAGAAAATTTCTGAAATTGGTTATTTAAATCAAACGTTGACAGAACATTTATCAGAACAATTAGAGGTATAAGTTTTATTTAATTGAATTTCAGATTTTCCCGCCGATTGATTGGACTGAAGTGCTCGGTCTCAGGTTGACATGTCGGCTCCTTGAGCAGATGCTTTGACGACGCATGGTTATGTTACTTGAAGTCAGTTGGTGGAATTTACCAGGATGCATATTTCGTCCTATTTGGGACTCGTCATCTGGATGTATCGGCAATCCCCAGTGAGCCAGTGATGGTGTTCCCACTGAGGCGCGAACCCAGTACCCATAGCCAAAGCGTTATCCACTAGTTCACTCGAGCCACGAGTCTACTGAGTACTGAATTTGAGCTTCTTAGTGGGAAATACCGATACATTCACAGTTGACGAAACGCGCATCCTGTTAGATTCCACTGCTAGTTAGTTACCGTCCACCACTTGAATTCAAGTTAAGTAATCAGACATCGTGAACGCATCTGCACAAGAAGTCGAGTACTTCTCTCCAATCAATCAACAGGAAAGTCCAGTTGGAAATAAATAATTTTGTGTTTTCTCTTCCTTATTAATTTTAATATGCTCAATAATCCATAAAATTTACTACTACTACTCGGGATTACGAATCCTGTTGTCGACAAATCAAATTACTAGTTAAGTTTCATGTAGTCAAGACTCGGACTGGAGTAGGTTTCAGCATAGAACTTTGCACAGAAGTTTAAGTCGTGATATCTTATACAGCACACAGAGGTAGAGAGAACTGAAATATACGTTGGAAAGAATACTCACATGGCGATTAAAAGGGACTATAATAAGTAGAATAATAATAATAATCTACTTTATTCTAAAAACAACAGTACTTATAATACAGAATGGAATTCTCAGCATTTGTCACAATATTGCATCTGATTTACTCAAAGTGTATATAAAATTAAAAATTAAAACAAAAATTAATCGGAGGAATTTGTCCACTTTAACGACATAATTATTAGATGTAATAATAATAATAATAAATACTAATAACAGTGAATTTGTTTCAAACTTTAGCATGTTATGGATAATTGGGTCTAATGTTCTGTTGATATGGTATAGTGAGGTGAAATACAAAGTTTACAGTCATAATACAACTTAAAATTATGTCCTCAGTTATGAAAAATAAAATAAACAAAACGAAAAATTTGAGAGGATTATAAATATAAGAAATACAATAACAATAAAGTATGATGCTTTAAGGTTGAAGGAAATGGTCTATTTAGTGGTGCTAAGAAGGTTAGTTAGTTCATGCCTGACACTATTTTCATCATATAAAGTACGTGCTAAATATGGTATAATGGAATTTTTATACTTAGACGTACGTGCATAAATTCTTCTGAAAAGACTTCTTGTTTTACCTGAGGAGACACAGGGTTGGAGCTGCTAGTAGAGCGGGTGCTCAGAGTCTGACAAAATTCCTCTAGCGAATCTGTTGCATGACATCAAATGCCTACCGGTGACAATGCCAACGATATGGCCCAATGGGATACCACTCGTCCTACTGACAGTCTTTAGAGTTCTACGAAGTATGACATAGCCGTTTTAAGGAATCCAGGAAAGAATAAGGGTGAACAGTAAAGAAGAATAAGTAAAATACATGAATTGATAAACTGTAAGAGGAGTGGTTGAGTTATGCCTGAATGCCTTAACTTCTTAATGTAAAAAGTCAAACGAAATATTCTTTTAGAAATCACTAAGACATGAAAAGACCAAGATAGGTCAGAAGGGAGAACTAATCCAAGATACTTCAGACTTGCTTTCTATATCGGTATCATCGATTTTGCAAGGGTCATAGGAACTAACGACTTCATTTAACTTTCGTTTACATTGGAAACTGAAATTAACAGTCTGACATTTGGAAGGATTAAGTTTAAGGCCGTTAGACGAAGACCATTTGTTAATTTCTGATAGAAAGTTATTAATCTTAATACAGTCAAGTTGAGAGTTAACAGATATTGAAATAGTTAGATCATCGGCATACTTAACAAAGTTCATTTCATCGGAGTGAGTATGCGCGAGAAAGAATGGTAACTTGAAGAAGACATGAAGACTTAGTAAAAGTGAGAAATTACAAAGAATGAATGCATCTACACCATTGAGAAAGATTTTGAGCCACATCACCAATAGACTCAAATCATTGGTTCTTAGCACTCCTAGGTCCTCAACCAGGTGGGTAGTCTACACCACTCTAATTAGCGCTGGCTCAAACCAACTATCAAGGACTTCGTGGATTGATGCCAGGTATTGATTTGACCGTCTGTAAATCTTTCCCAACCTAAACCCCCATCTCAGGTAAAATTGCTTGCACGAATGAGGCATTGGCTTGATATGTGTAACACATACCCTGACCGTCTCAATCAAAGCAACTTCACCGCCTTATCGATTGACCTGTCCTCCTTGCCCAACACTCCATGCCGAACCCCAGTATTACTTACTGTATTATACCACTTTACATGGGAGATAGAAACCAAAACTCTGTGGTCAAAGAGAATTAACCTCTTGGAGTCTTCCATTTTCAATGGCCTTGTTTCATAACCATAAAGAAAGACACAGTGAACTAGGAAGCCGTACACGGGTTTGATCGATAGTTGGGTACAATGTCTAAACTAGAAATGACATAAGTTGGAAAATCCCACACAAACCTTTTATATGCGTGATAAAATTTCGTTATCAAGACATTTGATAAGAATTTAGAATAGTACCACTTTGTACAACTCTTTGAATATGTATATTAGTAACTTGAATATTCGCATAATGTATTCAGAACAAAATAGTAAGAGCGAACAATTGTGCTTTCAATAAATTCTTCTTCGTCAGGTTCTTCTATTATAAATCCATTAATTAATTGAAGCATACAATGGCCTACAATAGCCAGTCAGTAAAAGACAATTTAGAATCATATCAGAAAGTGTATTGTGGAACAAGTATAAGATGGGGTGGGATGGAACAATAATCAGTTAGTTTTTCAATATGCATGGTCAATGCGAACATGAGATGAAGTAATTTAATTTAATGATGTGTGTATATATATAAACAGAAAATACAGGTTTCGAGAGTGAGTGTAATCCGTGGTGTGTGAGACAATCTGAATACTACAGAAAATAAACCAACCAATGGGGTGGAGGAGCCGTCAGTTCAAGAATGAAAATAACGATAATGATTGTGAAATAATAACGATGGTATGGTGTAAACTTAAAAGTACTCTTGGTGAATGATTGTCCAATAATAATAATAATAATGAATTTAGTGAAGTGAAATGAACAGGATTTTGGAAATATGATAACAAGTTAAAAAAGCACTACTTAAACCTAAGGTAATGGAAATCATAAGAAACGTCATGAAGTCGTAAAAGGTCAAAAATGAACGTTTGTCAATGAAACAAAGGAATAAAAGAAGAAGAAAAGAAAATTGTGATAGGAATTTAAAGTTGCTAATGTTTATGGAGGATTTATTGGCTTTATTTTAGGCCAAGGTAAACACAGCGGTTGAACATACTTCTTCTGTATACAAAGAGTCGGTCTTCTGATATATATATATATATATATATATATATATACATCATTAATTTAAAGCAATTATTTCCCTTTATGAATTTCGACAACACAATAAGAAGGCGCAGTTTATCTGAAGCGTGTAATGTATTGGCGCAACACATTTCGGACATTCTGATCACACACGTACTTGTCATACACAGTTTTTATAGAATACAATAAGGCATGAATAAATACAATACAGGCCAGATTGTATACAGGTCAAGGTCACGACTTTTGCGTCTCCCTACACATTATTTGTGACCTTAGGTTGAAGTAATGCTTTTCTAACTTGTTATTATATTTCCAAAATCCTATTTATTCCACTTCATTATATTCATTATTATTATTTGGTAATTATTCACCAATAGTAATTTTAGGTTCACACCACATCATCGTTATTATTTCTCAATCATTGTCGTTATTTTCATTCTTGAACTCATGTCTACTCCGCCCCATTCGTTGGTTTATTTTCTGTAGTATTTATACTGTCTTACACACCATTGATTACACTCATCCTCGAAATCTGTATTTTTGTTCACCGTATATATACACACACATCATTAAATTATTTCATCTCATTCTATCTCATGTTCTCATTGACCATGCGTATTCAGGAGCTAACTGACTATTGTTCCATCCCAACTTCCTTATACTTGTTCCACAATACACATTTCTGATAGGATTCTAATTTGCCTTTACTGGCTGGCTATCGTAGGCCATTGTATGCTTCAATTAATTAATGGATTTATAATAGTAGAACCTGAATAAGAAGAATTTATTGAAAGCACAATTGTTCGCTACTAAGTATTTAAGTTAATTAACAATATTTTTACGTTATCCTATTCATGAATGTACTTTCTTCTTTGTTTATTTTTTTTTTATAGAAAATTGAACAAATCGGTAGTTCATCTGTCACTGCAACAGAGTATATTCGTCAAGGGAATGAACTTCTTTTAGAAGCAATAAATACTAAAGCAACTGTACAATTTTGGATGTTATTCATACTTATTGTATTAACACTTTCATTACATTTTCTTGATTGGTTCTATCCATAAAATTGTCTAAGTGTGTGTGTGCGTGTGTGCCTGTGTGTTTGTCTATTAACTATTTTGCAAATAATCTGTGATAAAAACTTTGTCAATTGAGGGTTATACTTTAAGCAATATGATTTTGTTTTACTAAAAATGTCTTTTGTCTTATGAAGTTATTTTGTTGATGAATTTGTCAGACAGATTTGTCTTCAACTGCAAGCCTCTTGCATACACGCGTCTGTTTTCCATTAATAGTGGTGATGAATATAACTGTTAGAGTAGTCGACTTACAAAGAAGACTGACGGGACTTTGAATGGAACAGTAGATAGAAATTTAGACTAAGAAATAAGAAGATATAATTTGTCTAAATCGTGTGTGTAATGTATTTGGGTGCAACACATTTCAAACAGTCTGATCACACACGGACTTGTCATAGGAATATACATATGAAAGTAATAAAGAGTGAGTTAAGAGGTGAGAAAATAGACTACTTAGGTCAAGTTAAAAGGAGGACATATTAAAGGTCGGAATAAAATTGAAGATCACTAAACCAAATAACAGAGGTAATAGTACATCCACCCTGATTGGTATCAAAACAAAATTTACCCGAAGGAAGGTTTAGTGTGATGACGAGTTGTTGCTGTGAACGCATAAAAGTGGTTTAAACTTTCTAATTGCCACCTAGAGCTCCCACAAACTTTAGGATCCATCCCGAACATTTTATGGATAGGTTTAAAATACGTGTAAACATCAATTTTATGTCCTGTCTCTTCTGTGTTGTGTTTCACAACAGAGGAGCTAGGTAGCCTGCTCTCACTATTAATGGGTTCTAGCGATTCTATTTGCTTCTGAAGCCATTTAGAAATATGTTGTGAAGGTTGAAGAGATCGATGAGTCCTCCCTATGTGCATGTGTGTCCACATGTACATTCAAATTGGTAAATACACTGGGATGTGACATCATTTTTCGCATGTTCGAAGGGCTTAGATGGATGGATATATTGGCTTCACATTCTCAATTATTATGATATTAGCTGCATAAAATGTCTTTTTAACAGCATCGTTCAATCTTTGTCTAGTTATCTAGAGTAGCTTGATGTACACGTCTGTCTTAGGTGTGAGTTGGAGAGTGAGTGGGTCTTGGTGTTCTGACTACTTTATATCTCCTGATGAACTTGTCTGGATAATTGTTATCAACCAGAGTTTGTGTCAACTTTCTTTCGTCTTCTTCATCAAGTGTGTATTCAGTGCATATTCGTTGGATTTTACTGGAGAGGCACCTTACTAAGGCTCTTTTGTACCGAACAGCGCAGAAGCTGTGATAATTAAGATACTGTCCTGCCCAGGTAGGTTTTCTATCAATAGATCGTTTTATTGACCAATGAAGTCGTCGATTAAGTAATCTGTCTAGGAAAATTAAACAATTATCTTCCTTTTCTACAGACAGACGTAAGTGATATGCTATTCTGAACTTCATTCATTCGATTTAAAATTGAGCTGGCAGAACAAGACTTATCACTGATGATTACGACGTCGCCTACATACTTTCTGTAAGGCGACACATTTTCGATTAAATCCTCCGATAAACGACGTATAGATAATTGCTAAAAGGAGTCCTAAAGAACTTCCCATAGCAGCACCATCAACCTGGTTGTAAACAGTCGCCTCCAAATGCAAACCTAACATTGTTAGTAAATAGAAGTAATAAATCCCTAAAATAAGATATAGGGAACGGGATGTAAAAATTAGGAGTGGAAATGTAATTACACAAAAAGTCAATTGTTTGGTGAATAATGAGTTTACTTCAAAAGAGTACATATTCTTATTCATAATATTAATATCGTCAAGAAAATTAACCATTTCAAATGTATCTTTTAGTACATATTTACAGAATTGTGTTTTGACTGAATGCAATAATTGTACTAACCATTTAGCAAGTTTATATGCTTTTGACAAACCATATATATGCGGGAATTTACATTCTTATGGTTTTAAAGAGTCAAATGTATATATAAAGCCTACGCTAACTGGTTGGTTGACAAACTTTCGTAGTTGGGTAATCATCAATCACAAGCGGGACCTGACAGTGTCTCTTCCGACTAGAATTTCAAAAATCTTCAGCCTCCAAATCAGCAAAACTAGGCAACTCTTTAGACTCATCAGGGAAATGGGTGGGAGAAGGCAAATCATTAGTGAGACTATTTGTGAGAAAAATGGCTCCTTTATTAGCTCTCAGGATAGACACCTTGAACGCTGGAAAGAACAGTTTAACTTGCCTACAGCCACACTGAAACTCCCCGCCATCCAGCACACACTCGAATGGGATATAGACACTGGCCCGCCGTCTGTAAGTGAGGTCACCAAAGCCATCTGTAATTTAAAACGCGGCAAAGCGGCAGGACCCGACGGAATTATTCCGGAGGTGTTCAAATATGGGGGTGACATACTAGCATATAGTTTAACTAAGGTACTAGGTAACGTCTGGGAATCAGAGACGGTTCCATCAGACTGGGGTAAGTCACTTATTATACCAATATTCAAGAAGGGAGACAGGTCCTCATGTGATAATCATAGCGGGATCAGCCTGACGAACATAGTCTCTAAAATCCTAGGCTCAGTAATCATGCACAGACTAAGCCGAACTCGGGAGGAACAAACGAGGGAAAATCAAGCGGGCTTTAGGCCAGATAGAGGGTGCATAGATCATATCTTCACTCTCCGACAGATCCTAGAACATAGACACACTTTTCGACGTCCAACAATTGCCATATTTCTTGACTTGAAGGCGGCCTTCGACTCCGTGGATCGAAAGGTACTATGGCAATGTTTGACTGTGAAGGGAGTGCCAAGAAAGTACATTTCACTAATCAAGGCACTCTACTCAAACTCACGTAGCCATGTAAGGGCTTATGGGGAATTGTCATTCGAATTGATAACAACCAGTGGTGTCCGTCAAGGATGTCCACTTTCCCCTTTTCTGTTTAACTTCATCATAGATATGCTAATGGAAGTATCCTTAACTGAACTTAACGACTTAGGAATCGACTTGTTACCAGGGAATAGTCTTATAGACTTAGAATACGTAGACGACATAGTCCTGTTAGGGGAGGACGCTGACAAAATGCAGAGTCTTCTGAACACCTTGAGCAGCAATCTCCGTATGTTTGGCATGCGATTCGCCCCTGTAAAATGTAAGATGCTGCTACAGGACTGAACTACGTCTAACCCTAGGCTAGTGATAGGGAGTGAAGTGATACAACATGTTGACCACTTCACCTATTTGGGAAGTTGTATCAGCACCAACGGATTGATTGGTGACGAAATCACAGCACGGATCCAGAAAGCTCGAGCTGCTTTCGCTAACTTACACCATCTCTGGCGTAGGCGTGATATCTGGCTGTCAACTAAGGGACGTGTATACTGCTCAGCAGTTCGCTCCGTCCTTCTCTATGGCTCTGAAACATGGCCAATACGAGTTGAAGACATGAAAAGGTTGACTCTTTTTGACCACAGATGTTTACGATCTCTTTCTCACGTTAGGTGGCCTTATAAAGTAAGTAATGTTGACGTTAGGCGTAGAGTGTTGGGCAAAGAGGGAAAATCACTCGAAGAAGCTACAAAGTTACATAGATTGAGATGGCTAGGTCACGTGCTGCGCATGCTTAACCATCGCCTCCCCCGACGGGCATTACTAGCTGATATAGGTGCAGGTTGGAAAAGAGTAAGTGGTGGCCAAACAAAAACATGGCCTCATCAATCCATGAAATCCCTGACAGTTAAACTGAGTCAGGTAGGGAGATGCAGACTTCCGGGTTGGAGCCTTCGGGACTCTAAGAATCAATGGCTGGAGACAATAGGTGACATGGCTCAAAATCGTTGTCAATGGCTTACAAAGATGTATTCAGTCTCTTTAACCTTCATATTCCTTTCTACCATTACTCATTCTGTTTCACTCTTATACTTGTCAAAACTCTATTGATTCTCTTCACTCATCTTCTTGTCTACGTTTGTGTGCTATTTGGAACGTGGCAACTGGAACTGCTGCACTTCGGTGCCGAGTTCTATGTTGAATCCAGACAGAAAGATAGAAGACGAGGTCATTCTTTTTTTAGTGGGAGACACTACTTTAGGATAGCTAGACCATTCAGGATTTATAGACAAACATGCCCATTGTTCTTGAACAATTCAAGAGATAAACTACCGCGTATGATCACTTTTATATGTATCTACCAATTTACTTACTCATATGGCGCGAGATTTATAGGTTGCTCGATGAGTGTTTAATTTGAAATAGTCGAAGAACATTGTGTCGTTTGACTACAAAAGAGTAACAGTGAACCAAAAAGGACTGCTACTGAACATATATTCAACACTGGTCACTCAATATGTTAGCAGAATTTACTCAAAGTTATCTAACAATTCAAAAGAAGCTTCTTGAATAGGGTATGATTCCGTGTACTTTGGATTGCTAAGGCCTTAGCGGTTCGGATGGCGAACCCTAATTTAGGTACACAGAGGAAACTTCGCCATCCCCTACTTCTACCCTGGGTATAATTCCAAGTTCAACTATTTTGTGCATTTTTCTGTACGACATTTTAGCAACATCTTTTTCTTAAATAATTCTCTGTTTACTTTTTTACCTGCTACATAATTTATTTTGGACACTTGTCTTCATTCTCTCTCATTAACAGCCTATTTTTCTGGTCGTCCTTCATATTGCGTAACCCCAGTTAGAACTAATTGATCTATCATCTACTCCCCCCTAGTTAATAATTTGACTATTCATCACATTTTTGAGACATTTTGATTAAGTAAACAGCAATCTTAACCAATTTTTATTCTTATCTGACTGTTTGACTAATGTGCACACACACGTATATACAAAAATAATTAGATATAACTGCGATTGTACAGCTGAGTGAATGAGTTCGCCGTCGAAAAGAGACGACTCTCCGCTGAACTGTCTGTCCTTAAATTCATATTTGAACAGTTAAACATACTGGGATCAACATCCTGTAGCAACAACAATGGGATTTTGCTCACCTCGCTTCCGTTTAGTTAAGAAAAAAACATTTCAGTGAAGAGTCTGTTAACTCAGCTGTCCAGCGGCAATTATAGATCATTATTTTTATATGTGAGTGTACATGGCACAAGAATAAAAATTGGTCTACAGTATTGTTTACAACGTTAAAATATTTCAATACACTGATTGGTGATCAAAATTGCAACTACAAAGTGGGGTGATGATTAGTAAGTTTAGACTAGAGTTATGTAATATGAAATTATTATATTATTATTGTTTCCTTTAATTCCTACAGGAACATAGGGCTTCAGCCGTGCGTCTCCATTGTGTTCGGTTCCTTGCTAGAGTCATCAACTGGCTCCATGTCTGCCCACACGTTTTCATCTCCTATTCACACCACCTCCTCCAAGTCACCTTTGGACGACCAACTCGCCGCTTCCCTTTCGGGTTCCACTCAAGGGCTTGTCTAGTGATGTCACTTGATGGTTTGTTTCCTCAGAGTATGGCCAATCCATCTCAATTTGTTTCACAATCGGTTCCTGCTGGGTTGGTTCGATCCCAGTGATCCCTGTTGGTAATCTTTTCTGGCCTGCCATCTGATCTTGAGTATTGAGCGAAGACAACTGTTAATGAAGGTCTGTAGTTTGTTTGAGATGCTCTTCATGACGCGCAGTGCAAGTCTCTGATCCGTATAGTAGCACTGACTGACTTCACATTGGAGTTGAAAGTTCGGATCTTATTTTTAATGCTGAGTGCTGTTGGCCTCCACACAGACTTGATAGTAATGAAAGCTTGTCTTTCTTTCCCTATCCTCGCTTTGATATCCTTGTCAGTTCCGCCTGTAGTTGAAACGATGCTTCCCTGGTTGGTAGGTAAAAGAGGTTGTTTCTTTCAGGTTCCTTCCATTTATGCGGATCGTTGTCTGTTGTTGTTGTTGCTGTTGGTGGTGTTGGCCAGGAATCTTCATTACATCTGTTTTCTCTATGTTCACCTGAACTGCTGTCTTTGATGCTTCTTCTGCCAGCTTGTTGCTTTTCACTTGCCTATCTTCCAGTTTGTGGGAAATCAGACATATATCATCGGCGAAGTCCAGATCCTCCAAGTTTTTGTATAGGTCCATTTTTTGCCTGTTTTCTCACTTCCCTCTGTTTGTCGCATTATCCAGTCTACTTGTTGTGCTGCTATATTTTGACTGAACTAGAGTACACGTATATCTTAGTACTTCTTCGCGTTTACAATTGTGTCCTAACGTTGCGATTACTCCACATCCACAACGTAATTCAAAAGGCACTTGCGAAGGAATACGATAGTGTATTATTGCAGCAATCAAAATTCAAAAATCGAGCGAGCACAAAAGTATCAATTGTTAACATGCAAGATTTAGGGTAATTAACAAATCGAAGTCCAATTACATAGTGAAAGTATACTGCGATGATGAGTAATAAAACGGGTCACTACATACTGCAATCAGGGAAATCTGTAGCGATAGTAGGTAGCCAGTTAAGCATTCAACTTGGTCTAAGATTTGGTACCGAAATATATCTCGTAGTTTGGACACCTAAATTTGGTCTTTTGCTTTGCCTTCGGTACACGAGGAACGAATACTATAGAAGTTGTTGGTATAAGATCTTGCGTTAATATACTCCGTAAATTCGCGAACGTCAATACCGTCAACCACTAAAAATTAATTTTGAATGCCCTAATGTTACTATTAGCTTCCTTGGAAGGCAAAAAGACCGGACAGAATTCCACTAGATGCACTGAAAACGGATCTGGAGTCCTTATTGAACGTCGTGAGCCTATGGTTGCAGAAAGTTTGGGAGAAGGGAACGGTACATTCAGATTGTCAGGCTACGATCAATGATGGGCTTAAGTATTTGAGAAACGTGGCACGGAATTATACTCCTGTCCATCCGAAGCAAACTATTAAGCTGTATGGTCTTGAAGTGGTGAAAATCTGTTCCAGTTTGAACATAAGAGGATGTCAGTAAAAGTAAAATAGTGTTACTTGTCTGGTTTCACTGTTTTGCTCTGACTGAACGTCCCAAGGTCGCAGGTTCATTCTAAACTATTGAGTGTCTTAGGTTCAGCTTAACCTTAAATTATATGAATATCTAACAGTATCATGGAAGCATCAGATTGCCACTCGGCATCTTAGTATTTTGCATTGAAGATTGAACGTGTCCTTCACATAATGAGTGTTTGATTCAAAAATGGATGAAAATTGTGGGAGGTTAAAGTTTATTGAGTTGGAAAACTACAAATCGTATAAAGGGAAGCAAGTTATTGGCCCTTTCAGTGTGTTTACAGCGATTATTGGGCCAAATGGTTCAGGTGAGTCAGTTGATTTGAGTACATGTCTGTTTGCAAGTGTTGCCAACATTTTGACTTTATCTTTGGTGACAACACTTCATGATTTGTGATAAACTCAGAATTTCAAGCAGTGCAGTGTGTAGAAATATGCACTGGTATATGTGAGGACTGTAGATTTTTCGCAAAATCTAGTCTTAGGACTAAGGGAACCGAAAATGCATTTTCGGACCATGGTCCTAAGATATCGAGAGTGAATCGTTCAGTTGTATTTGAAATATGTCAGACTTAAGGGGATGGTAGCTTGCGTCACGCACCTAAATTAATAAATATTGGTTCTAGTTAAAATTTGGTAGGTAGCATTTAACTTTTGAGAACAGAGTCGTGATTCGATTGTAGTAGCACAGTCTACAGCCAGTGATAACTTCTGTTTTGGTCCACTTTCTGCTATCATTTTCGGTTCATGACACTTCATTGTTCGCCTTCCGTATTTTAGCTGACTATTGGGTGTTTAATATGGGAAATTTAATTTGTAGTTATTTGTTTCAAAAAATTGTCTGCCTTCCCGTGCCTTTGTCGCCTGGCAAATGTTGCGTATTGGTTGATCTGCCGTCATCTCTCCGGCTCCCTTGCTCTCTTTGATTATATCTTATTGTCTTAGTTCAGAAGGTAAGATGCAGAGCGGTATACAAGCACACCAATTATTAATTTTCTGTCTTTCTACTGCTTATCTCGCACATATCATACTCGCCTTATTGTCGTGTCGCACAGAGTGTAGAAAAAAGACGTTAACATATTCCACGAGGCATTCAATTTTCGACCGGTCGATCGTGATTTTGAGCCCCTTTTTACTAGACTTCGACAGGCCGTATGGTCTCGTCCTCCATCACACTATAAGTGTTGTATTGCCAACGTAATTGAATAACCGGTGACACAGTGGTTAGGACTCTTGTCGACCATGCACATGGTCCGGGGTTCGATCCCCTGCCGACGCACACCCGATATCTATGGTCGGCCTGTAAATTTGGGCTACCGATATCCATGCTGAAAATTCCATACTTGTACTGAAAATACGGTGTGGAATCAAGCTGTAATCAAAAATAAATAAAAAATATTGGGTGACATTTTATTTTTTGACATACATCATTACGAAAGGTGGCTTGTATCACTGTAATCAATTGGTGTAGACACTTTCAGCCTTCAGTTTTTGCTTTCGAATCTCGTACATCAATATAAATGGCATTCTTCTTAGTAGGTGTAGCTCATTGCCTGTTGTAAGTTTAGGTATTTAGGTACTAAGATTCAGTTGCTGCTCACTGATCCTTGAAATTCAGCCACAGGAGAGATATCTTAAAGTTTCCAACTCCTGGTGTTTGAGGATGCCACCCAAACTTATTACGTGACCATAGTGAAATCTTGTCAGTAATGTCTCAGTAGGCTGATATAAGATAAGGGGAGTGTTTAGCACCGGCCCACCTGATGCACGTCAGCCTTGTGACATCGTCTTATATTTCGTCAGGGTGACCCGCATCCAGAGCGTACTCAGAGTATTGCCTTTGGAGTTCAGAAAGTTCTGCATTTTGTCAATGTTTTCGTTTAAAAGAGCTATGTCATGTGTGTATGCCGGATTAACCTAACATATACATGATGATACGTTGACCCTCAACGTATAAATTAAATAAAAGTTGTGACATTAGACATCCTTCATCACTTATTGTCTCCATTTCAGATGTAAACTCTCAATGAGCCTCTGCATAGTTCGCGTAGAGCTCTTAGAGTAATACAATATAGTTTCTTGACACTCTTCTTATTGTTACAACTCTTAATTGGTGGAGTCTAATACTAGCACTCAGAAATGTGGCAAGTCTTGGAATCTGGTATATGGGCTTGTATGCTGAAATTTGTCGAGAAGTAAACCCTCATGGGGATTTGAAATCTGTCTAGGTTTGTCGAATTTGTTTTTCCCTAGCTGCTAATATGGATCTTTGGATCTTAGATAATGCATTACTCAAACTGATCCCTTTGGGATTATTGCAAGAAGACTGGTTTCCCTTCTTGTAAACTTGGATGGCTGACGATCTGCACCTAACCCTAAACCAGAATCACATACACTAGTTAACACGTATAGCTAATAAATGATCCCTTAACACTCTCGGATTCAAACTACCAGGTGCTGCATTGTAAATTATTTAAAATAATCCCATCCGATGTAAGAAAAAATCAAAACAAGATTATATCAGATGCTGCTTTTGTGAGTCATTTTAGATTAGAGTAGCAACCTAAGCCACAGTTGGAAGACAGTTACCTGCATTACATTCAGATTGAAGTAGAATGGTGAACATCTGCTGCATCTGTGAAGTGAACTGCTCTGAAATCTGTTGTGATCAGCACCGCAGTCATCTCTCTGATTTTTTCCAAATCATCTGACTTACGATAGTTGTTTTATGAGTCTTTTTTTATTGCACCTAAACAATTAAGGGATACTGTGAATTACTGCTGTCATTTCCAATTCTTTCGTTTTCGTCGTTACGGACACGTATTTAGTTATTGTTTGTCATGTCTGGTACTTGCCGGTATCAGTATTTGATACGAAGCCAATGTCTAAGTAGGTTTATATGATTCAGCCGTATTACCAAAATTTCCTTTCATTTATTTCGGTTGTCTCCACAGATTTCAGTCATGAACTTGAACTATTTAAGAGTGCATAAGAACTGAAAATGTAGTTGGCCATTGTCCAATCGACCTGGATTTTGATTGTCGAAGTGAAAGCGACCTTTTCAGTATTGAGCACACTAGAGTCTAACTCATTGACAAATCCTAATCTAAGTCTACGAATTCTTTTATTTTTTAAAAGATAGGTGATAGAATACTGTCGGTTGTTGTAATATGAAAATAAAATGAAATATTACTTAACAACCGCTTGCAATCCCATGCAGTTTGCAGTGAGGGCCAATGGCACTACTTGGTCCCCCAAACCTCATAAGGTGGAGTGGGGTTCGAACTGGGGACCCACTTGTTAGAAGTTGAACACCTAGACCAATAAGCCAAAGCTCCTACACTGCATTCTATTGTAATGCTGGGTGTTAATAGTCAGTCAGTAAATAAACCTTTTCTGCTTTGGATTTTTTGCTTTTTACCAGTCATCAACCTGATAAAACACACGTTTCTTGAGGATTTCGACTGATGTCAGTCATGCAAAAAATGTACCGCTAAACTTACTCAGGTGTTCATTCCGCGTTTTGTATTTCACTGTTTGCCTTTGTCATATCGTGTGATTCCATTTCACGTTGCAACTTATGAACCTATTACTACTGAATCATTTTCATGAACTTTGAAGATAACTAGACGTAGGTCATCTGAGAAATTCGTACAGAAGTACGCGATTTCAAATCATTGCATCTTGAAACAGTATACGTATGGAAAAGGCACCAAGCAAAAGTCCAAAATGAATAAATAGGGTGTTTGAGAAAGAAGAAACTAAATAAATAGATAAACATTTTATGTTCATTAAAACAAACCCGGCACATTATTATTTTTTTCCTTCACGTTCCCAGTGGAACATAGGGCTTCAAGCTAGAGGCTGTGTTTTACTTTTACAGTATGAGGTTGCTAGCCTCATGCCCAACCTTCCCTCTTTACCTGCTCTTCACTACTGGTTTGGCGAGGTAAAGGAGTGCGTCGGTCGGGGATCGAACCCCGGACCATGTGCATGGTCGGCGAACGTCCTAACCACTGTGCCACCGACGCAAACATTATCAGGGCGAGGCGCATGCAAATAACACAGCCTTCAAACCTTGTACACAACCATTAGGTCGCGTAATATCCCATCGCCCTTGTCTTTTTTTTTTTTTTTGATTTACAGCTTGATTCCACACCGTATTTTCAGTACAAGTATGGAATTTTCAGCATGGATATCGGTTAGCCCAAATTCAGGCCTACCATAGATATCGGGTGTGCGCCGGCAGGGGATCGAACCCCGGACCATGTGCATGGTCGGCGAGAGTCCTAACCACTGTGCCACCGACGCACATAAAACTTCGCGCATATGTGCTGCAGTTCAAGTCGCCACACCCTCCATTTAGCATACAAAGCAAGAGAAGAAAGTAGGAGAAATGCATAATATAGACAGTAAACAGAGATATGAGGCAAAGGAATAGTAATAACGAAGAACAAAACAGTTTAATTGGAAATCATAAGTCACAAGGAGTGGATGCATCTGCGCCATCCATTGACAACGAAGATTTTGAGCCATGTCACCAATTGTTTCCAACCATTGGTTTTTACCGTCCCGAGGACCCAAACCAGTCAGGAAGTCTACACCTTCCTACGTGGCTCAAGTTAACTGTTGTAGATCTCATTGACTAGTTCCATGTTTTCGTTTGACCACCATCCCATCACCCTTGGCACAGATATACGAGGTCTGAGATACTTCTTGGATGCTCAGACCAAAGTTGGTGATTGGTTTAACGGGCCACTCTGTGAACCTTTGACTTTAAGTATGATCAACAAGGTAATGGAACAGCGTTAGGAACTACCTTCTTATAGTTTCTGGCGACCAAAACAGGTTCGTACGCCATTTGATCCAGTCAGGTTCAGAATTAAAGTTTTCTAACTCCTTTAAGTAGACCACCGTGTCCACCAGTTGTGTTGCAAGCGTCAAAAGTTCGCTTTTGTCAGTAACACTTCCTCCACGTAAAGATAGTGGCTAGGACATACCAGGCAGAGGTTGTGAACGCGTGGCAAAATGAGAATATTTGGAGAGGAACACCGAAGTCTACCTACCCTCGGGGGTACCAGGTCGTTTATGGATTAAAATGTTCAATAATATCGAATGTTACTTAATATCAGCATGCCTACAGCCTCTTGATCATTTGTTAAAGTTGTTATTCTGAGTCCCTTACTTTGTCTCCTAACGTTCCAAGGATCCTCGAACAAAAACCAGCTTTATGATAAACCACTGTCCAGCAATTAATTTCAATATTTGATGAAAGTATATGGTTTATTAAGACTGATAAGTATGAAAGTTCTTAACCCTAGGTAGTTTATATTTGTGTATATAATTGATGTTATCATGTGTTTTTGTGTTTGTGTGTGTGTGTAGCATTCCTAAACATACCATTATATCTTTGTGTCTATTGTTTTCTCTCATATTTCTTCAGGCAAATCGAATCTTATGGATGCTATAAGCTTTGTTCTTGGTGAAAATACTCGACATTTACGAGTTCGCAGATTAAATGTAAGCATAGCTTCCTATTTTCACGTCAATGATTATTTCATACATATCTTTAAAGGATCTAATCCATGGTTCAGTTGTTGGAAGGCCTGTTTCAAAATCAGCTTCAGTTACAGCAGTCTATGAAATGCCTGACGGGGAAGAAAAACGTTTTAGTCGTGTTATTCACGGGAATACCTCTGAGTATAGAATCAATGGTGTTGTATGTTGCGCTTATCCCATATGCATAATGTAATACCTCCAAAACTTTCCTTATAGTCTGTTCGGGTGGATGAATACGCTGCTGCACTTGAACAAATACATATATTTATGAAAGTGAAAAATTTTCTTGTATTTCAAGGCGCTGTTGAAAGTATCGCTATGAAAAATGCTCGTGAACGTTGTCAAATGTTTGAAGAGATTAGCAAGTAAACTGCTTTTCATCAATTTAGAACTTTAAATTATTATCTTTGTTGTTGTTAAGATCTGCTGAACTCAAAGAAGAATATGATATGTCAAAAATGGAAATGCAAAAACTGGAAGAGAATGCAAATTTTAATTTAAATAAGAAAAAAGGTATTGTTGCTGAAAGAAAAGAAGCAAAAATTGAAATTGATGAAGCGGAAAGATATAAAAAGCTTCAAAGTGAATTGGTAAGTGATTTAGCCTTCATTTGTCGAAGGCGAATGGTTTCTTTCACACAAATGTTTATACAGCTTCCCCGCTTGTTGTTGTGTATTTGTTTTTCTTGTGAAAGGATTACATATGCGTCATTTTAGTTGATCATTAGGTTTCATCTTGAGACATAACTACTGTGTGTTACCTGTTGCTGAAGGCTTAACTGTATGCGAAATTATCAGGTCCTGTTTGTTTACCTGACGGAAGAGAATCAGTGTGTTCAGTCATCATTCTGTTATTATTATCATCATTCCCTTAAGTTCCGAGTGGAACTTCAGCTGGGTCCAGGATTACCCATTATCTCTCATCTCTTCCTCACACGATCTCCTCCATGTCACCCTAGCACTGACGACCCGCTCGTCGCTTCCCGTTGTGATTCCATTCGAGCGATGGCCTGTATTAAGGGTGATGTCATTCGTCGGCCTCCTCAATGTATACCCGATCTATCTCCATTTTCTCCTACATATTTGTTGAGCAATCGGCTTTTGGTTGGTTTGTTCATAGCTGGAGTTTCTTTTTACTATTTCTTTCTGTCCATTTGATCTTCAGTATGGAGCCAGCGAAGGCAGCTGTTGATAAAAGTCTGCAACAGGCTGTTGGAAATCCTTTTTGTTACACCCATATAGAAAGACTGACTTGACATTTGTGTTGAAAATGCGAATCTTGTTCCTTATGCTGAGTGTAGAAGATTTCCAAGATGTTCATCATTTTAGCCACTACTTTTTCCATTCCCTTGCACTCCAAGTGAAACATAGGGCCTGGAGCTTAAGTCGTTGAAGTTACAGTAGCAGTGGCATTGTTTTTTCCACGTCTAAGCCTCCCTCCTTTACCGAAATCCAACAGTTAGCTGTTACCATGACGTGGTGGTCGTTCTGGCATATCACGATAGCTCAACGAGTTATATTAGCTGGAATTAATGTTTCTGCAGGTCCTACAATGCCAGAAGGGTTGTTCGAATTCCAGTTACTAAAATCATCTGTCATCATAGTGTAAGTCGATTATACGATGTTGAGGGTCTGAGGACAAAGTTGTACTGTTGGCGAATTGGGGATGTGACAGCAGCAAGGTGTTCCCCTCAGATGACCATCAGCCAGCTATGCTGCCTCTTCGGTCTGTAGAGTTGGGGTTAGTATAAGGTTAACCGGGAAAATTGTACATCCCGACTTACGTTGTGGTGGTAAGATCTTATTACGAACGGAACTGCTGAGACCACTTCAGACAGGCTATAATTGACCGGGCTGTGTGATCATGTGGTCACATTAATAGTCCTTCTGTTCCAGTTACACCAAGAGGGAATCGACTTCCGTGGTGTGAGCAGCCGGGAAGTAATAACCGCCCACGATCTTGCTTCCATAAATTCACTCTTTGCCGAGATTAGTACTCTTTACGGCAAGGTTTAGGAGTGTGTTGGCCAAAAGTCGAACCCTGGAGCATTTGGAGGATTGACAAACGTTCCACCATTGGAACATCACCGCCACTATAAGATGCCTTTTTTTGTTCTTATCCCCTTATTGATTGTCTTTTCGTGAAATTGAATTGTGGTTCTTTCTATTATATACACTGAGGTTTAATACTAACTAATAATAATAATAATCTTTTTTCCTCACATTTTAGACCAAAAAACGACTTGAACTACATCTGTTCCGATTGTATTACAATGATTTAGAAATAAGACATGTTCGTGAGGAATTGAAGCAAAGAGAAGAGGCTGTTGCCGCTGAACATGAACAACGCCAGCTGATTGAAGAAGAAATGAAAGAGAAACGACGTGAATTAGGCAAAATCAATCGAGATCAGTCATCGCTGGAACAAGAAATTAAAAAATGCGTATGTTTATTTTCATGTGCACATATTGACTGACTGACTGACTAATTTAATTGTATTTTTTATAGGAACAGAGAATTGGTAAAAGAAAACCTGAATTTATTAAAGTCTCCCAGTTGTTACGTCATGTTACTGAAAAGCATAAAGAATCCAAGTAAGATTTTGGTGTTTCTTCTCTTATGTATCCCCATTTTTGTTTAATTTCATCACATATGTACCCAAACTGACTTCAGCCACTCAGGGATTGACTTGTTACTACCAGAGAATAATCTTGTTGACTTAGAATATGCAGATGATATAGTCCTTCTAGGTGGTGGAGACATTCGCTGACAAAATATGAGCACCTTGAACAGAAATCTTCGAATACTTGAGATGCTATTTGCTCCTGTCATATGTAAGATGATGCTACAGGAATGGACTACATTGATTCATTCCTAGCTTAAAGAGTGAAATGGCGACTGGGCATGTTGACCACTTCACTTATTTGGAAGTTGCATCAGCTAGTCCCAGTGGGTTGGTGGCTGACGAAATCTGATCAAAGATACAGAAGGCTCTTTTCGCATATGCCAACTTAGGCTATCTCTGACTTAGTAGACGTGATGTACAGCTATCTGGATATCGACCGAAGGGCGTGTGTACTGCTCAAAAGTAAGCTCTATTCGCCTTTATGGCTGTGACACATGACCATTGAGAGTGAAAGACATGAAAAGCTTGGCTACCTGTCTTTGATCATCGGTGTCTGCGTTCTATCTTCCGTGTTGTAACGGTAGAAGACGAGAGACTTGGTAAAGGAATGTTTATTTGAAATTTGGTATCGCTATATAGCGAGATCATGTATATCTTATCTTCAATTCACCATTTTCACAGATCTTCCCTGGTGTGCTACTTCTGTCCGTCATATTGTGTTTCTTTTACGTCCCCCATGTTTCTCGGCAATGTTGAATCATTTGCTCTGTCTGACGTCAAATATATCCCTGCTATTTGATGTTTTTATGCCGACTGATGAACATCTCTTTATATACTACTGATAAATCTTATCAGTAGCACTAGCCACACTCGTCCCCTACCACATAGTTTCGAACGGAGCCGCGTCGACCTTCTCGGTTCCATCCGTTTCTGTTGTATCTTGGCCCCGGCCTCCTTATCCCACTGTATCTGTTTTTGCAGTTGCCCGACGTTAACCCATTTCTGCTTATTTCCTTGTTTGATGGCATAGACAGGACCACATCTCTCGGTTACCGTTTATGGCCCTTCCCATTGCCTCCAACTATCTAATATCATCAAATCAATGTGCACCGTGGTAGCGAGCTACCTAGAATGGTGGCCACATTGCAAATACCTGACTGATAAAATTCAGTCTGCACCAAACAGAGGACTAGACACGTCACACTAGTTACTAGTGTCCAATCAAAATACCTACTACAGTCCTACAGGAGGTCAATCGCGAGCCCGAATAGCTCAGTGGTAACGTCTCTGACTGCAGTACTCACTGGGTGACGCGGGTTCGAATCTCAGAAGGGACATGAGTTCCTTGAAGGTTGCAGATACGCCTTGCTGATGAGTGCCATCTAGCACGAAACCTAGGTCCAAGGCTTCCTGATGATTGCCTCCAATTATCTAATATCATCAAGGTCATACACTGTACATTTGGTTAATGGACAGACAAGATAAATTGTGATTTATAATAGGATAACGATCAATATATACACATAGTAAAATATGTCACACTGGCGAAACAAATGCAGACGTCATGTGACTACTACATATCAATATGGCGGGAGTGTTGCTACTGGAACTGTTGCTGCACATCTGTGCAAAGTAGTTCTATGTTGAAACTAATCAGTTAGTCACAGTCATGTGTTGATGGTCTCATAAATTTTCTTTTCTTTTTTGTCTTTTCTGAAGGAAATCACTTGAAAATGCTAGACAACTGCATAGTACACATCTACAAGAAATTGATCAATTGGAAGCTGAGTATGAAAAAATTTCTAATTTACAAAAAGATTATGAACAACAACAGACTAAAAAATCATTGGAACAAGGTCGTGATTTAGAGCTGGAAGAGACTCAGGTGCGTTGACTTGTTTGTTTATTGTTTTTTTGCATGGAGGATTTCATCATGAGCTGACATCAGTTAGAGAACTACTGGAAAACCAGCTGGGAGTACTGGACAGCTGTTTCGTCCTAGTTTGGGACTCTTCATCAGTACGCACCCATTGGGATTTGAACCCAGAACCTTTGGATCGGCTCAATGGTCTACGAGCTCGCCTTGTAACCAGAAGGTCCTGGGTTCGAATCGCCGTGGGTGCGTACCGATGAAGAGTCCCGAACTAGGACGAAACAGCTGTCCAGTACTCCCAGGTTTTCCAGAGGTTCTCTAACTGATGTCAGCTCATGATGAAATCCTCCATGCAATCGAACAAAATCCCTACAAAACCAACACTGGAAAATATTGTTTTTTATCTGTTCTGTATCCTTGTTGGGACAATCGTTTCATTTGTTAACAACATCTTTTTTAATTTATGTAATCTCTTTATGTTATGATGAGTCTATGAACTCAGATCTGTTGAAATTTCATTATCGAAAGGTATTCTGATCTGCTTAAAAACCATAAATGGCGATTTAAGAAAGCAAGCACACCATATATACTACTGATTGTTTGAAATATAGGTAGTTGGTTACTAGTCAACGTCAACTAGTTAGTAGAGTTTGTTAACCAATCATATCGAAGTGTCCAGTGTACAGATCATCTGATGAACATGTGTCGAAAAGCCTACGTTTCAAGCGGACAAACTCTTATAATAGCGCTATTATCAGACATCTCGATACTGGTCATATGGGGGACGGGGAATCGCGAAATCCTTTAAAATTATCAATAGACAAAGGAGCTCGATTCTCCTCAAGTTTGCCGAAGCAATTTTTATCAAACGCTTGAAACCAGATTTATGTGTGTTCAGAAAGAAGCAGTTATTAGTTTTTCCTTGCCCCGCCTGGTAACTGGATGTCTTTATTCTCTCTTTCATTAGATCAAATAATCTTTGGCGTTAACCCCAACCCCCCTTTTTTGATGATGTAGTGTAACTTTGCTTGTCTCTTGTGTCTATACGTGAGGTTGAACTCAGTAATTGTCACCTAATTTACTAGTCACTCAGCATCTTACACATCTCTCGTCTTTATTACGTAACTCCTTTACCATTGTATGCATACATTCACTTTGTTTAAACTTGAACTGCCTGTGTAAAATATATATAAATGTAGACGCAATTTTCTGAGCAGTGTTCACTAGTTGCCGAACCTTCTGTCAACCGACATCATTTGAAATGTGCAAGTATGTTAGAACTTTTCTGTACATAGACTTAATAATAATTTATTTAGGCTGTAAGCAGCCGAGGTATTGAGAAGCCAACGAAATAAGCAATGATGGTACCATCTTGTTATTCTGCACAAACCGCCACAATGGTGTTCTTTCTTTATTCAAAGTTGCGAAGTATTTAGTTAGCCGGAACATTCGGTTATATCAAAGCTGAGTCAAACTCTGAGTACGACGCCGATATTGATGAACTCGGCGCTAAAAAGGAGCGAAATGACTCTCCGGGCTTGTTTCGGTCACTTCCATATGGAGCTGGTTAGCAAGCACTGCTTGTTAATGTGAGCGGTGTTCAACTACTTATGTCAATCAGTGAGTAGTGTAATGAATTAACAGATATGTTGATTGATCACTCAAGCGTAACCAGTGTATCATCTTTCTTAGCTCTTATTATTGGCATAGACTAAATTCTGTCAGTAAAGTTTTCATTGTGTGGTCATGCATCATCTAGGTGACTCAGCATTGCACTGTACTCTGAAATGATGTTAGACGGTTGAAGGCAGTCGATTTGAAATCCTATAGTGAGATTTCATGCTTATTGGAACTAGAAACACTAGCTTCGGTAACTTGGACATCTGCTAGGAATGTAATCCTAGAGGTTTCTGTACCGGTCTGTGTTCGCTGGCCCTAGAGCGAGGTGGGAAAAGTGGATAGGTGGTCAGCCTATCGTGTCGTGGCGTCGTGGGATGAAGGATATTTGTGTTAGGTTGGCATCGTTTGGTAGTACAGCACGACCGTCTGGTTGCGATCTGAGAGAAAGCTCCAGTCAGTGGCTCGAATTTTCATGCTGCAATTCGATGAATGTTACTTAGTCTCGTTAGATATAGTTGCTTCCTAGTTTTAGATGGTTGGAGGTAATCGGAAACAGGAAGCCTTGGACCTAGGTTTCGTGACCTAGTTGGCACTCACCAGTCAGAAAGGTGCACCTGCAACCTCAAAGGAACTCATTTCCCCTCTGAGATTCGAACTCGCGACACTCAGTGCTGACTATAGTGCCCAGTCAAAAATAGTTGCTTCCTTTCCAGATGATGTCCCTTATTCATTCTCTCCCTATTTTCTACACATATATCGCTGTTTTATTATTATTGTTATTGTTAGGCGCATCTTCTTGGTGTCTATATCGTACCGTCTGATTTCCAGTATCGAACCAACGAAGGCAGCCATCATAATAAAGGCTTTTTGTATTTCCCAATGAATGAAAAACAAAACGATATTGTTGTGTTTACTGACATTTCACCACTTAGTGCTTCGAATAGCTCTATCAAAGTGGTAATATTAAACCAAAATCTCAGCTTATATATAACAACTTAATCATCGTTCTTCAGTATGGGGGCATTTTTGAGTTGTCAAATTGGCCAATTAGTAAAGATAACAAAACCAGGTGTAGATTGTTGGATTTGATAAGTGTGTAAAGTTATAAAGTGAGCATGGGTTTACGTACTGTAATTGCTTATTACATTCGTCTTGATTTTGTCATTTCATGGAGGAGAGAGGAGTGTTGTAACCAGGTCAAATTCTGCTTTAGTCCATCATTTCTATTCAGAAAATTTGGATTTAATAACAATAATAATAATAATTTGCTTTATTCCAAAACAGTAATTGTGATGCAGAATGGAATTCTCAGCATTTTTACTACAGTATTGCATCCAGTTAGTACATTATCAATAAATAGAATTCTACATTGATTAAGGAAATCTCAGTTCATTATGATAACAACATATAAGCATATCGGTAGCAAAACCATAAGTGAACAGAATGTTTGAAGGTATTAGAAAAGTAGGTGTTATCATATTTACTGGCGTAAGCGGGTGCGAGCATATAGTTCTCTATATTGGCTTCTGGTTTTACCTGATGAGATGCAGGGGGAGAGTTGTGAGTGAAGAGGGTCGTGTGAGTTAGATAAAATGGATTTGGCCCATTTTTCACATGAGTCCATGTGCCTGTCAACCAGAATATTAACAAGCTGGTTAAGTGGCACGTTGCTTACCCTGCTGACAACCTTTAACATTCTGCGTAATATGTTGTAGTCTTTCTTCAGTAGCCCGGGAATAACTAAGAGGAAACAATAGAGAATAATAGGCAGAATGCGAGAGTTAACGAATTGCAGGAGTAAGGGTTGGGTTACACCAGAATGTATTAACTTCTTGATGTGGAAAATAAGACGAAATATTTTCTTAGAAATCGCCAAGATATGGATTCCATTTGATATGAAGAACTTCTGATATTAGACGTTTTATTATCTAGTTTTATTATCTTTACCAATTTGCCAATGCCAGAAATGACCCCATGCTGAGGAACTATGATTAAGTTGTTATATATAAGGTAAGATCTTGTAAATTTTGGTTCAGTATTACTACTTTGATAAAGCTGTTAGCTTTAAATAGCGAAGCATCAGTAAACACAACAATATCGTTTTGTTTTTCATTCATTCATTAGGAAATACAAGAAAGCCTTTATTATTATAATGAATATCATATACCTATTGCCCAAATTTTTCGAAGGCAGCCATTCGCTCTGTCTGTTTTCAACATAGAACTTTGCACCGATGTGCAGCAGTTCCAGTCGCCACACTTCACTCAGCACACAAAGCCAGAGAAGAAAGTAAAACGAAACGCAAAACAGAGACAGTAAACAAAGATATGAGGCAAAAGGAATAGTAGTATCGAAGAACAATATAATTTCATTGGATATTATAAGTCATAAGGAGTGGATGCATCTGCGCCAACCATTACCGAGAACGATTTTGAGCCATATCACCGATTGTCTCCAGCCTTCACTGGTTTTTACCGTCCCGAGGACCCCAACCAGTAGTCAGGAAGTCTACACCCTCCTACGTGACTGACTGGTTTAAATTAACTGTTGTGGATTTCATTGACTTGTGAAGCCATGTTTTGGTTTGACCGCCTGATCGATCCTATGTTAACTAACATTGCCCGTCGAGGAATTCGATGGCTAGGCAGGCATGCCTAACACATGTTATTATTGATAATTATAATTAATTATAATTCATATTGCATAAAATATCACTTGATTTCATTTCCCGCACTTTTTTCTCTTTTGGTTGCTATTTTAGTTAACAGAATATCATCGATTAAAACAAAAAGTTGCTGAACGTACATCACACTTATCCGCTGTACTCGATAATTTAAATCGTGAATATAATGAACAAAAAGATTTATATGATGCTCTGTCAAGACGAAAAAATGAAATTGAAAGTTCCTTGAAACGTAAAGAAACTGAATTAAATGAAAATAAAAAACGTTTACATAAATTAGTTGAATATATTGAGTAAGTCAACCTTTTCTTTTTTGTTTTTGGCGTTGTTGTTGTTTATTCTGAAATAATTACTGGAGAAGATTTCTAGCTCAACAAGTGGATAATTATGTTTTAGTTGTGTTCTCTAAAGGAGCTGGCTGGTTTATTTGTGAAGCTTTCGTTGTCCACTATCTAGACAACATCCCCCTTCGGGGCGCGGTTTTTAGCATGAAATGAACCTACTTGGATCCTCCATATATATATATATATATGTATATATATATATATAATCGAATTTCTTGACAACCAATATACGGCTAACAATCAAAGGACGTGTGTACTGCTCAACAGTCCGCTCCGTCCTCCTTTATAGCTGTGAGACCTGGCCATTGAGAGTGGAAGGCACGAAAAGGCCGGCTAGCTGTCTTTGTTAATAAGTGCCTGAGTTCTATCCCCCATGTGAAGTAGTACAACAGGTTGAACAATATTGAGGTTAGGCATCGGTCGAGTGCTAGGTAAGGAGGGAAAATCAATAGACGAGGCTGTGAAATTACATTGACTGAAATGGTTAGGACATGTGTCAAACATACTTAGCCATCGATTGCCTTCCTCGACGGGCAATGTTAGCTGATATAAGATTGATCAGGTTGGAATGGAGTTGGCTAGTGGTGGCCAAACCAAAACATGACTCCATCAGTCAATCAAATCCACAACAGTTAGTTTAAGCTACTTAGGAAGACGTAGACTTGGTGGTTGGGGTCCTCGTGACGGTAAAAACCAATGGCTGGAGACAATCGGTTATATGGGTCAAAATCGTTCTCGATGATGGTTGGCGCAGATGCATCGACTCTTGTGACCTATAATATCCAATGAAACTATATTTTTCTTCGTTATTACTATTCCTTTTGCCTCATATTTCTGTTTACTGTCTCTATTTTGCATTCCTTTTTACTTTCTCTTGCTTTGTGTGCTACATGGAGTGTGGCGACTTGAACTGCTGCACATATGTGGAAAGTTTTATGTTGAAACCTGTCAGTCAGTCAGTCAGTCAGTTGTGATTACATGTTAATTTAGTTATCTCTTGATCATTTTTATTGACCTGGAATTAGAACTTACTTGTCATGTTACTCATTTTTGATTAGTTGGTAAATACGGTCTCCAATAATATGTCTGTTAATCATTGGTTCATCTGAGTACCACGCTTCTAGAATTCCCCTGACAGTATTTTTGGTATTTCCTCTGCCTAAAATTTCTACATTATCCCAATCAAATGGGTGTCTGTGATGGTCTACACATGCATCGATATGAGAGAATACATATTGTGCCCTTTTACAGTTAAATTATGTTCTTGGAGTCGGATATGAAGTGGATGCCCACTATGATTGATGTAGTGTTTGTCGCAGTTTATGAAATTTAATTTGTTAATGGTATCGATCTTATCTTCTTTTGCTGTTTAGTGGGATTTTTGGTGTACATAGTATCGAATGAAGTGATTGTGTTGGTTGACTTGTGTGCTATGTTTATTTCAAACGGTGTTAGTATTCCAGCCGTTAGTTGTTTCAGAGATATTCTTTATACATGGTAGAGTGAACTTTCTTGTGGTTTCTTTTCGGTGTTACAACTTGAGTTTAAACACTTTCTGATGAAATTGTAGGTATTTCTCTTCCGTTGTCTTCAGCACCGGAGTACTAAAGTGTGTTTGGAGTCACTTTTAAACAATGTCTGCACATAGTTTCTTTTGTGAGTAGTTGGGTTGTTGTTGTTATAATTCAGTATTGGATCTGTGCCCGTTGATTTTCTGTATACTTGTGTTTCCCAAAATTTCCTGTGTTAGTGTTCTTGATTCAGACATCTTAGAATGGAATTCTGTTGTCTAATTCTTCTTCTCTTGTGGTGAATATTATTATCTTCAAATATGTTGTTGATTAATTTGTGAGTGTATTCCAAATTATTTCTTTTAATTATTACAAATGTACCATCACAATATAAGTTCACACTAAAGACCGCGCTGAAGGGATGCTGTGTAGAAGGTGGACGATGAAAGCTTCTCAATTAAATCTACAACCAGCTCAGAAAGTACAACTAGATCACAATTATTATTATTATTCTTTTTATAAATTCCTTTGTGTTCCAAATGAAACATTAGGCTTCAACCTTTCATCTTTGAAGTATCAGTCGCACACTAGTGTTGTCTTTTACCATCCGATGCTTAGGTTGCTAGCCTCACACTCATCTTTCCAAGGTAGTGAGTACTGGACAGCTGCTTCGTCAGCAACAGGCACTCACTGCCAGGGTTCGAACACAGGACCTTCCAATTACTAGGCTAGACTACTTAGCTCACGAATTCTAACATCTACCAATTGGTGATTTTTGCTTGACTGCCAGCCAGTGTCATCGCTGTCGAGTATTTGCCCTCACTGTCTACCTGGTGGACCCCCACTGATCACGACTTCTCACTGAAACTCCAGACAACTTCGTCTCGCAAACAGCCAGTAGCGAGCATAAGAATAATTTACAAAAGTTTGTTTGTAGGGTCTGTTTTAAGAAAAAAATTTTAAAAACGCATTAGTATAACGCTAAACCGAATGTCAGATAAATTAAGAAACAAAAAAATATGATGAATGTATAGGTCTCACAGCAGGCCAGGGTAACAGTAGTGAGTGGACTTGTTTCTTCTGTACACCAAGTCCCTGTGTCTTAGGCTGATTGTGCAATGGGTTCTACCGTTTCGAGTATTCAATATTTAAAGACATTCGATAATTTATTTGGTACACAGTAGATGATAGCGAGGCTTTCGAAGTGAATACAGGAGTAAGGCAAGCTGGCTGCCTATTATCACCAGTGATATTCCCAAATGTGGCAGACTGGATTATGCGTTAGGCTGTATGTGGAGAGAGAGAAGACAGGAATACGCTGGACGACCGATAAGAACACTCTAGAAGATATAGATTTCGCAGATGACATATGTCTAATGTTACACAAACTCGAAGATTTGCAGGCGAAAAGCAACAAACTGGCTGAAGAAGCAGGAAGCGAAGACAGAACTGCAGGTGAACACAGAGAAGACGGAGGTGATAAAGATAACCAACCAACCAACCGCAACAACAACCAGTACCAATCACCATCAACGGGAGAGATTTAACAGAGGTTGCATCCTTCACTTATCTGGGAAGCATCCTTTCAACTACAGGTGGAAAGGACGAAGATGTCAAAGTCAGAATCGGAAAGACAAGATACGCCTTCATCAACGTGAAACCAGTTTGGATATCTTTTGCACTCAACATAAGGAACAGGATTTCCCATTTTCAACACCAATGTCAAGTCGGTCCTTCTATACGGATCAGAAACTTGCACTGCGTGTCACGGAAAGGATTTCCAACAGGTTACAGACTTTCATAAACAGCTGCTGGTTCGCTGGTTCCATATTGAAGATCAAATGACCGACCAACTGGAAATCGTTAGCAACAAGAAACTCCCACTGGGAACAAACCAACCAAGAACCGATCGCTCAACAAATATGTAGGAGAAAATGGAGATGGATCGGGCATACGCCACTGAGGAGACCGTCGAATGATACCGCGTGCCAAACAGGCCATCGCTCGAGTGGAAATCCATTGGGAGGTGGCGAGTGGGCCGTCCGAGGATGACATGGAGGAGATCGTGTGGCGAGGAAGAGATGACAGATTATGTGCAATCGTGGACTCAGCTGAAGAGGACAGCAGAAAAAAGAACAAAGTAGGGACAACCTGTTGAAGCCCTATGTTCCACACGGAATCTAAGGGAATAATAGTAGTAGATGATAGAGAAAGATTTGTCAATATTCGCCGTACGGTCTATCTGAAACATATAGTTTAATATCGGACTGTTGATGGTTTTCACTGTAACCTTATTTAACCACTCTGGCAGTTATTCCCGAGAACAAATATTAAGTTCCTACAGTTATGGTCAATATAACTGGCTCCACAGGAGCAGTTGAATCTATAAAAGCAATAAGAGTTGGCTAGCCCGGGTATTTTGTCTTTCACTGGCGGAATCACAACCGGGCACGTGGAGGACACAAGCTGCAGTCTACTGGCACTGAACGATCTCTGAATCTTTTCTCTAGATTAGTTAGCTGTTGTTTCGTTTGATATATCACTTTGCAGCTGCAGTCACATGTATATGTAGAGCCTTCTTGTTGTAATATTTACGGATTTTTGCGCCAAATAAGTTAATGTGAATATTTTTTTTTGGCTTTTGGTATCCATTATAGATCAAGTAATCGTGCTATCACAGAACAACGTGAAACTGAGAAGGCTATTCGTGAAGAAGTTGAACAAGCTACAAAACGTATCGATGAAATTAATGCTGAATTGGAGACAGTTGTCTGTCAGCTGGGTGAAGCAAAAGTTGAACGACATGAATCTTCTCGTGCAGCTAAAAAACAAGAGCTTATTGAAAATTTGAAACGTCTTTTCCCCGGAGTTGTAAGTATCCTGTTCTATCCTATCCTTATCATACATTGTTTTGCATCATTATTTAAACAAATTAAGGGAGGTTCAGCTGGATAAGATATGTCTGTGCATTCTGACTAACAATACCAGTAGTTAGAATTCATGGGCCATTGGATCGGGTCTCAGTGGCTGAATAATCTTCGAGCTTTCTTTGTAGGCGGAAGGTCATGGCTTCGGACCGTGGCAGTAAGTGCGTACTTCTGATGAGCCCCAAACTAGGACGAAACAGTCGTCTGGTACTCCTTAGTTTTCTAACTGGTGTCATCCCTTGATCAAACCTGTAATCAGTCAAATCCCTGCAAACCAACAACTGGAGATCCCATAATTGGATGAAACGGTCTTCCAGTGGTTTTCGCTCTTACCTATTTATTCTGATTGATATCAAACTGTGGCAATAAAGGTGACTTCAAAATCGGTGTTTTTTCCGCATACACCTTTAAATCGTGAGTCGTAATGGTCTACGAGCTCGCGCCTTTGTAACTGGGAGGTGCTGGGTTCATACCCCGGTGGGTGCGTACTGATGGAGGAGTCCTAGACTAGGGCGTAACAGCTGTCCAGTACTCCTTGCTGGTTCTCAATGGTTCTTCAACTGATGTCAGCTCGTGATGAAATTCTGAAACTAACCAAATCCCTGCAAACCAACAACTGAAGTCCAAAATAAACAAAATGTTTGTCAACAGTCGATTGAGTGAGTAATGTTTAGTTGAGAGTAAGCGTTGGTTTAGGAGCGGTTCCGAACCCGACTCTATCTGTCAAAGTTTGAGGACTGATTGACTGACTGATTAGTTTCAACGTAGAACTTTGCACTGATGTGCAGCAGTTCGAGTTACCACTCTCCCTTTATTTAGCACACAAAACAAGAGAAGGAAGTAAAAAGAAATGCAAAATAGAGACAGTAAACAGAGATATGAGGCAAAAGGAATAGTAATATCGAAGAACCATATAGTTTCATTGGGTATTATAAGTCACAAGGAGTGGATGCATCTGCAACAGTCATCACCGAGAACGATTTTGAGCCCTATCACCGATTGTCTCCAGGCATTGGTTTACCGTTTCGAGGACCCCAACCAGGAAGTCTACACCTTCCTACTTGACTGGCTTAAACTAACTGTTGTGGATTTGATTGACTGATGAGGCCATGTTTTGGTTTGACCACCACTGGCTAGCTCTTTTCCAACCTAATCAACCCTATGTCAGCTAACATAGCTCGTCGAGGAAGGCGATGATGATGCATGTATACCACTTTGCATTCTTACCATCTGAACTACGACAATAAGATATAATCATAGAGAGCAAAGGAGCTGGAGAGATGACGGCAGAACACCCAATACAGCAACATTTGCCAGGCGACAAATGCACAAAAAGCAAACAATTTTTTGAAACAAATAAGTACATATTAAACTTCCCATAATAAACACCCGAAGTCAACCGACATATGGAGGGGGAAAATGAAATGTCATGGACCGAAAATGATAGCAGAAAGTGAACCAAAACAGACACTATCATTGGCTGTAAAATGTGCTACTACAATCGAATCACGACTATGTCCTCGAAGGTTAAACGCTATCTACACTACTAAATTTTAACCTAAACACCTAGACTACCCTTGGACTAATATTTATTTACTTTATGTGCGTGATCCAATCTACTAGCCCCTTAAGTTTGACATGTTTCAATCTTAACTGAACGATTCATCCTTGATATCTAAGGATCGTATTTGGTTCCCTTAGTCCAAAGACTAGATGTTACGAGACATCTACAGTCATTACATATATCTAGTGCATATATATACACTGTACTCCTTTAAATTCTGACTTTATCACTAATCATGAAGTTTAGTCACCAAAGATAAACTCAAAACGTTGGCAATTGCCAAGTGTTAACTCCTGCTAACAGACATGTATTCACATCAACTGACTCACCTGAACCATTTGGCCCAATAATCGCAGTAAACACACTGAAAGGACCAATAACTTGCTTCCCTTTATACGATTTATAGTTCTCCAACTCAATAAACTTTAGCCTCCCACAATTTTCATCCATTATTCGAATCAAACACTCATTATATGAAGGACACCTTCAATCTTCAATGCAGAACACTATAACGTTGAGCAACAATCTGATGCATATTGCTTCCATAATACATATAGGTGCCCTTCATAGGGAAAAATTGTTAGGTTTGCATATAATAATAAGTTAGACCTAAGACGCTCAATAAGTAAGAACGAACACTGACTCTATGTTTCAGGTACCCGAAGTATCAATCAACTTCCACAGTGTGGGCAGCCGGGAAGTAACAACCGCTCGCGCACTTCCAAGAGCACACGTAGCCTTTCCGAGTAAATTTTTAGGTGGCAGTTACTACATGGTTGTTGAGTAACATTTCCCCTTGTAGATATCTGAGGGTGAAACAAATCCGTATAGTGAACAATAATAAAGGGAGATATGTGATAATTATGAACACATAAGGTGCCTTCATTGTAAGCAATTTCTGTATGCAGATTTGCTAAATTCGCCTGGGTGTGCCTACCTTCCTTCGTAGCAGAGCTAGTTCAGTGGATTTCGAGCCTTGCTACTGTTATGGCCGTAGAATTTCTCAAAATTAGTAGTTTGATTCTATAATAACCACCGTTTCGTTCATTTTGGTGATTTAGGTACTTTACATATGTTTAGCGTTTCTAATATGGGCGACTTCTATTTTTTTATTCCTTTACATTCCTATTGGAACAGAGAGCTTCAAGCTAGGTCTTTGAAGTTTCGATAGCAGTGGTATTTGTTTTTACGCGATGGGGTTGCTAGCCTCATCCCGAACCTTCCCCCTACACTAGTTTTATTACTGGCTTAGCCAAGTAGAAGAGTGCGTCTATTGGCCGAGGATCGGACCCCGGACCACATATGCGTGATTGGCGAGAATTCCACCGCTGTGCCACCGGTGCACGAGCGACTTTTGTATCGATTGGGCCCCAGTAGCTTAATGGTCTACTAGCTCGCATTGTAACCAGAAGGTTTTGGGTTAGAACCGTGGCGGTGGGTGCGCACTGATGAAGATTCCCTAACTAGGACGAAATAGCTGTCCAGTACTCCCAGGTTTTCCAACTGTCCAATGTCAGCTCATGATGAAGTCCTGTAACCAATCAAATCCCTACAAACCAACTTTTCCATATTGTTTAAGTAATCCCTTTTGTTCATCATATCGACTCCAGACTCCTTATCAGGTCTCATACTAACAATATCCTCGTTACCCTGCAGATAATTAGGCAGTTTTCTGTGTTCCTCGGAGAGAGAAAGAGGATACTGCAAGTCTTGTTCTCCTAGCTTTCAAGAAGCTTGGAATACATATATCGGTTCTAAAATCCAACTGTTTACACATGAGTGATCTATAGCTCCGACTGTGTAACGTAATTAGAATGCATTAGTTTAGATTTGATTATATCATATCTGTTATCACTATTATTATTATTATTTTCAAGCATGGTCGATTATTGGAAATGTGTCAACCGTCGCATCGTCGTTATCAAGTTGCAATTACTAAAGTACTCGGCAAGTATATGGATGCTATAGTTTGTGATAGTGAGAAGACAGCTAAAGAATGTATTCAATACATGAAAGATCAACGTATTGAACCGGAGACATTTTTACCACTTGACTTTTTAGACGTGAAACCAATTGATGAGAAATTACGGTAAGAAAAGTCTGCTTAATCATTACTTTATGATTATTATCATTGTTATATTTATTATTGTTCCTTTCGGTTCCGAGTGGATCATATGGCTTCAACAGGACGTTTACCTTTTGTCTTATCCTATGCAGTCCTCTTTAGTTGATCCCACGATTACCTATAGTCTCTGATCTCCTCACACGACCTCTTCTATGTCACCTTCGGACACACGCCCCACTCGTCATTCCTCATTGGGGTTCCACTCGACTGATGGGCTGCATTGTGCGCTAAGTCATTCGACGGTTTCCTCAGTGGCGTATGCCCAATCAATCTCAATGTTCTTCCGTTTATTTGTTGAGCAATAGGTTCTTGGTTGTTTTTTTTCCCAGCTAGAGTTTATTGTTGATAATTCTTTCTCACTGGCCGGCTATTTGATCTTCACTGTAGAGCCAGCGGAGGCAGCTGTTGATAAAAGTGTTCAGTGGCCTGTTAGAAATGCTTTGCGTGATGTGTAGGGAAGAAGTAATGAAGGTTTGTCTTGCCCTGTCGATTCTGAATTTGACATCTTCATCTGTGCCATCTGTCTGTAGTATAGATAAGTGAAAGAGGTGACCTTTTTCCAATTTCTTCCACCAACATTTCAACTATATGTTTGAATTGTCTATTTCTTTTCATTTCTTTGAGTTCCCAGTGGGGACCTATTGCTTCAAACGGCATGGCGTTGTTAACCTAACATCGAATTCTTCCTGTTTACTGCGTTTACTATCGGACTTAGTAAACTAGGTGTGGTTTAAGAGTGCGTTGATCGTCCTAGAATCTAGCTATGGACTACGTATGGGGAATTGGAAAGCATTCTAGTATTGAACCATCTAGCATCTTATGTACCCTCTAATCTTTGATTAATTCCTTATCAGTTTAATATTATGAATTTCTAAGTCCAAAAAAGTTATAACGTTATGTAGAATAAAGACGTAGAGAAGAGGGAGTAAAAGTTTTCGAAACCTTTGAAAAATGAAGTCGAAATTCCGATAATGAATAACTCCACGCATGGGCGACTAAACAACCTCCATCAATATATATTCCATATTATTTCTCTTATTCAATTTGTCTAAATCTAGTGCAATATGACCTTTAATAGTATGATAATTGCTTACTCTGGCGAGTATTTAAAGCATTCACAACTTGCTGATTTACAAGTTTCTACTAAACATGAGGAAAAGGACTTTCCTTTATGTGGATTGGGAGCTTATGAGATGAGCGTTCCTAAGTGGGTGTGTCCTCGGTTCACGAAATGTACTCCTCAACATTTTATAATTGGCTCTCAACAAAATATCGTCGTGTATTTCTTGAATGAGGGAGATAAAGAAGAGATACCACATAATGGATTAGTTTGGCGCTTCAGGTCTGTCTGTCTGTCTGGATTCAACATAGAACTTGGCACCGAAGTGCAGCAGTTCGAGTTGCCACGTTCCAAATACCACACAAAGGTAGACAAGAAAATGAGTGAAGAGAATCAATAGAGTTTTGACAAGTATAAGAGTGAAACAGAATGAGTAATGGTAGAAAGGAATATGCAAGATTACAGAGACTGAATACATCTGCGTAAGCCATTGACAACGATTTTGAGCCATCTCACCTATTGTCTCCAGCCATTGATTCCTAGAGTCCCGAGGGTCCCAACCCGGAAGTTTGCATCTCCCTACCTTACTCAGTTTGGATTGATACCATGTTTTTGTTTGACCACCACTTACTCTTTTCCAACCTGCACCTATATCAGCTGGTAATGCCCGTCGGGGAGGGGGCGATGGTTAGGCATGCTCAACACGTGACCTAGCCATCTCAATCTATGTAAGTTTATAGCCTCTTCGATTGATTTTCCCTCTTTGCCCAACACTACGCCTAACGTCAACATTACTTACCTCATTATACCACCTAACGTGAGAAAGAGATCGTAGACATCTATGATCAAACACAGACAACCTTTTCATGTCTTCAACTCATATTGGTCATGTGTCAGAGCCATAGAGAAGGACGGAGCGAACTGATGAGCAGTACACACACGTCCCTTGGTTGATAGTCGGATGTCATGCCTACGCCAGAGACGGTGTAAGTTAGCGAAAGCAGCTCGAGCTTTTCGGATCCCTGCTGAGATTTCGTCGCCAATCAATCTGTTGGTGCTGATACAACTTCCCAAATAGATGAAGTGGTCAACATGTTCTATCACTTCACTCCCTATCACTAAGCTAGGAGTTGACGTATTCTAGTCCAATGGCAGCATTTTACATTTTACAGGGGCCCTTCAGGTCAGATAGAACGAACTGTGTCACACTATGTACTGACAGTCATATCTTTTATTTCAACATCCTGGACGAAGAACTCCACTGGAAATTCTGGACATTATATAAACATTGTTCAAAATAAAGCTTTTATTATTATTATTTGACAATAGTACTTACCTTTATGCTGTTATATGTATATATATTTTTTTAATTTAATAGTGAAATTAGTGACCCACCAAATGTTCACTTAGTTATTGATGTCATTCAATGTGATCCAATTATTGTTAAAAAGGCGTTAACATTTGCCTGTGGTAATGCTCTGGTCTGTGAAACTGTTGACCATGCACGTCATGTGGCTTATCAAATGGGGGATAGAAAAAAGGTAAGCAATGTATATATTATGTGAAATGAAATGAGATGAAGTAAAACTGATACTTACGCTACTATGGCTTTTGTTTTCTTGTTTAACATACCAATACTCGTAGATGTAGTTGATTGACTGGTTTCAACACAGAACTTTGCACTGATGTGCAGCAGTTCGAGTTGCCACACTCCATGTATCACACAAAGCAAGAGAAGAAAGTAAAAGAAATGCGTAAAAGAGACAGTAAACAAGGATATGAGACAAAGGAACAGTTATAACGAAGAACAATATAGTTTTATTGGATATTACAAGTCACAAGGAGTGGATGCGTGTACGCCAGCCATTGAGAACGACGTCTTTGAGCCAGCCATATCATCAATTATCTCCAGTCTTCATTGGTTTTTACTATCCCGAGGATCCCACCCAGACTAGAGGTCATTTTACACCTCCCAACGTGACTGGCTTAAACTAACTTATGGATTTGATTGGCTGATGAAGCCATGTTTTGGTTTGACCATCAGTGGCTAACTCTTTATAACTCTTATATCAATAATATGTGCAGCTCTTAGACTACTGGACTGCTACACAAGAAATCTGTCCTGGTTAACTGAGTAGAGATACTATGGAGATGTTTGGCTGTGAAGGGAATGCCGAGGAAATATATCGCTCTGATGAAGGCACTTACTCTACTCGAATTCATGCAGCCAGCCAGGTAAGGGCCTATGGAGAGTTGTCATCTGAAGTGGTAACAACCAGTGGTCAACATTAGGGATGCCTATTGTCGTCATTCTTGTTTAATTTGATCATAGATGTATTAATTAACTTAACCCTAACTGACTTCGGCAACTCAAGGATTGACTTTTTTCCACTAGGGTATAATCTCGTTGACTTCGAATAAGCAGATGATATAGTCCTTCTAGGTGGTGAAGACGCCGACTGATAAAATGCAGAGTCTTGTGAACACCTTGAGCTGTGCTGCCATCTTCAAATGTTTGGCATGCGACTCACTTGCGCCAAATTTGTAGAATGATGCTACAGGACTGGACTACATTGACTGATACCTAGCTTAAACATGAGCAGGAGTGAAGTGGTTGATGAGGCATGTTGACCACTTCACTTATCTGAAAAATGCATCAGCCCAAAGCACTGGTCGCTGATGAAATCTCAGCATGGTTGCAGAAGGCTCGTTTGGCATTTGTCAGCCAACTTACGCCATCCGCGGCTTAGTAGACGTGATATCCAACTGGGCATGTGTACTGCGCAGCACTTCGCTACGTCCTCGCTCTTTATGGTTGTGAGTGAGACATGGTCATTGAAAGTGGGAGACATGAAAGGCCTGACTAGCTGTCTTTGATCATAGATGTCTGCTTACTATCTCCCATGTTAGGTAGTATAATATGGTGAACATTACTATTCTTTTTCCCTCACTCACACTTTTGTTTGTTATCTCTCTCTATTCTGTTCCCTTGTGTTGTATGTGGTACATGAGGGGAGTGTGGCAGCTCGAACTACTGCACTTGTGTGCAAAGTTCTACGTTGAAACCAGTCAGTCAGTCAGGTTAACTGAGTTCTGATAATATGGAAGAAGAAAAAAAATCAGAATGCGTCGACTAGATGACATTATCGAACATGTGTGATATGACTTTTCTTAACAACGATGATGGAGGCGATTCAATACACCTTCGTGTACCAACTGTTATTTTTTATTCAAAGAAGTAATTAGTATTTATGGGAATGTTGTTGTTTTTTTTCGCCCCACTGAAATTGTATTTTTATTTCGCCTTTATGTAGACTGTATCACTGGAAGGTACACTGTTTCAACGATCTGGGGTAATATCTGGTGGTGCTAGGTAAGTATCTCAGCTCTTCTATATTTTCTAGCTCTGCTATCAATTATTAAATGAGTATCGCTTATCCCCTCCTCCCTTATTAAATAAGATTAATTTGTTTGTAGGTGACAAAGTGCAGGTGTGTAACGTTGTTTCCAATAGTAATAATGAAGTGTATTACTCTTTGGATTAAGCGGCTACTATATTCTTATTCATTGAGTTGGGGCTACCTAGCATACCAGGTGCTCTGATGGTGTTCTCGTGACGTTTGTTTCAAGGGTGATGGGGTACCATGCGACTTTATGATTGTATCCCAAGTACAAAGACGGTTGTAAGCCATATAATAAGGATAAAATCTTTATTCCGAACAGTATTTATAAAATGTACAGAATTTTCAGAGGAGTTTATTGCATGATATTTCTTCCCTTCGTACAATATCTTCAAGTAGAATATTAATTGACAATAGTATATCCTGTGACACGATGGTCTCTGAACAGCTGAAGAACAAATCATTCCATTATGATGATATATCTGCTTTGTATCCTTCTTTCAAGAAATCCACGATATCTAGTTGAAAGCCAACCTTGTAAGATGTTCAGAAGTACTTTTGATTGGGCACTAGTTAGTAACTAGTGTAATGTGTGCAAAACTGAATTGTACCAGTCACGTTGGCATGAGTTCCTTCAAGGTTGCAGATATGTCTTGCTGATAAGTGCCAACTAGTCCGAAATCTACATCCCAGGCTTCTTGCCGATTGCCTCCAACCATCTAATATCAACTGTTCAGAAGTACATTTTGAGACCCAAGAACGTAACTGAAGAACAGCTATCTCATATTGTATTGGAACACGTCGCCATTCCTCAAGTTCAGTAGGAACTTGCAAACCAGAAGCTTGTAAACACTTTAAATACACACCAGAGTAGATAATGCCATTAGAGGTCATATCTCAATCGATTAAAACAAAACGGAACGAGGGAAAATATATGCAATAGAGAGATGGAAGTTTTTGGTAGCCCAAGTTTTAAGCAGGCTGTCGTATATGTATGCTTGCCCGCCGTCGTGATAATGCCTAGAGTAGAGATGTTGGCTGTAGCTGACGAATATCTGACCGAGTGAGTACACGGCATCTTTAAGCAAGCTGACGTCGACGTATTATCAGCGTACGTTTATATCGTTAACGTCAAAACCACTGAGACAATGATATTGTCAGAAATGATGTTTTCCAGAACATAAAACATCCACATAACAAGGACTTGCATCGGTGACACAGCGGTACGAATGCTCACCAACCACGTATGTGGTTCGGGGTTCGATCCTCGGCCACCGACGCACTCCTTTACCCCGCTTAGCCAGTAATAAGACTGGTAAAGAGGGAAGGTTGGTCGGACATGAGGCTAGCAACCCCATCTTGTAAAAATGAATACCACAGCTCCCGAAACTTGAAGCCTCTAGCTCAAAGCCACCCTATGCCCCACTGGGAACGTAAAGAAATAAAAAATGTACATAACAAGGGTATTCATGATCTATGAACAACGTAATATTCAAAAATGGAGACAAATACAAACTGGTAGTCATGGAGTGAAAAAAAATACGCACAAGTGATGGATTTAAACAAAAATATTCCCCGATTTTACTTTTGAATATTTTAACGTTTTCTTTATTATTATTATTACTATTTTTAAAAATCTCAAGTGATTTAAAAGCTCGTGCACGTCGTTGGGATGAAAAACAGATCAGCACATTAATGTCAAAACGTGATGCTTTACAAAATGAATTAAAAGAACAGCTGAAACGTAAAAGAAAAGAAGCTGAATTGAGAACTATTCAATCACAAATCAAAGGTCTTGACACTCGATTGAAGTATACACTAAAAGATAAGGATAGTACAGTAAGTAGTAAGCCAATAGTGTATGAATAGTGTTCTAGCTTTGTCTGCTTTTACATAATTCCTTTTCAGTCTTTGTTTCATTATATCGGCGGCTAACTGACTGGCCTGAACTCTGTACACACATGTGCAGGAGTTCCACTTGCTACACTCCCTTCGTGTGCCACACAAAGCAGGAGAAGAGGGTAAACAGAGATTCAGAAGAAAGAGAGATCACAAGGGAAAAAGAATATTAATTTTATGGAAGAACAATAGAGTTTTGTTGGATATGACTAATCACAAAGAGTGAATGCATCCGCGCCATCATTGAGAACGAGGATTTTGAGCCAGCCATATCATCAATAATCTCCAGCTTATCGATGGAGACCCTAACCCAACCAGGAAGGAAGTCTACACCTTCCTACGTGGCTGGCTGAAACTAAGTGTTATGGATTTGATTGATTAATGAAGTCAGGTTTTGGTTTGACCACCACTAGCTAACTCTTTTCCAACCTGATGAACCCTATGTCAGCTGACACTACCCATCGAGGAAGGCGATGGATGCCTAGGCAGGGATTGCTTAACACATATCTTGACCATCTCAATAGATTCGACTGCTTCACAACCTCAATGATTGATTTTCCCTCCTTTGCTACCACTTGACCTATGTCTAACCTCAGTATTACTCACCCTATTATACCTATCACATAACATGGGAGATAGAAAGCAGACACCTATGATCAAAGACAACTAGTCGGCCTTTTCATGTATTCTGTTTTGTACAGACTTTGCTGTATGCAGAAGGTGTAGAAATTGTTCCTGAACCATCACTTATAAATCCATGCTGACTGACTGAGTGTGGGTGTTGATCATCAGGAAAGCTTTATTGTGGGTGGTTATTGCTTCTTATCCGCCTACATCTGAAACAGGAGGGGCATTAGTGTTGTATGACTGCAGAGCTAAGAGAACAACTGCTTGAGGCCGGCCACATACTATGGCCTGTTTGAAGTGGTTTTCTTGGAGTTGTATCCGTATGGGGAGGTCTAACCGTCGGTTACGAACTACTACAGGCTAAGTAAGGGTGTACACTTTTCCGGTTCGACCTTTTCTTTACCCTCTACCCAGGTTGGAGAGGTGGCGTTGCTAGCCAATCCAGTCATCCGAGGGACACTCCTTGCGGCTTTTTCATCCCCCTATTCCCCAGCAGTAGGACTTCACTCACAGACCCCCCAATGTAATGTGAATGACTTAAACTTTAAGTTTAACCGCCATACAAACGACGTATCGGCATGGCAGGACCTACAGAAACGCTCATTGCAACAAATATAGGCTATCGCAATATGTAACCTCGACCATCATGTCAAAGAAGTAGTTATCGATCGGGTCAAATCCACCTATTTGTTGTTGAAGGGTTAATAATACTACCTTTTCACCCAAATCCTCGGTAGATGAAGTGAGTGCCGAGTTAACCTATTGGTTAGTGTAGTCGAGCACCTAGACCGCAGCTCCCTATCATGCGTGCGGTTTAGCTGGACTGACTCACATCAGGACAAAACCACTGTCTACCAATCGTTTATACAATAGCGACGAGTATCTTCACATGCAGAATGTCTGAGTAACTAAGTACCCTCGTTGATTATTATTACTTCACTATGCATTTTTGCACCATATCTGCCGTTTTTTGTTGATATATTTATCAATTTCATGTTGTTGCTGTGACCCTCAATCTTTATGTGTACCTTCTGATAACTAGCGTTTTTGTACAAGGTTCTGTAGTGGGTAGTTGTCTATCTATCATTTGTCAGTTATGGAACTAGGAACTGTGCGTCGGTGGCACAGTTGTTATGACTCTCGCCGACCATGCACATGGTCCGGTGTTCGATCCCCTGCCGACGCACACCTGATATCAATGGTTGGCCCGCAAAATTTGGGCTACCGATATCACATGCTGAAAATTCCACACTTGTACCAAAAATACAGTGTGGAATCAAGCTGTGATAAAAAAATAGTTCAGTGAAGAGCCTCCTTTTGACGGCCGGTTCATTCACTTAGCTTGTACGGTCGCAATTGTATGCAATTATTTCTGTACATATGTGTGTACGTACGTTAGATATTTGTCAAAGGAGAATAAAAGTTTCTCTGAATCATTGCTTAGGTCATCAAAATATTTCAAAATATATGATGAATGATCAAAATTGTAGCTAGGTGACAGGGGTTGAAAATTAGTAGGTCTTAACTGGGGTTTCGCAATTTGAAAACGTTAAAAAAAAATTGGATGCTAGTGAAAGACCATGGAGACAAGTACCACCCATCCAAATCACTAAGACCTCGACAATGCATAGTATACGAAAGCCTACCGTTTTCGGGAGGCTTCTTTTAACTTTGTAGATAACTTTGAATGAATTCTGCCTGCATATTGACTGACCGATGTTGCTTATATGTTCAATTGTAGTACTCCTTTATTGATCCACTGTTAGCTTTTCGTAACCAAGCAGTATAATCCTCCCCTGACTCTTCTAGATATAACACTCATGGAACGACCTGTATATCTCACTGCACAGAAGCAAGTGAGTTGGTAGATACACATAGAAGTGGTCAAACACGATAGTTTATCTCTCTCCCTATATAATTGCGATTGTAATCCATGAAATCCTTGACAGTCAAACTGAGTCTGGTAGGGAGATACAGACTTCCGGGTTGGGACCCTCGGGACTCTAAGAATCAATCAATGGCTGGAGACAATAGGCGATATGGCTCAAAATCGTTGTCAATGGCTTACGCAGATGTATTCAGTCTCTGTAATCTTTCATATTCCTTTCTACCATTACTCATTCTGTTTCACTCTTATACTTGTCAAAACTTTATTGATTCTCTTCACTCATTTTCTTGTCTACCTTTGTGTGGTATTTGGAACGTGGCAACTCGAACTGCTGCACTTCGGTGGCAAGTTCTATGTTGAATTCAGACAGACAGAAAGAATTGTGATTGTACAGTTGAGTGAATGGATTCACCACCGAAAGGAGACGACCTTTTGCTGAATTATTTTTCCTTATTTCCGCCTATTATGAATGGGTATTTTTCGTGAATCATGATGCAACTGTTTGTAATCATCAACACAGTACCAACTAACTTTTTTTTCCTTTAATTTTTAGGAAGAAAAACTTCTTAGCACAAATGAAGAAGAGATGAATCAAATTGCTCGTGAATTAGAAGAAGTTGACGTAAGTGAAACACACCTTTATACTTTACTTGTTCTTCTCTCATGATGTCCTTAAATTGTTGCTTATCGTTGAGAAATATTCCTTCGGTTCATTGGAACATTGGGTTGGGTCGGGTCGGGTCCCAGTGGTTGAATGGTCTACGACACCGCGTCGCAACCGAAAGGTCCTGGGTTTGAACCCTGTTGGTGGTGGTTGTGTACTGTTGAAGAGTCCCAAACTAGGCTGAGGAAACAGCTATCCAGTACTCCAGTCCAGGTTTTCCTAACTGATGCCAGCTCGTGATCACTCTGGCACTTTTAGTGATTCTGTAACAACAGTAGAAGGCAAGACACGAAACCAAGGTATATTTTAAGGGATCACACAACTGTTTATATACATACAGTTTTATATTCTTCAACCAGTTACTGAGCGTGTGATTTCGGTTTACATCAAACGACATGAAATGGAATGTTCAACTCTACATAGTATTCTGTTGCTAACACAGTATTGGACTTTGGGAATGATATTCTGACTCTAGCAACAAACACAATGCTCAAAGAGATATATCGTATTCTGTTGTTAATACCGAATTGAACTGTGGTGGGAATATGTGAGAATACTATTCCTTTGGCGCACACATTGTCTGTATCACACCACCACAATTCCACTGGTTGCAATTCCGATATTTTCTCAATCTGACTGGTATCCATAGTTGTCAGTATATATGTATTCATATTCATATGCAGGAGAATACCTGTCGCACCTTTTGACATATGGTATATGTTCCTTAGAATTGGAGTTGATAAGGATGGCCACTTTGACTAGTAGTGTGTATGTGTGTGTAGTGCTTATCACAGTTCATGCAGTTTATTTTCTAGATGATGTCGACATGTGAAGTTCAGCAGTAACTGACTCCAATCTTCTTTTTTTCCACAATTAAACTTAATGAATACATTTCAAGAGTTGATTTGTAAGGATTAGGTTTATTTTTTGAGTTTGACCACGAATTGGTATATGATGCTCGCTAGTGACTGGCTACAGGAAGGAATTTCCTGGAGTTCTAGTGAAAAGTCGTGACCAGTGAGTTCCATCCAGTCAAGTGTGTGAGGATGGTTGTCCAGCCGATCACATTAGTTGGTGATCGCGCTAAATCACGAATTGGCAGACGTTAGAATTCATAGGCTGACCATTGAATAGGGTCCCAGTGGCTGAATGGTATACGAGCTTGCCTTGTAACTAGAAGGCCGTGAGTTGGAACGCTAGTGGTGAGTGCGTACTGCCGATGATTCCTAAACTAGTGGGAGGAAACAGCTGTCTGGCAGTATTCCCTGCTGTTTTTTAGTGGTTCTCTATTATTATTACTGTTCCCTTGGGTTCCTAGTGGAACATAGGGCTTCAACTGCACGTCTCCACTTGCTTCTGACTTCTGTTGTACTTTTCACCTGCATCCATGTTAGTCCATACTGTTTAAACTCCCCTTCACACGATCTCCTCCATGTCACCCTTGGACGTCCCACTCGCCGCTTCCCTTTCGGGTTCCACTCGAGCGATGGCCTGATGCGCGATGTTACCCAGCGGCCTCCTCAGCGAGTGTCCAATCCATCTTCACTTTCTCTTGCATATTTGTTGAGCGATTGGTTCTTGTTTTGTTCGTTCCCATAGTTTCTTGTTGGTGATTCTTTCCGGCCATCTGATCTTTAGTATACAGCGAAGACAGTTGTTGATAAAGGTCAGCAACAGGCTGTTGGAAATATTCTTTGTGACTCGCCAAGTTTCTGATCCGTATAGCAAAACTAACTTGACGTTTGTGTTGAAGATCCGAATTTTGTTGTTGATTTTGAGTGACGAAGATTTACAGATCTAATATCAATCCGTGGCCAAACTCAATAAATGAATATTATTCAGAATTCATCGCATCTTTATTTACTTATTCGTTTATTTGTATAGGAAAATTTAGGTCGTTGTCAGACCAAAATGCAAGAATTACAAATATCAGTGAATGCAGAAAAGGCAAAAATGGATACTGTGGAGGATACTGTATTTCATGATTTCTGTGTACAAATTGGTGTTGAAAATATCAGGTCAGTGGAATGAAATGTGTATTTTGTTTCTAGCTATTAAATACGAGAGGGTTGATGAACGTACATTATATTATTATTATTACTCCCTTTGCACTCTGAATAGAAGAACACAGGGCTTCAACATCTGTTTTCTTCAATCCTCTTTAACTGGCTCCAATTATTGTCTATGAGCCAGCATCTCCACTTAAAACAATCTTCCAAACATTTCGGATACCCAACTTATCGTTTCCTATCTAAGTCCCACTTGAAGTCCTCGGTCGTTATATCACTCGTGCGTCCAATCCGTCTGCATTTCTTTTGGCATAGTAGTTGCACGATAAGTTCTTGATTGATGCCCTACACCACCAGATTTCCTTATTGTCGTCTGATCTTCAGTATTGAGTGCAGCTACCTGTTAATAAGAATCTGCAGGTTGTTGGAAATGGTTTCGGTGATATACGTGCGTCAACTTCCTGAGCAATAATGTAGAAGCACACTGACTGACTTGACATGATTGTTGAAGGTCTGGATTTTGTTTCTTATGCTGAATGCAGCAGATTTCCACATTGATTTCAGAGTTTTGAAAGTGTAGCTCTGACATCCCCACTCCTGCTGCCCGTATTTTGGACGATACTGTCTAGATTATAAAAGAAGGTAACCTCCAGAAAATCCTCCAGTTGGTAGTGATTGATGTTTGTCGTTGTTGTATTTTCTCTTCTGCTAGCCTGCTTGTTTTTGCCTGTAAGTCTTTGAGTTTCTCTGACATTATAAATAAATCATCCTTGAATTCGAGATCCTACAGGGTGAAAATTCAGCTAACTAGTGGATCCTGAGTTTCGATTCCTTTCCAACTACTTCGGTATTATGGGAAACTGGCTAATGTCATTAGAGTTTTCCCACATTAAGTGTAACTCGTAGGCTCGCAGACGAGAAAAGCTGCTCCAAGCTACTAATCAGCTCTCGTAATAATTCACGAAAAGTCAATAATTTAAATCTTAGATCAATGAAAAAGATTGAGAAGTTGAATAGATTATGATATGCCAGCAAGGTGTTAAATATGTGAGTATTGATTTCAATCCTTATGACTAATATTGGGTATTTTTTTAGGAGATAGTGAAAATCTGTGACTGAACACTGTGACAATTTAAGATTTCGAATGAGAAGGATGCAATTAAATACTGAGTAGAAATATCTTTTGACTGCTTAACTATCTATATGCATTTACCACTTGTATTTTTAATTCAATTTTGTTTTATCCATTGATTGTTTGAAGCGAATTATTCAGTCTTTGTTGGTTGACATATTGACTGCTTGTGCGGTGTTGCTACGACGATGTCTGCGGATTTAAGCTGAAGTCATTTAGTGGATGGTGACTAGCTGTGGAATTCACTAGAATGGTCATTTAGTCCTATTTTGAACTGGTCAACTAGCTGGATGTAACTGGATTCCCCAGTGAGTGAGTGAGTGATGGTGTTTGCCCCTACTGATGCTCGAACCCGGTACGCATCATTTCAAACGTCTAGGCGTTATCCACTAGACGTGAAAATCAAAACTGAATCTATGAAATGACTGGTAATTGGGTGCGTGCGGTGGTAGAGGGAACACCATCAGTCACTGCGGAATGCAGGTTGTACATCTAGCTGACGAGTCCCAAATGGGTTGGAATGCGCATCCTGGATTATGCTGCTAGTTACCATCCACCAAAAGTACTAAATGCATTTACGTATAACTAACTCAGAGCTGGTGGTATTTTCTGGCTGCATGAACAACCACGTTTTATGTAGAAGCAGTGAAATTCGAGTGTCTGAACCAACTGACCATAGGTCCAACTAAGTACAGAATGTGTAGAATAATTGTAAATTTCATATTATTCTCCATTTTGAGGGTTTAAAGCATTAAGTATAATCTACAGAAACTTTATCAATCGTATAAAGTGCCGGTGAGAAAACTAAAAATGTATACTACTCACTAATATTGAGTAATTAAGTACTAATCCGCACCACAATTATCCCTACTATTTTAACCATTCAGTGCCATTCACTATGATGTCCAAGATCTGTTAGTATTATTATTATTATTCATTGTTTTCGTTCGAGTGAAACATATCGTCTCAGAGAAAAATCGTTCTACTGTGTCTACTTCTATGGCACCATTTTCATTTGGCTCCATGACTTTCCACAACACTTCTTTCACTTCCTTATCATAAGGCTTTCTCCATCTAATGATCCTCGATCACCTGACTCTGACAGAGAACCATCCAAGAACCTATTCCTTAGAGCGATATGCAAATAGATTGGAAATACACTGATTGAAACCGTCGGGTAAAGTCGTCATGCGCAAAGCGGTCGAGTAAAACCCAGATGGGAAACGAAACAACGAGTTGGGCTTGCATCCGAGCCGAGAGTGATATAGAGGAGATCGTGTAGGGAGGTAATGAAATCTTACGGACATTCGTAAAGCTGACTAAAAAGACAGTTCGAAGGGGAGATATGGTGCTAAAGTCCTATGTTCGACTCAGAACCTCAGCGGATTCATTATATATATGTATATCATTGCTTTCCTAGATTTGATTTGATGACTTTCAGTGTATGTGTGTGTGTGTGCCATGTTTCACTCATCTCATCCAGTGAATTTACGTGTAACACTTGCTCTTTTGATTCACCTCGCATAGAATATATAAATCTACAGATGGTTGTTCAATGGTAGAATGATCGGTAGCCAGTCGAAAGGGGTGGGTTTGACTGCTGGGTGACGCGCTCTTGAAGATCGCCCAGTTTACTAGTCGCTTGTAAGCCAGGAAATAACGGAATGTTGGGCATGAGGCTAGCTGATTATGTAAACTACGTACCTCAATGAATAGTAATATATTATTTTCATTTCTATTATTCCCTTGGGTTCCTAGTGGAACAACAGTACTTCTCCACTTTGTCCTATCCTCTGCAGTCCTCTCCAGCTATGTCCACGATTGACCATAATCTCTCATCTCCTCACCACACGATCTCCTTCATGTCACCGTCGCACTGACGACCCACTCGTTGTTTCCCATTGGGATTCCACTCGACCGATGGCCTCCACTAAGCGCGATGTCACTCGACGGTCTCCTCAGTGGCGTATGGCCGATCTATCTTCATTTTCTTCTGCATATTTGTTGAGCGAGCGGCTCTTGGTTGGTTTGTTCCTAGCCAGATTCTCTTATTACTAATTCTTTCTGGCCATTCGATATTCAGTATAGAGCCAGCCAGCAAAGGCGACCGATGATAAAAGCCTGTAACTTGTTGGAGATGCTTTTCATGACGCTGGCACTAAGTTTGTGACCTATATAAAAGAACTTACTGACTGAATTCACATTTTTGTTGAAAATTCGAATCTTGTTCTGTATGCTGAGTGACAGCAGAAAATTTCCAAACTGGTTTCAGGTTGATGAAGGCGTATCTTGCCTTCCCGATTCAGGTTTGCTTTGACATCTTCATCCGTTCCATCCGCCTGCTTCTTAGATAAGGGAAAGAAGTAACCTCTTTCAAATTTATTCCGTTGTTGGTGATTGGGGCTGTCTGATGTTGGTGTTTCTGTTGGTTGGTTGGTTATCTTTATGGCTTCCGTCTTCTCTATGTTCATCCGGAGCCCTGTCTTCGCTGCCTATCTCTTCTGTCAGTTTTTTGGTTTTCGTCTGCAAGTCTTCGAATTTGTGTGACATCAAACATAAAATCATCCATACGCGAATTTGAGATCTTCTAGAGTCTTCTTGTTGGTCTAGCGTATTCCTGTCTTCTCTCTCTCCACACACAGTCTGACGTATAATCCAGTCCACCACAATATCATCGGTGATATTCTTAACTTCAACTTACAATGAATAATAATAATAATAATAGATTAATATATATTCGGTGCTTTTCTGGTCATTACTGTATATATGTCTATATGTATATACACGTATGCATCTTATTCTTTATAGGCAATATGAAGATCGCGAATTAAGAGTTGCACGTGAACGTGATCGTAAACGACTTGAATTTACAAATCAACTTCAAAGAATTAATAATCAATTAGAATATGAACGATCACGTGATACAGAAGGTTTGTTTCACTGGATGATTTTTATTTGTCATACTTATTGGGTAATTAAATCATGTCTCACTTGATTTGGTTTTCCTCAATCCATTTTATTTATATCATTGTCTTTGGGCTAATAATAGTTTTTGTCGCGCAGTGAGTGATGACTGAAGCTGATATGAAAATTCTGGGTCTCCACAGGGGTGTTGAACCAGCAGCAGCCTTTGAATTACTAGTCTGACATTCCCCCAGCTTAGTGGGATGAATAATAAACAATGAGTAACGTATCATTCATTAACACATCTTGGAAGCATTCTTGGTGATTGCAATGAAGCAGTGACCTGGTTCACGGTTGGATCGCGTAGCTCATATAGTATTATTGTCAGACTAGCAAGTTTGGAGGCCACTCGTTTGAATCTTTTAGCCATGCCATTTCATGCAAAGCCCTCTAGTTTGTGCAATGGCCGAGATACTGCCCGGATGCCGAGACTGATTGAAGCAGGTGGTTGTCTTAAGCTGTTGCCCCAGAGCACTTCACTTCAAGTCTGATCCAAAAGGCAATGGAACAGTGTCAGAAGATACGTTCCCATGATAGCTGATGATGACTGAAACAGGTTCGTACACCATTTAATCCAATCGGATTCTGGAATCCATGTGGAACTTAGGTTTGGAATCATAGTTTTCTGCTTCCTCTGGATAGACCAGCATGTCCATTAGTGGTGTTACAGATATTCGCTTTTGTGAATAACGCTCCCTCCGCTTGAAGATAGTGGATAGGACATCTTTGGCTGAGGTTGTGAACGCATGACGACATCAGAGCATTTCAAGAAGAAGACTGAAGTCTCCTCATCCTCAGGGGTACCAGATCGTTTATGAGATGACCTTTTTATTCTTTCACGTTCCAAGTGGAACTGAGGGCTTCAAGCTAAGAAGGCTTGAAGTTTCTGTAGCAGTGGTGATTATTTTTACAGAATGGGGTTGCTAGCCTCATGTCGAACCTCCCCTCTTTACCAGACATATTACTGGATTAGCGAGCGAGGTAAATGAGTGACTCTGTTGGCCGAGGATCCAACCCCGAACTACGGGAGGCGTGGTTGGCGAGCATTCTACCGTTGTGCCACCGACGCACATTAAACAACAGAAGTACTCTATTGCTTTTGCTAAAATGTGACTACTAATCACAGTCTTTCACCTTGTTTATTTTTAAAAAAATTTTCCTAACAGCTAGTGTTAAACGTTGGGAGGATGCAGTGGCCATGGAAAGAGCTGAAATGGAAAAGTGTAAAAAACAAGAGAAAAAAATCAAAGAAGAAATGGAACAAGAAGAGAGTAAGAAAGCAGAAATTGAATCTCGTGGTGGTGAATTAAAATATCGTGCTGAATTATTAGACGGTGAATTAGGTGAAATTCGTCGTCGACTAGTCACTAAACAACGTGATATACAAAAATTACAAAAGGATTTGAATCAATCTGAAGCGAAGCTAGAAACTCGACGAGCTGAACGACATTCGCTCTTACAAGCTGCTAAAGTAAGTGATTTTTTTGGCTTCTTTTCGTCCTATGAACCTCATCCAGAGGTAGTCTAGATCTCTAAAGACTCAAAGACTTCATAGGTTGATGCCATGCTTTGATTTCACCAGCACGCTTTTCTAGCCTTGTTTGATGGGAAAGACGATAACCGCCTAGCCTACGTAACATATGTGTCTTAGCTTCATCAATTGAAACAGCTCCATAATATGATAGGTTGACTTTCCTAACATCACCTGACGCTGTACGTCGAAACTCAGCTGTACTCACCACTTAATACTGGAGACAGAACGCAGACATCTGTGGGCAAAGACAACGATGATAGCCTTTTCATGTCTTCCAATTTCTATGACCATGGAACATGACCATAAAGGCGGACAGAGTGAGCCTCATTCCAAACCTCCAACGACTGGCGTATGAAGCTCACTGGAGCTCACCGGCAGACGTATGGACAAAGGGCTTGTTGGATGTCCTGGATGTCTGGCCCCATTCAAAAAGGCGTATGAACCAAACTCCGGTCACTGGCTGCCAATGGATAGTGGACTCCCTACTCCACTCCTACTGCCTTATAGGTCACACTTGGTTGTGTAAATGCTAGAGCTGCACTCTCAAACAAAAGGCCGAGCGATTCTGGGGACATCACTCGTACCAAATTCCCATGAAACTTCATGAACTCTTCGTCGTTGCTACAACATCAACCAAATTCCAGTACTGCTCCAGCAACGTCGCCTTCGGTGGTTTGGCCATGTTCTGCGCCGACCAGATGACGATCTGGTCAAATCAGTTCTAAATCCCTCGCCATTACCGTCTTGGCGATGTCGCAGGGGTGGACAGCTGAAAACATGGCTTGGTACAGTCAAGGCTGATATGGAGTGCCTGGGGCTACAAACCGTCTACGGACTCCGTCTGTGGAACAAGAATTGGATAACGCTGTCGCAAAACCTTGCATCAGATCGCCGTGCCTGGGCAGCGATGATTCGAGATGTTCATGAAGCCGGCTCATCCTCCCGTAGGAGATAGCCGAAGTAAAGTAAAGTAAGTAGAGATGGCATAAGTTGGTTGACAAATGCCAAACGAGAGTTTTGTATCCATACTGAGATTTCGTGAGCAATCAGCAGATTGGGGTGGATGCAACTTCGCAGATAAGTCAAGTGGTCAACACCGCCAGCCACCACCACCTCACTCCTGCCTCTCTTTAAACTAGGAATAAGTCAAGGTAGTTCAGTTCTGTGACAACACCCTACATATTTGACAGGAGAGAATCTCACGTCAAACAATCGAAGATTGCTGCACTGCTCAAGGTGTCCAGAAGACTGAATTTTGTTGGCATCTTCACCTAGGAAGAAGGACTATATCATCTGTAGCAAGTCAGTCCCTGAGTCTATGAAGCCAGTTAGGGTTAAGTTCATTAGTACAACATCTACCATGAAACTAATAAGATGGGGGAACGGTGGAAATTGAACGTCGCCTCCATACTACTCACCCTATTATACTGCTTAACACGTGAGATAGAACGCGCAAACATCTGTGTGGCCAACGCCATCTAGCCAGGTTTTTCATGTCTTCCACTTTCAATACCAATGTGTCACAGTCATGAAGAGAAACAGAGAGAATCTCTTTGCAGTACGCATATTGTCTAATCGATAGCTAGCTGGATATCACGTCTACGTCAGAAGTGACGTGATTTTGCAGTTGCCACAATAGACCTGTGTATCCTTGTTGAGATTTCATCGGCTATGAGTTAACACTGGTGCTGATGCAACTTCTCAAATAAGTAAAATGGTCAGCATGCTCAGTCACTTCACTTCCTATTTTTTAACTAGGCGTCGGTGCAATATAGTCTTATATTCGATGGGAGCGATGATTCGCACTGCGAATATTTGAAGATTTCTGCACAATCTGTTCAGAAGTCTCTACACCTTAATCGATTAGACTGTCCCCTGAAAGAAAGTCAATCCCTAAGTTTTCAAAGTCAGTCAGGGTCAATTCCATCAGTAGTATATCTATCTTTAATGAAACCGAACAAAAATAGAGACAGTGAGAATCCCTGAAGGAAATTATTGGTTATAAAAACTCTTCATAAGCTCTTGCACAGCTACGTGATTCTTCCGACTAGGATGCTTTGATTGGTTCGATTTGATTTCCCCAGACAACCTTCCCAGGTCGATAGAGTCAAATTTCGCTTTCAGGTCAAGAAATATGTCAGTTGTTGGACGTTGGTAAGAATGCGGATGCTCCACGATACGTCGAAAGATGAAGATATGATCAATGTACCCTTTTCCCGTCCTAAAGTCTGCCTAGGCTTTCTTAGTGTGTTTCTTCCCGAGCACCACTTAGTCAACTTATGACTATTGAACTTAGAACTTTGGATACCGTATTAGTCAAGCCTAATACCCCTATGATTATCACGGAATGATTGACTGGACTTGTTTCGACGTAGAACATTGCACAGATTGCACCAGTTTGAAGTGCCATACTCCATATGCTGGCTGGCTGGATTCAACATAGGACTTGGCACCGAAGTGCAGCAGTTCGAGTTGCCACGTTCCAAATACCACACAAAGGTAGACAAGAAGATGAGTGAAGAGAATCAATAGAGTTTTGACAAGTATAAGAGTGAAAGAGAATGAGTAATGGTAGAAAGGAATATGAAAGATTACAGAGACTGAATACATCTGCGTAAGTTATTGACAACGATTTTGAACCCTGTCACCTATTGTCTCTAGCCATTGATTCTTAGAGTCCCGAGGGTCCCAACCGGGAAGTCTGCATCTCCCTACCTGACTCAGTTTAACTGTCAGGGATTTCATGGATTGATGAGGCCATGTTTTTGTTTGGCCACCACTTACTCTTTTGGAACCTGCACCTATATCAGCTAGTAATGACCGTCGGGGGAGGTGATGGTTAGGCATGTGCAGCACGTGACCTAGCCATCTCAATCTATGTAACTTTATAGCCTCTTCGATTGATTTTCCCTCTTTGCTCAACACTCTACTCCATACTCTATATAGCATACAAAGATTCGAAAGAATGACAATTAGCAGAAATTTGGTAGAGAAAGAATAGTAAACTTGGAAAAGCAATAGGGTTCTTTTTCGATGTGGGAGTTCACAGAGAGTGAATGAATCTGGGCCACTGAGAACAATTCTTAGACGTATCACCAACTGTTACAGGAGGATTTGTCTCCTTTCTTGTAAACTGGGATAATCGATAATGTATACCAGTCCATCGGAACTATCTTATATTCCCGGACATTACCTAATACCTTAATTAACTCAGATAACACTTTAACTAGTTGATGTTTACTTATGGAATGTATTGTAACGACCAAGTTTATTCCATTATGGTTTGAACGCAAGAAACTAATCTCTACGTTCTACTGGTATAGCCGATAAAGCTTCGTTGAGATACGTGCTATCACGAGGAACTTCCAAACTCAGGGAAAAGACCATTAATCTCCAATATTTTAGCGGTTCTATTAAACAGCAATCATAACATTAAAACTCAAATTTACCTCAACAATACAGGTAATGTAGGTTTTGAAAGCACAAAACAAGTACTGTAAGACAAGATCAGTTAACCAAGATTATTCAACGGTAAAACGTACCTTAGAATCGAGGGGAATATTACTAACGAGGTGGAATCAAAAGTGGAATCTACCCATAAGAATTACACACTAACACTTCCTACAGACAGTCCCGAGTCAGAATGACTTTTATTCACTCTAACAAAGTCAGTTAGTTAAAGAACATGTCGCCAATGTACATACATTCACAAAGACAAATATTACAATTATAGATTAAGCCAGAAAACGTCGGAGACTCAGAGTTAGAGTGCTCGCATACGACAGAGGCGTTTTAGGGTTAAATCCCCCGGCCGACGCACTCCTATACATCACTAAGCCATCTATTATCAACAGGATGGGGTTGCTAGCCTCATGCTCAACCTGCCCTCTATACCAGACATATTGCTGGCTTAGCGAGGGAGGTAAAGGAGTGAGTTTGTTGGCCGCGGATCGAACCCCGGACCACATCTTGGTCGGCAAGCATTCAACCGCTGTGCCACCGACACACAAGTCATTTTCAAGACTGATAAAGAGGTTAGGTTGCTTGGGTATGAGGTAAACAACCCCATCCCGTAAAAATGAATACCGCATCTACCGAAACTTCAAGCCTCTAGCTTGAAGGTGCCCTATGTTCCACTAGGAACGTAAAGGAGTAAAAAAGAGGATTAAGCCAGGACAAAGGCAAATAATATAGGTCAATATCAACGTATCATACACAAATTTATTGGACCAAAAACGTATACTAGTTACAAAGTTAGCTGAAATATCCAATTAAGTATAAATATTATAAATAGAACGTCCAGGAGGGATTTTTCCAAGCAATCTGCCCAGTACACGTATGTAATTAAATGTCGAAAAAGGCTTTTCTTGTCTACATAATATCACAATATATTTCCCCCTGTAAATTTTAGATGGAAGACTTGGAATTACCCCTGAAACCTGGTTCTAGTCCAGTACATGAATTGAATAACCAGTTAGCAGATAGTGAAAATGCTGATCCAAGTAGTGAAGAAATGGCGCATATCTATGAATTGGAGTCGCGTTTACCACTTGACTACAAACAACTTGATAAACCTTTACGACAATTAACAGATGAAAAAGAAGTTAGCAAAAGGTAGGCTTAATAAGTTGATTATATTTTTTTGTACTACACTAACTAGGGAGTTGGTTACACGAACGCTGTTTCTTTTCATCTATTGATTTCTATTTTCTTTTTTTGGTATTTCTGGGTTCACTGAAGACGTGTGTCTGATAGACATCGACTGTCGATCAAATATGTCACGCGCTTAAAATAATTTGTTCTCCGTGATTTCTGAGGAAATGAATACTATTTTTCCAGATTTCACCAGGAGCTGACATCAGTTAGAGAACCATTGGAAAGCCAGGGAGTACTGGATAGCTGCTTCGTCCTAGTCTGGGGTTCTCCACCAGTACGCATCCTCCAGAGTTCTAACTCAGGACCTTCTGGTTACAAGGCTAGCGAGCTCGTAGACCACTAAGCCATATTTGATGTCAGTGTTGATTTTGCTGATGAAGTTCTTTGGGTAGTTATTTTTCTTCAGAATTTCAGTAATGTCTGATATTTCTTCTTTTTCCTTCTCATCCGTTAACATCAAAGAGTGTGCTCGTCTAAGAAGACTTGTGACAACAACTGATACCTTTATGTTGGAATTCAGTTAACAATTTATGTTGCATAGGGTGTTTTAATTCATTGAAAATACCCCATGCAGACATGAATATAAGAACAACAAAGTTCAGCGAAGAGTCTCTTTTCGGCGGCGAATTCATTCACTTAGCTGTACAGTTGCATTTATGTATATTTATTGTGTGTGTACATTAGGATTGTTCAACAATGATAAAAATTAGTTGGGACTACTGTTTACGTCATCAAAATGTGTGTAAAATGTGATGAATCATCAAATTGTAACTAGGAGGGAGTGAAGATTGATAAGTATTGACAAGGGTTGCGTAATATGAAATAGGATTTTAATGGAGACACGTGTCCAAAATAAATTATGTAATAGGTAGAGGGAGTAAATAAAGGGTTTTTATTTACTCTTTTTACCTATTACATGATGCATTTTGGACACTCGTCTGCGTGATTCTTCATTAAAATCCTATTTTCCTGGATGCCTTTTATATTACGCAACCCTTGTCAGTATTTATCAGTCTTCACTCCCCCGCCCCCGATAGTTACAATTTGATTATTCATCACATTTTTGAAATGTCTTGACAACAATAATCCTAACTATTTTTTATTATTATTGGATAATCCTAATGTACACACACACACAAACAGAATAATTATAAATGACAATGTGATTGTACAGCTAAGTGAATGAACGTCGATGACACTTTCATAGTTTGTCAGGATGATTCTGATTTAAATTGTATCTTGCGGAAGTTTAATAACTGCCATCCTTTTAATTAAATTCACAATTGAAGTTGAAAATAAATCAAAGATTCCATTCCTGGAGGTCGAATTGACAGGAAGAGATGACGAAACTCTGAAAAGACCTAACCATAGAAAACCAACATGGAATGACCAACTGACAAGCTCCTACAGTTGGACACCTATTAGCCTTTAAGAGCTTTCATCATCTCGTTAGCCCACCGTATCAGGAGAATTTTTAGCGATGACTGTTTAGAAGAACAGCTCCTATTTCTCAAAAGAATCCTGGTTGCAAATGGATACCCACCGCGTTTCGTGCAGAACATGGAACCATTGTCAAAAACAGAAGAGTGCACTTCTGTACCAAAATAAACCCACTATATTTTAATTTGGACTTCATAGGAAACTTAGCTGCAAATATCCTTAAGAGGAGGATCTCCAGTAATCTAAAGCAGATCTTTCCTACAGCAACTCTAAGAGTGATATTCTCTAGCCATCCACTACTTCAGAGCAATGGGAAGGACAGACTTCCTCATATGACCACTTCAATGTGCATATATCAGTTCACCTGCTCTGGAGGAGCTAGGTACATAGGTCGTTCTTTGCGGGTCTTATCAAAATGTGTTAGAGAACATCATCCAGCATGGTTGCAAAGAGGAGGCACTGGTTCACAATCAGAAGCGCAATAACTGAACACCTCGTCAATACTTGTCACAACATCTTTTGTATTACTCACACCCCTATCGCTAGTTACAGTTTAATTATTCAACACATTTTTGAAATATCTTGACAGCAATAGCCCCAACTAATTTTTACTTTTGCTTGACAATCCTAATGTACACACACACACACACAATAATGATAAATAACAATTTGATTGTACAGCTGAGTGAATGAATTCTCCGCCGAAAACAGACGACTCTTCGCCGAACTTTGTTGTTCTTCTAGGGTGTTTTATCGACTCCTTTTTTTATTCCTTCACGTTCCCAGTGGAACATAGGGTTTCAAGCTGGAGGCGGCTTAAAGTTTCTGTAGCATCATGCCCAACCTTTCCTCTTTACCAGCTATATTTTGGCTTAGTGAGGTAAAAGAGTGCGTCTGTGGCCGGGGATCGAACCCCGGGCCATTTGCATGGTCGGCGAGCGTTCTAACCGCTTTGCCACCGAAAAAGCAAATTACCGTACAATATTCTCTAATTTTTGTACAACTTTTTGAGTTGTTATCACCATAGTGACCAATACTGCTGCTTCTATGTATTTACGTTTGTTTATTCAATGTAATTCTTCTCTTATATCTTCCTCTTTATTTCTCCGAAAACACCAAACCCAAAAACATAAATTACAGAGCTGATGAAATGCAAAATCAAGTCGATTCAATGTTAAATAGCTTGGCACGTATACAAGCGCCTAATTTACGCGCCGGGGATAAACTTGGCAATGTGGAGGAACGTTTAAGGTGTACAGAAGCTGAATTTGAAGATACACGACGTAGAGCTAAACGTGCCAAGGCAAGATTTGAACGTGTTCGACGGCTACGATACAATGCATTTATGAATTGTTTTAATTCAATTGCTGATAATATTGATCCAATTTATAAAAGTTTATCAAGAAATCCTGGTGCTCAAGTGAGTGTTATGTGTGTGTGTGTACAAAGAGGGTTTTTTGTTCTTTGTCTTTTTTATTGTGATTACTGATCATGTGTTATTGTCTAGGCTAATTGTACTGTTTAGAACTCATGAAGGTAAATGGAATGACGTGGTGTGAATGCTGAGCTATCGCCTCCTTCGACGAGTGTAATGTCAGTGGCCGACCTAAAGCCTGTCATCAATCCGTAAAGTCTTTCGGTGTTGGTTATTAGCAACCTAGGGAGGTGTATATTGCCCGGCTGAGGACCGCGTAATGTTAACAACCAATGACTTAGGACTTTTGGTGCATCTGCCTCAGAGCTATTCTCAGTGATGCAGATATATTCACAATTCTTATTCAGTAATGTTCATTAAAGCTTCATGTTTCTTCATGTAATTATTCTCCTTCGTGTACACTTCGGCTGTGAGCGAGATGTGACCATTGAAAATAGGAGACTTGAAAAGCCAGACTAGCTGTCTTTCATCATAGGTGTATGCGTTCTATCTCCCCTGTTAAGTGGTATAACAAGGTGGGAAATATTAAGGTTAGGCGTCGAGTACTAGGTAAGGAGTAAAAATCAATCGACCATCTTGCAAAGTTACATGGAATTAGATGGTTAGGACATGTGTTACGCATGCTTAGTCACCACTTTCCTCGAGAACCAATGTTAGCTGACATAGGATTGACCAGGTTTGAAAAGAGGTTTTCTAACCCTTCCTCCAAAGTGGGAGAGGCAGCTGATCATTTGAAGGGAACACATCTCACTGCTATCGTATCCTCATTCCTGAGCAGTGCAGTATTGCCCACAGACCCTCAACACTGTTTAAAAAACTCCCACTATGACCGTAACTCATTTTAGTCTCATATCGATCCAAATAAGCCTTCTGTGACGTAGTAGAACCTGCAAAGGCATTAATTCCAGGCGGTGTAACTCGTTGGGTCATTGAGATGTGCAAACCCCCTCGGCCACTACGTCAGGGTAGCAGCTATCTGTCCGGTTTGTGTATGTACTCTATCAGATAAACTAATCTAATATGGAACCTTTTGTCTCTATCTCTTTTTATTTTCCTGTCCACATATTACTAGGCAAGTTTGTTGCCAACAAATGCTGAAGAACCGTATTTAGAAGAAATCCAATTCCAGTGTGTTGCACCAGGGAAACGTTTTCAACAGATGGATAGTCTATCCGGTGGTGAAAAGACAATCGCTGCATTGGCTTTATTATTCGCTATGCATCGATATAATCCGTCGCCATTTTTTGTTCTCGATGAAATTGACGCTGCATTGGATAATACAAATATTGGGAAAGTAAGTTGGTGTTGTTGCTGTTGTTGTGGTGATGCTTCATAAATTTTGATACCTTTTCGAATGACTGGTTCTCATAAGTGGGAACTTTTTATCCCTGTGAATTATTGTTCAGGATTTCATCATGAGTTGATATCGGTTATAGGACCGACGAAGAACATGGGAGTTACGGGACAGCTGTTTCATCCTAATTTGGGAGGTTTAAATTCATGGGTCATTGGATCAGATCCTGGTGGCCGATTGGTCTACGCGCTTCCGTTGTAATCGGAAGGTCCTGGGTTCGAACTCCTTTTGGTGGGTGCCGAAGAGTCCTAAACTAGGCTGACGAAACAGTTATCCAGTACTCTGTAGTTGGTTTTCAGCAGTTCTCTTACCGATTTCAGCTCTTGATGAAATCCTGTGACCAGTCAAATCCTTTCAAACCACCATTTGAATTACCATTCATACTCACTGCTAATCTTTAGGGACAAATTTATTCGTCAGTAGTGGTTTAGTAGGAGAATGTGTCCCCTTAGGGAGGTCCGGGTCCAATCACCACGTGATGCATTCTTGAACCTCGTGTACATAGTGTAATAAGCCCGGAAAAGAGAGGTGGTCGATTTTTAAGCTAGCCATCCCACCCCCTAAATATAACACAGAGATTACTGTAATTTCAAAACTGGGGGAGCCTTACTTTCCACCCAGAACGTAATGGAATGAATGAGGGATGAATTCAACGTATTTTTTCAAAGTATAATTTCTTCTAGATTGTTAATTGTGTTTCATTGTGGTTAGTCAATAAACACCTGGGATTCCAAGAAGTTGGTAATAGGCTAGCTATAGGAGTTAGTTCATAGTACCCGCCTGCTTTAACTACGCTTCGTGGAGCCAAGTTTGAACCCTCAGTCTACTATCTTGAAGTCGAGAAAACAGACGGATAAGAATCACAACTCTACTGTCTCTATTATGAAGTTAAAGATGTGGGATATCTATAGATATAACGCTTTAGTAGACACAATTCTTGTTGTTATCGTGATAGAATTCAATTTGCACCGAACAAAGGACTAGATACGTTCCTAGTTGAACATAGGATGGTTTCAAGCTAGAGGCTTGAAGTTTCTTCCGTATTAGTTTGTTTATTAGGTATATCACACAGTGAAACAGTATTATTTACTGGATGACGTTTCGAACAAAATTTATTGTTCATAATCATATCAATTGTGATCACACGACTTTGACACTTGAGTTTTATAGCTTTCTTTGTTTTCTCCAATTTGTCGTAGGGGGAGTAGAATTTTCCATATATTGGGGCCAGGTGATGAATCATTCCTATTACATGTATTTGCAGTTGATTCGATAAACAAAGCTTCTGTTATCAATCTCTCCCTATACCCTGTGACATTAGATTTTAAAACTGTCATCCTATCCCATCCTATTGTACAGTTGTGTGTGACTGCATGCAGTGCTATAGCTGAACTATTCTCCAGATTTCTTATTTTATTCGGGTCAACCAATCTAGATTTTGCTAAGTTTTTATGTTCAGCTAGTCTGATAATTCATAAGTAGGTGAATTTCTAAAATTTCTAAATTCCAAGGGAAAATATACAAACAAACTGAGGGAGTTGCCATGGGATCACCAATATCCCCAGTGGTAGCAGATATATTCATGAATAAGTGGGAAAGCATAACGATTGGAACGTTCACCCCCACCCCAAAAGTATGGTGGAGGTACGTAGATGACACATTCACTGTACTTAGAACACAAGATATAGATAGGTTTTTCGAACACATAAACTCGAAGGTTGAAGCAATTCAATTCACTTATGAATTGGAAAATCAGGAAGGGGAGCTGCCAATGTTAGATTGCAACGTAAAGAGGAAAGAAGATGGGAAGTTAAACACTAGTGTTTACAGGAAACCCACACACTCAAACAGATATTTGGACTTCCAGTCATCCCATCTTATGTCAGTAAAAATAGGATTGGTGAAATGTTTAAATGACAGAGCACAAAAATTAAGTAGTACCAAAGAAAATCTAAAACAAGAACTGATACATATAAAAGAAGTCTTGAAACGTTATAATTACCCGGATAAATTAGTCAGGAAATATGTAAGGAAATGTAAAAATAAAATAAATAATGATAATAGCGATAGTGATAATAACAATAATAATGATAATGATAATAGTGATAATAATAATGATAATGTTAATAGTGATAATAATAATAATAATATTAATGACGACACCAACAATAAAGAATCTAAATCATCAGTAGTAATTCCATACAAGGAAGGAACCTCGGAAGCCTTACGCAGATTTCTTAACAAGGCAGGAATAAAAGCGGCATTCGAACCCACAAACTCAATTAGAAACAAGCTTTGTCGGTTAAAGGATCCTGTAGAGCCTTTAAAACAAAACAATTTAGTTTATCTAATACCCTGCCTGCTGGAATGATTGTCAGGTCAAATACATAGGTCAAACTAGTAGAACAGGGGCAGTCACACTAGCTGAACATAAAAACTTAGCAAAATCTAGATTGGTTGACCCGAATAAGATAAGAAATCTAGAGAATAGTTCAGCTATAGCACTGCATGCAGTCACACACAACTGTACAATAGGATGGGATAGGATGACAGTTTTAAAATCTAATGTCACAGGGTATAGGGAGAGATTGATAACAGAAGCTTTGTTTATTGAATCAACTACAAATACATGTAATAGGAATGATTCATCACCTGTCCCCGATATTTGGAAAATTCTACTCCCCCTACGACAAATAGGAGAGAACAAAGAAAAATATAAAACTCAAGTGTCAAAGTCGTGTGATTACAGTTGATATGATTATGAACAATAAATTTTGTTCGAAACTGTGTCATCCAGTAAATAATACTGTTTCACTCACCTAATAAACAAACTAATATGGAATTACTTACTACCACAGTGCCCAAGTTTTAGACATATATTAATATGGCTTGAAGTTTCTGTAGCTGTAGTGATTATTTTTACAGCATGGGGTTGCCAGCCTCATACCCAACCTTCCCTCTTTACCAAACTTAATACTGGCTTAGAGATGTAAAGGAGTGCGTCTGTTGGCCGGGAATCGAACCACAAACCACCTGCGTGGTCGGCGGGCACTCTACCTCTGTGCCACCGACTCAGATACATATTGCTTCTTGCATAGCGTTATAGAGTGGCAGACACTTTGTTTTTTGTTGTAGCCTTGATAATCACCTCGGTAGTTTACCGGTCTGGGATTTGATCTCCAGCTGACTCACTTCTTAAAACCTCACTATGCTGTTGTAGTTAGGACGGTAAAGAGGGAGGCGTTGCGCATGAGGTTAGCGAACCTACCCCGTATAAATGAAACCATCGTTACAGGCACCTTCAAAGCTTTAGCTTGAAGCCATCCTATGCTCCACTGGGAATGTAAAAGGAACAAATTTTAAAAAATAATAATAAAAAGTAAACCTTGATAATTAGAGTTGCACTCTTTTTTCCCCCTGTTTTTTCTTTTAGGTTGCCAGTTTTATACGTGAATATGCTTCAGCGAGAGCACAAATAATTGTTATATCATTAAAAGAAGAATTTTATAGTCGTGCGGATAGTTTAATTGGTATTTATCCCGATATTGTAAGTTTTACATGCTTGTTTTATAAATTGTTGAATTAGATATAAAGGGGAAAGGTAAGTGTAAATTACATTCATCGTAGATTTGTTGCCTATTATCCTCGATGAGATTCCTAATTGTGGGGAACTGAATTATACATCAGACTGTGCGTTGGAGCGAGAAGACAGAAATACGTTGGATCGATAAGATGACTTTGGAAGAACTGGGATTCGCTGGCTAAGACTTACAGGTGAAAACCAACAAACTGTTGTGCAGTAACATGCAATAACTTGGGACAGAGCTACAGTTCCAAGTGGAACGTAGGGCCTCAACAGCACGTTTCCATATTTTTTCTGCTTTCCGGTGTCTTGTTTAACTAGTCCCACCATTGTCCACAGTCCCACGTCTCGTCTTCGTGCGATCTCCTCCATTTTCCCCTCAAACAAACGCCCAACTCGTCGTTTCCCATTGGGGTTCCAGTTGAGCGATGACCCTCATTGCACACAATGTCCAATCCAATATCCATTTTCTTCTGCATTTCTGTTGAGCGATAGATTCCTGATTGGTTTCCTCCCCTAGTTTCTCGTTGCAAATTCTTTCTCACCGGCTGGCCATTTAATCTTCAATATGGAGCCAGAGAAGAGGGCAGCTATTGATAAAAGTCTGCGATAGCCTGTTGGAAATGCTTTCCGTAGCGCACACTGCAAGTTTCTAAAACAAATAGAAGACGTGACTGACGTGACATTTGTGTCGAAAATCCAAATCTTGTTCCTTATGCCGGCTCATTGGAGAAGATATTTTCAGACTGGTTTCATAGTGATGAGGGTGTTATTTGGCTTTTCTAATGCTAGCTTTGACATCCACATCCGTGCTGTCAGCTTTAGTTGAAAGGATGCTGGTTAGACTAGATAAGTGTGAAGGAAGTTACCGCTTTCAAATTTCTCCCATTGACAGTGATTGCTTGTTGTTGTTATTGTTGTTGGTTGGTTGGTTGGTTAGTTGGTTATCTGCATCACATCCATCTTCTCTATGTTCACCTGGAGTTCTGTCTTCACTGCCTGCCTCTTCTGGCAGTATATTGGTTTTCGCCTTTAGGTTTTCCACATGAACCTCTCAATTATTATTATTATTATCATGATCATGATTATTGTCATAACTATTATTATTAGTGGTAGTACTATTATTATTATGGTTATTATTGTTGTTATTATTATTATTATTACCTTGATTATTATTATTATTACTATTACCATTATGATTATTATAATTATTATGATTATTGTTATTGTTATTATTATTACTGTTATTATTACTTTTATGATTATTCTGATTATTATTATTACTATAATCACTATGATTATTATTATGGTTATTATTATGACTATTATTATTATGATTATTATGGTTATTATTATTATGATTATTATCCGTTATTATTTTTATTATGTTATTATTATTATTAGTAGTAGTAGTACTGTTATTATCACTTTGATTATTATTATGGTTATTGTTATTATGACTATTATTATTGTGATTATTATTATTACTATTACTACCATTACTATTATCATGGCTACTATTTTTATTAAGTAAATGAAATATTCCCATATTGAAATCAAAACAAGATTTTGAGCGAACAATTGTTCTTCAGGCTCTACAGTTATAAATCCATGAATGAATGAATCATCACTCATACCTGAAATATGGAAAATAATACTACCAATCAAATCAAGTGAAAATTAAGTGAAAAACAATGGAACTATATTAATGAATTTAGGAAGTCGTGTGATTACCTTGACATAATTATGAGCAGTAAGTTGTGCTCGAAACGTCATCAGTAAATATTACTCTATAACACTGTGAGACTCTATCAAAATAAAATTTACCCATAATGGAAAATTATGATCCTGGTGACCTTATAGTGGGCCAGGGTAGACAGAGAAAGTGAATAAGTTTTTTCTGTACACATAAGTCTGGTCTTTCTCTATTAATCTCTAAAGCCTCAGCTATGGCTAGGAGGCGTAATCGTGTGCCTTTGGGGAGATTGTTTGGTACTCGATACACAACTGTAAATGACTCTTCTACTTTGATGCTGTGTTCGCTATCCACTAGATGAACCAGAATTGCACTATTTAATGATTTGGTCGCTCTTTTCCCAAGCCAGACCGGGATATGTTCACGAGTAGTGCGTAAAGATAAATTCCTTTGGGTACGACCTATATAACTAGCTCCACAGGAGCAGTTGAATTTATATACACACATTGATGTCGTCATTTTGGGTAATCTATCTTTAGTGCACTGAAAGATAAATTCCTTTGGGTACGACCTATAATTTTTTTAATATTTTTATTATTATTATTATTATTACTATTATTATTATGACTATGATTATTATTATTGTTATTATTATCATAATTATTACTGATAATTATATCACTACTGCTTAAATTCTTTTTTATAGGAGAACAATTGCCTTGTTAGCCGAGTGCTAAGCTTTGATCTATCAAAATACATTGATACCGGAGAACAATAATTCAATAATAATAATAATAACAGTAATGAAGAAAAAAACATTTTTGCATTTATGTACTACTCATTTATATATTCGTCGACACAATTTTTTTCGTTTTGTTTTTTTATACTGCGTTTTCTGTTTTTTTTTTCAATAATCCTCCTTGTTTTTCTACTTGTCTTCTCGCCTAAAGAAGAATTTTCGTGGTGCGAATTTTTTTTTAATCTCCATTCACCCATCACTGATCATTTCATATTGCTCAATTGTTTAAAATAGGTGATTATTTTCATGTTTATGTGTGTGATGAATGTGAGTACTCTTCTTCTTCTTCTTCTGCTCCTTCGACTTCTTCTTGTGTGTTGTATTTTAATCCTCACCGGCATTAATCCTGTATTCCACCCTCTCCACTGTGTTTCCTTCCAGTGTAAATCTTCCTGCATAGAAGAAAGAAGTGTGTCTGATTAGTGAGTATATTTTTTGTAACCTTATCCAATCTTAGGGGTTATTCTGTTTGTTTGGTTTTTGTTAAACTTGTGTAATCATAATGTTGTGCTAATAAAAATTGTTTATGTTAGTGTTGTTTATAGTCTTGATTTTGTTTTCACTGCCATGGTTGTTTGTCTGTTTGTGTGCATGTGCGTGTGCGTGCCTGGTTGAGTATTTTTTTTTTAAACCATTAGTTCCCTTTATGAATTTAGATAAAGCAATAAGAAGACGTAATTTGTCTGAATCGTGTAATGTATTTGTGCAACACGTTTCGAATAATCTGATCGCACACAAACGCATTTGTCATAGGAATATGTATGAAATTAATAAAGAGGTAAGAAGTGAGAAAATAGACTTAGGTTAAGTGGAAAGGATATATTCAAGGTCAAAATAACAATGAAGATCACTCAACCAAATAACAGAGGTAATAGTACATCTGCTATGGTATCAAAACAAAATTTACCATGGAAAGTTTAATGTGATGACGAGTTGTTTCTTTGAACGCATAAAGGTGGCTTAAACTTTCTAATTGCTAGCTAGGACTTCCACAAACTTTAGGATACGCCTCAAACACGTCTTAAAGATAGGTTTAAAAGATCTGTTAACGTCAATTTTATGTCCTGTCTGCGTTCAAAGCAACAATTCGTCATCACATTAAACCTTCCTTGGTAAATTTTATTTTGATACCATAGCAGATGTACTATTACCTATGTAATTTGGTTAATGGTCTTCATTGTTATTTTGACCTTGAATATGTCCTTTTTACTCGATCTAAGTCTATTTTCTCACCTGTTACCTCTTTTACGAGTTGATCACGGACTGATATCAGTTAGAGAACCATTGAAAACCAGGGAGTACTGGACAGCCGTGTCATCCTATTTTGGTAATCTTCGGTAGTACGCATCCACCGAGATTCGAACCCAGGACCTTCCGGTTACAAGGCAAGCTAGCTCGTATACCATTCAGACACTGAGACCCGATTCAGTGGCCAGCCCATGAATTCTAACTTCTACCAATTCTTGATTTAGCGCGACCCCAACCATTGTCATTGGTGGGACATCCATCCACACACGTGACTTCTAATTGGACCTCACTGGTCACGACTTCTCACTAGAACTACAGGAAGCTCCAACCTGTAGCAAGTCACTAGCGAGCATCAGAATAATTTTCTATAGTTTGGTTTGTAAGGATTAGTTACCTCTTTATTAATTTCATATATATTCCTATGACAAGTGCGTTTGTGTGTGATCAGATTGTTCGAAATGAGTATTTTTTGTTTGTTTATTTTAAGACTTGTAGGTAGGTTCTGTGATAGAATGTTCGCCTACAATGCTCATGTGGTCCAGCATATCTCCAAACATCCCTTAGTCGGTGGTGATGGTGGTAGTTATCCCATTTAGGAGGGAGATCGTTGGGCATAAAGTAATCAAACTCCTCCTCGTAAACGACAGGACAACTTCACTGCTACTGAAACTTATGGCTCAAAATGCCTCATGGCTCAAAATCATTTCTCCAAGTGTCAGATGCATTCACTCTTTGTAACATCCCTCATCCATTAAATCATTTTTTCCATGTTTACTATTCATTATTTCATGAATAATCCCCCATCCCCAGACATTAGTGAAAACAAAACACCGTAGTTCAGTAAATAGTCTCTTATCGGTGGCGAATTCATTCACTTAGCTGTACAATCGCAAGTATATGTAATTATATTTTCGTATTTGCATGTGTGTGCATTAGGTTTGTCAGACAAGAACAAAAATTGTAACAACAGAAGACAAGGGCCAGGCAACAGAAAGTTTATTACGGAAAATCAACACATATTTATAGATTTTGATGTACATTATTGTAGGTTAATGTTAGTAGAAAATACAGTCTGTTGATTGGTTGTCTCTCACAGAAAGTTAACCTTGCATCTCTTGTGATTGTATCCGCCTGTCCATCTTGACCTTGACCTCAATTACTGTCAACCAATTTGGCTAGTAACCATCTCTCACCACAACATGACTAATATTTGATACATAAACATTGACCTCAATTACTGTCAACCAATTAGCTAGTAGACAGCTCTCACCACAGTGGTTAGGACTCTTGCCGACCATGCACATGGTCCTGGGTTCGAGCCCCTGCCGGCGCACACCCGATATCTATGGTCGGCCTGAATTTGGGCTGCCGATATCCATGCTGAAAATTCCATACTTGTACTGAAAAATACGGTGTGGAATCAAGCTGTAAATCAAAAAAAAAAAAATTAGTTAGGGTTTTTGCTCATGTCATCAAAATATTTCAAAAAATGTTATGAATAATCAAACTGTAAGTCGCGAGGGGGGGGGTGAGGATTAGTAAGAGAGCAGTAGTGTTGAGTTGTCAAAAGAAAGTCTCAAGTTTTCCAATGATTCTTCAACCGATGTCAGCTCATGATGTAATCTTGTGGCCAATCGAACCTTATCCCTGTAAACCAACACTTGAATAGTTGTTCATACTGTAATGACCGAAAACAAGGGTTAGGCAACAGATCGTTTATTGAGAAAATCAAGGGTTATTTATGTATTTTTATGTACATTATTGTTAGCGGAGACGCAATGTGGCCACCATTCTAGGTGGTTCGCCATCACGGTGCACATTGATTTAATGATATTAGATGATGGTTGGAGGCAATCGACAACAGGAAGCCTTGCTTGACCTAGGTTTCGTGCTAGTTGGCACTCACCAGTAAGTCAGCAAGGCGTATCTATAACTGCCTTAAAGGAACTCATGTCCATTCTGAGATTCGAAACCGCGTCACTCAGTGCTTTAGTCAGAGACGTTACCACTGAGCTATTCATTGGTATGCACCGAAGAAAGGACTAGACACATCCCACTAGTTACTAGTGTCTAATCGAAGTATCCACCACACTCTTACAGGAGTTAAATCGCAAGCCTGAATAGCTCAGTGGTGTAACGTCTCTGACTGCAGTTCTCACTGAGTGACGCGGGTTCGAATCTCAGAAGTGACATGAGTTCCTTCAAGGCATTGCAGATACAACTTGCTGACTGACTGGTGAGTGCCAACTAGCATGAAACCTACGTCAAGTATTGTTTCCTGCCGATTGCCTCCAACTGTGCCACTGTGCGTCGGTAGCACAGTGGTTAGGACTTCCGCCGACCATGCAAATGGTACGGGGTTCGATCTCCTGCCGACGCACACCCGATATCTATGGTCGGCCTGTAAATTTGGGCTACGGATATCCATGCTGAAAATTCCATACTTGTACTGAAAATACGGTGTGGCATCAAGCTGTAATAAAAAAAAATCATCAAAGTTAAATTCAGTTGAATCATGTTATCATAAGAATTTCATATGACAATATTTTTCGGATAGTTGTCATTTATATCAAAAGAAAGGATTTTAATTATGTGTGGTTTTTATGACCGGGACCACGATCTAGTAGACTATGAGCGAATACTAATCGCACGACAACAGCAACACCGCCGGCACACCAAGTTGGAATAAAAAACTGGACGTTGATAAGAGAGCCTTTACTGTCTCAAAACTACAGTCAGGAAAGATTGACAGTGCTTGCGTTTATATATGCTTAAAATGACCATGAGAGACACCAATGTCATTGATAAATTAAACAGTGAACAACCAATAGGATTTCAAAGGTCATAAGTAGGGTGAGAGAAATACAAACAGGTAGGTAGTTACCTGGGGTTCTAGTGCAGAGTCGTGACCAGTAGGGTACAGCGGGTCGGGCATGAAGACAAATACTCGCTGATGACATTGGCTAGGGGTCGCACTATGTCGTGAATTGGCAGAAGTTGGAATTGATGGGCTGGCCATTGGATCAGTTCCCAGTGGCTTAATGGTCTACGAAGTAGCTCGTCTTGTAACCAGAAGGTCCTGGGTTCGAAACCTGGCGGTGGGTGGGTGCTGATGATAAGTCCCAAAACTGGGACGAAACAGCTGTCCAGTACTCCCAGGTGGTTTTCCAGTGGTTCTCCAACCGATGTCAGCTCATGATGAAATCCTGTGACATGTAGAAAATTAGGTTTATATATCAAGAGGTAAATAGTCGTAGTTATTCCTCGTAGAGAGCAATGTTAGCTGATATAAGAATAGGTTAGCAATGGTCAAACTAAACCTGGTATCAATTCATGAAGTCTTTGACTATTTTTTGGTTTGAGTCATCCACAGAGGGAGGTGTTGAACTGTGTGGTTTGAGTCCTCCAGATGTTTACAACCAATGACTCTGGAGACTATCAGTGATGTAGCTTGAAACTGCTGTTAATGGCGTAAATGTATTATTCAGTCTTAGTAATCTCCGGGACGCATTTAATCTTCAATGTTTCCAGTGTTACTATTCCTTCTTTCTCCCTTTCATTTCTGTCCATGGTACTTCTTTTGTGTTTGACTAGATTTACCTCCATCCAGATATTTTTTTTATTTTAAATCTGTTCATGATAAGTACTCTTTTTTTAATATGTTGTGCAATTCCTTATAACTAGACTGGTTAATTATTGATTGAATGAGGCCTGAGATACTCCCCGGGCTGTCAGACCGAAGCAGGTGGTTGTCTTAAGAAACCACCCGTCTCCCGAGCCTTTGACTTGATGTCTTATCCACAAGGCAGCGGAGCAACGTCAAGAGGTACGTTCCCCTGGTTGCCTGTGGTCAATACAGGTTCATACGCCATTTGATCCTATATGATTCTGGAGTCCATATACCCGATAGTAACTGATTTTAGTCTAATTGCCTTCCAAACAACCTTCCTGGCACAGTGGGATCTGGAGGAATAAAAGTCCCAGCCAGTATAGCTTGTTGGGTCACTGCGGTGTATGCTAGTCTGACCACCAAGACGAGGTACCAGTTGTCGACCGGCGCTTTAACCATTACGAAATATTCTTTACGATGTTGTCTGATCCTAGATATTAACTGAATTATGTCGATCTGCTTTATACTCCTGTCATTAGCCTATGAGTTCGACTGGTAACCACATGTCAAATTTTAATGGGTTGAGTGAAATTAACACTTTGGAATATACAATTTAATATCGGTCATTTAATCAATCCTTTTTGCAAGATCCCCATAGCGGCTTAAATACTTAGGTCCGTGACGAAATTTTTCACTACAATACTTAGTCATTTAGAGGAAGGATTAAGTTCCTTCGAATTCTGATTTACACCTTCTAAACTACGAAAAGTCCAAAGGATTCTTTATCCTCCTAAATTTCTATAAATACTATGTACAATATGACAGTTTACGCCGTCTCTGGCGTAGACATGATATCCGACTATCTGCCAAAGGGCGTGTGTACTGTTCAGCAGTCCGTTCCGTCCTCCTTTATGGCTGTGAGACCTGGCCATTGAGAGTGGAAGACATGAAAAGATTAGCTGTCTTTGATCATAGGTGCCTGCGCTCTATCTCCCGTGTGAAGTGGTATAATAGGGTGAACAATATTGAGTGTAGGCATCGGTTGAGTGCTAGGTAAGGAGGGGAAATCAATCGACGAGACTGTGAAATTATATCGATTGAGATGGTTAGGACATGTGTTACGTTTGCCTAGTCATCGCCTTCCTCGCCCGACGGGCAATGTTAGTTGACATAGCATCAGGTTGGAAAAGAGCTAGTGGCGGTTAAACCAAAACATGACTTCATCAGTCAATGAAATCTACAACAGTTAGTCTAGGCTACGTAGGAAGGTGTAAACTTCCTGACTGGTTGGGGTCCTCGAGACGGTAAAAGCCAATGGTTGGAAACAATTGGTGACATGGCTCAAAATCGTTCTCAATGGCTGGCTGGCGCAGATGCATCCACTCCTTGTGACTTGTGATTCCCAATGAAACTGTTTTGTTCTTCGTTATTACTATACCTTTGTCTCACACCTCTGTTTACTATCTATATTATACATTTCTTCGACTTTCTTCTCTTGCTTTCTGTGCTACATGGAGGGAGTGTGGCGACTTGAACTGCTGCACATCGATGCAAATTTCTATGTCGAAAACAGGCAGACAGACAGATGTACAATATTATATTTATTCTGTATATGACTGACACGCTTCATAATTAATTTCTTTTTCCTTTTGTTTTTGTGTTTGTTTATTAATAGGCCCACTTTTTATCCCATGTTGAATCTTGCCTAATTTCATGTCGTGAACAGTTGAAAGTGAAAGCGAATCCAGAAACAACAGCTGAACGTTTTATCCTTGGATCACCTAAGTAAGTCTCTTCGTGTTCTTCAACTCCTTCAGTTATTTATCATTTTTAATCCTCAGCATTTTATATTAAAGGGTGAAATGGTTATTTGAGGTGGCCACTTCACGTAATTTAACAAGTTACATTAGTTCTAATGGATTAACTGTTGATAAAATCACGGAATATACACATTTGACCATAGTGAAAAATAAAAAGACGGTTGCAGCGAAGAAAATTTTCTTTTCGACGAAGTCACCGTCAACTAGACAGAGGTGTACATTCGTGTATTTATAATAAATGGTTTGGAAAGTTCCAGAATAATTTCTGGTCAAGGGTCAGATTAATAGAATTACAATTAGGAATTTTTTTTCCTTCACGTTCCCCAGTGGAACATAGGGCTTCAAGCTAGCGGCTTGAAGTTTCTGTACCAGTGTTTATTTTACAGGATGGGGTTTCTAGCCTCATGCCCAACCTTTCCTCTTCACCAGCACTATTTCTGGCTTAGCGAGGTAAAGGAGTGCGTCGTTGGCCGGGGATCGAATCCCGGACCATGTGCATGGTCGGCGAGCGTCCTAACCTCTATGTCACCGAAGCAGAATTAGGAATTAAGATGACATAATAAACAGGGGGCGAATAAATATATGTGTAAAACTTGGGCACTGTGGTAGTAAGTAATTGCATATTAGTTTGTTTATTAGGTATATCACACAGTGAAACAGTATTATTTACTGGATGACGTTTCGAAGATTAGATAATTTAGATTAGATAATTAGATTAGATAATTTAAATTAGATTAGATTAATTAGATTAGATAATTTAAAATTAGATAATGAAAAGAAAATGGTTAGTTTTGACATAGTCAGTTTATACACACGTATACCAATAAATATGGCTATAGAGGCAGTCAGAAACGAACTCATTTCTGAACAAGAACTCGGACTTAGGACAAAAGTGCCACTTGAGGACATAATGCTGGGAGTACAGCTATGCCTGACTTCCACAGTATTTAAATTCCAAGGGAAAATATACAAACAAACTGAGGGAGTTGCCATGGGATCACCAATATCCCCAGTGGTAGCAGATATATTCATGGATAAGTGGGAAAGCATAGCGATTAAAACGTTCACCCCCACCCCAAAAGTATGGTGGAGGTACGTAGACGACACATTCACTGTACTTAGAACACAAGATATAGATAGGTTTTTCGAACATATCAACTCGAAGGTTGAAGCAATTCAATTCACTTATGAATTGGAAAATCAGGAAGGGGAGCTCCCAATGTTAGATTGTAACGTAAAGAGGAAAGAAGATGGGAAGGTAAACACTAGTGTTTACAGGAAACCCACACACTCCAACAGATATTCGGACTTCCGATCATCCCATCCTATGTCAGTAAAAATAGGATTGGTGAAATGTTTAAACGACAGAGCGCAAAAATTAAGTAGTACCAAAGAAAATCTAAAACAGGAACTGATACACATAAAAGAAGCCTTAAAACTTAATAATTACCCGGATAAATTAGTCAGGAAATATGTAAGGAAATGTAAAAACAAAATAAATAATGATAGTAGCGATAGTGATAATAACAATAATAATGATAATGATAACAGTGATAATAATAATAATATTAATGACGACACCAACAATAAAGAATCTAAATCATCTGTAGTAATTCCATACAAGGAAGGAACCTCGGAAGCCTTACGCAGAATTCTTAACAAGGGAGGAATAAAAACGGCATTCAAACCCACAAACTCAATTAGAAACAAGCTTTGTCGGTTAAAGGATCCTGTAGAGCCTTTAAAACAAAACAATTTAGTTTATCTCATACCCTGCCTGCGATGATTGTCAGGTCAAATACATAAGTCAAAGTAGTAGAACAGGGGCAGTCAGACTAGCTGAACATAAAAACTTAGCAAAATCTAGATTGGTTGACCCGAATAAGATAAGAAATCTAGAGAATAGTTCAGCTATAGTACTACATGCAGTCACACACAACCATACAATAGGATGGGATAGGATGACAGTTTTAAAATCTAATGTCACAGGGTATAGGGAGAGATTGATAACAGAAGCTTTGTTTATCGAATCAACTACAAATACATGTAATAGGAATGATTCATCACCTGTCCCCGATATTTGGAAAATTCTACTACCCATACGACGAATAGGAGAGAACAAAGAAAGCTATAAAACTCAAGTGTCAAAGGGGGCGAATAAAGCTGAGACTAAGTAGCATCATAATTACTGAGAAGATTGTCATACTGTTCAATTAGGGGCTAGAAATGTAGAAATAACATCAATAGGCAGGATGTTTGGATAAAAAAATCTAGTGGGATCATAACTAATGTGACAAATAATTGTTTATGCAATCAGGGATTAATGATGTAGAAATAAAAAGACAATTGCAGCGAAGAAAATTTTCTTTTCGACGAAGTCATCATCTAGGCTGTACATTCGTGTATTTATATCAAATGGGTAGGAAAGTTCCAGAATAATTTCTGGTTAGGGGTCAAATTAATTTAAAAAAAAAAATTACAATTAGGAATTAAAATGACATAACAAACAGGGGGGATGGGCAAATGACAAAATAGACAGGAAGTTCGGATATGAAAATATGGTAGTGTAAATAGTGGAGGGATTAAGAAAAACTTAAAATAACACGAATAAACAAGAAGTTCGGATAAGAAAGTCAATGGGATAGTCACTATTAGAAGAATTACCTGTGTTATGATGGCCACGACAGGCAGGGACAAGGGTTGAACGTATTTCTTTTGGATACATAGCTTGGGTTTGAGCTTTTGGATGACTAGTGCCTTGGCTATGCCCAGATGTCTTAATTTTACTCCCTTTGACAAAATCTCAGCATTGATACAAACTAGATCGTGTAACACTTGCTAACTTGTGTCATCTTCAATGTACCCCGTGATATCCGGTCATGGATTGAATTGACATGTCTACGTACTGCAAACTAGTTTACTGTGTTTGTCCAGTGACTATCAGGTATAGTCGTTGAAAGGGAAAGATATTAAGAGGCTAGGTGTCTTTGTGTGTAGGTGTATCTGCCTCTTGCGATACCCCGTATTAGGTGGTATAATATGCAGAGTATTACACAGAGACTTCATGCAATTCTTCCCATTAATAAAATTGAACAAAGCAAGAACAACAATTGTACCAGGATAATATGAGCTCATGTTTTATTATTTCGAGGATTCTTCTCAACTGGTTACAACCTGAACGATGAAAAATATGAATTATACTACATTAAAGATTTGAACATACTTTTCCACGATCACAAGGAGTAAATGGTAGGATGTACCTTTTTGTTATGCTCTGTCTAGCTAAACCTTGTTTCTATACACACACATATATATATGCAACTCTGTTTTTGTTTCCAAGCCTAATTGCCTAATTATTCTATAAATATTTATAAACTGTCAAATATTGATCACAGTTCATTTGAATTATTCTATAAACAGTCAGTGGTTGTAACTCCTAATTAGTTAAGTCATTCCGGACTAATGTTACTTTTACTTCCTACCATTTACTCCTTGTGATCGTGGAAAAGTATGTTCAAATCTTTAATGTAGTATAATTCATATTTTTCATCGTTCAGGTTGTAACCAGTTGAGAAGAATCCTCGAAATAATAAAAGATGAGCTCATATTATCCTGGTACAATTGTTGTTCTTGCTTTGTTCAAGTTTATTACACAGAGGTTAGGCATAGAGGATAGAGTATTAAGTAGGGAAGACAAATCAATTTATTTGGTTGTATGAAGTCGCATCGATTGTGAGATGGCTTGGATGCGTATCCAACCTATTGTTAGAGACCCTAACCCAACCGGGAAGGGAGTCTACACCTTCCTACGTGGCTGGCTGGCTGGCTGGGACTAACTGTTATGGACTTCATTGATTGATGAAGCCATGTTTTGGTTTGACCACCACTAGCTGACTCTTTTCCAACCTGATTCATCAGTGATGTCAGCTAACATTGACTGTTGACGAGGAGGAAGGCGGTCGATGGCTAAGAATGCGTAACGCATGTCCCAACCATCTTGATCGACATAACTTCATAACCTCGTCTATTGATTTTCCCTCCTTTCCCAGCACTCGACCGACACCTAACCTCAATATTACTCACCCTATTACGCCACCTAACATGGGAGATCAGATATATTCATTGTTTCTGAACTCCCGCGTCCATCAAGTTCTTATTACCCTCCATGTAGTTATTCTTTCTTTAGTACATTCATATGCATTATGGTTCTTTTCAATTCTTTGCTTCCCCAGTAATTTTGTGCAGCGTGTCAAATTGAATTGCTTCAATTTTCTGCAAAGTTCTACACTGAAAATTCGATTTGGTTTACTTCTTATCGTTCTGTTTATCAACCAAATATTTGACATTCTGACTTTTTTATTGTTCGGTTAATTAATCAATTAACCAACGAATCAATATATATAACTGTTTTTACTCACAGAAACACTGCACGAAACAATAATGTCTAGATTAACACTGGTACCTCAATAGGCAATTCTGGCTCCTTGTGTGTGTGTTTCAGTGGGCAAGTGGACAGTAATCAGAGTCATGTTGGTGCAAACATTCAAAATTTGTAAGATGCTAAGAACTGAATATACTGTCATGAAGATGTAGCTTATTGGCTGAATTACTGGCTTTCTGATAATGAGTCATGGATTCCAGTATCATTGGCTATGTCACATCGAGTTTGTGACTGTGAACTCACTGGGGGGAGATGATGAGGTCAATTTCTAACGATTGGGTCATTGCTTCGAAGACTGATTTACCTCTTGAGGTTCAGACAGCTAGCTAGTTAGCAGCATCACTAGCCGGAGGCTAGTTGTTGAATAACATTTCACTATATTAGATGGTTGGAGGCAATCGTCCACAGGAAGCCTTCGACCTAGCTTTCATGCTAATTGGCACTCACTGGTCAGCAAGTCGTATTTACAACCTTGAAGGAGCTCATATCCCTTCTGAGATTTGAACCCGCGTCACTCAGTGCTG